TATTCCATGACATAATTTGTTGATCTTCTTGGTTTATCATGTACCCTGTTTTTATTTGTTTTCTTAGTTAATAATTATGTGCTGTGAGAAGTTATTCCAGACAACAGAAAATGCACAAACACGCGCTATTCAATCAGCTCTAAACGTCCCAATTGATTGATTGGTCCATTAAATTATTACACCATGGCAGTTTTCTAAATATCTTGACCATGGTATATGTTGAACAATGAGGACTTAAAATGTTCAAAGATATGTCTTAAGGTTTACAAAACTTTCTCTTTCACATAATAACTTGAGCTTTCCTAGTTGATATATAGCTGTGAACAAAATTATTTATACTTGGAGAGATAAAAAAAAATGATGTTAAAACACTAAATTTGGCTTTTACTATAATTGTAGCCTTCTCATCATTTAAACAGAAAAATTTTTTCTTATCTCCTATACCCAAAATATTTAAATATAAATTATCCATAATAACTAGATTAATCTCATTTCGTGAAGTTGTAGTGGCTTTGTGATTTGATATCCAAATCTCTATTATGATTTCTGAGATTCGCTTCTTTAATTTTAACATTTTCTATTAATGGCCAAAATTTAGATATAGTTATTTAAGCAAAATTTGCTGAATGTTTTCTCGTTTAAAACAATATGCAGCTAATTCATCGACTTCAATTTTGAAATCTCACCATTTACTCGTCTAGTCAACGGGTACGGCATTATTATCAACAATAGCTAAATCATGGAAAAACCAACAGCCATCTTTTAGATGTCTCTAAATCTTTTACCTGAATTTTAGGTCCAACTGGACTTTAAAAAGACGTGTTTTGAAGAAAGTGTGACATACAACAGAACTCTGCAGGTTTGACTACTGCAAAAAGGTCTTTTAAAGTCAATCGAAGGTTCATGTAATTTCACTTTCTAGTTTCTACTTCATAGAAAAATAGTTTTTCTAGCTTAGTTCAATAAGCAATTCAATTTTATTGCATTGTCATCAAGTCCTCCAAAAGAGAAACAGAAAAAAAAACAAAAAAAAACCTAAGCCATGACAAAGCAAACAAGTTTGCAGGCAAAGCTTTTATTACACATGCTTGTATGACTTGAGAGTCCAGTTCAGCCCCAGTGGTCGGCTGTTGTCTGTTGGGCTTGTGTAATCTCACATAAATCCATCTTTCCTCTGCCAAACCTTAGCCAGCCTGGAATATTGTCAACGACCATGAACAACCCAACCTCCAAGCAACTTGATCCAATTTCATTTATATATCCAAAGAGATAACTTCCCCCTACAATTTAATACCAACTTTTGGACCACATTACGGTTTCAAAAGAATATATATATATATATATATATATTACAGGTAGGTATATGTTATAACTGTACAAAGACGAAATCAGATCCAATTTCTGTACCGTTTTAGAAAAAACAGTTTTGCGCCTAATTTATTACCCCATGACTGCTTCATTTAATGAATTGTTGGGTGGTGTCCCCCCATGCCTTGACTTGGGTCTCAAGTCCAGATGACTACGAATAAAAGTTTCACTTTTCAGCTTTCAGAAAGAAAACGTTTTACCAATACTTTCGTCCCTTCCTCTGGTGTTAGGGAAATAAACTTTGAAATAGGAGTTGGAACGTAAGGGACAAAAAATAAAAAAAACAATGCTAGAGTAGCATTCTCTGGAAAATTATCAGCATGACAAAATTCATAGTCAGGCTATAGATGACACTAGGGTGACAAACTGACAATCCAACACCCACCACAGTCATAGACTGATTTAGAAATGTTTCTGTCCAAACCCTACTGAATTTTTTTTTTTTAATTTAGCCCGTCTTTCTGATCCCAATGCCCAATCAATGTCAACTATTTACTTGTTAGAACATTGGTTCGAAAGCCTTAATCCAAAACTGACCACATTTACAAGACTGAGATTTGTGAAGGTGCAAAAATCATCCTCCCAAATCCGATTTCATCAAACTATATATATATATATATATATATATATATATCATCAATTAACTTGAAATTTAATTAGCATTAACTGACAAAGTCTTTCAAGAAAGCAAGTGGAGATGTAATTTGTTGGATAACTTACTTTTTTTCTCTGAAAAAGTAGAAATGTATTAGTCTAAATTGAGTGCTGGATGCATGCGTTTTCTTTATACCAAAGCAACAATAATAATAGTAATAAAGAGGCACAACATACTAAATTTCTTCAACAATTTACCAATAACTCCTGCACATGCAGTTTCTCCTTGGTTCCAATCCAAAAACAACGTTCTTTATTATCGTCCCAACTACCTCGATTTGTTTCTGGTTAGATACAGAAAAAATTCATAAATGTAAGCTTCTCTATATCTATTCATTTTTTTGACTAAACAGGAAGAAGAAAAAAATCTTAAATGAAAAACAAAAAAGAAAAGGGAAACAAAATTCTGACGTCTATGATGGGAAATGAAATTGGTTAATAGCTATCTAAAATGTAGGACATGGATGATAATACATCCATTTGAACTACTCTCATTTATTGGCCTTTCTCAACCCCCATCTTCCTTCTTCAAGACGGGCCATATTCTAGTCACATTCAGACGGCATATAAGGGCTATCTCCATGCTCAAAGCTTCAAAGAACTATCCCCTGCTAACAAAAAAATGAATGCTTATAGCAGAAGGCTAGTGTTTTTGGTCTTTGCCTTTGCATCAGTAAGCAAAGGGTGTGCACAAGAATCAACCACTCTTGTTCCAGCAATCATAACCTTTGGTGACTCTGTGGTAGATGTTGGCAACAATGACTATCTTCCCACCATCTTCAAGGCTAACTACCCTCCTTACGGAAGGGACTTCCCCAACAATAAGCCTACTGGAAGGTTTTGCAATGGAAAATTAGCCACTGACATCACTGGTAAGTAGAACAAGGCACCAACTACAAGTTTAGATTATAGCTAATTCAGCTTCTTTTTTCCCCCCTAAAATAGAATTTATAAGTTTGAAATTATTACTGAAATTCTTTCTTGCAGCCGAAACTCTGGGGTTTACAACCTATCCACCTGCATATCTTAGCCCCGAAGCATCAGGGAAGAACCTTCTTATTGGAGCCAATTTTGCTTCAGCTGGATCTGGCTATGATGACAAAGCTGCCATGATGAATGTGAGATTTTAATCTTATGCAAATGATAGTATTCCTCTTTGGCTAATCTTTTAGTCTGAATCTCAACATCAATGGCCTTGTAGTATAAAGTTTCTACTTAACTTTTTTTATAATCTCTTTTTTGCCATATTATTTGCAGCATGCTGTCACACTGACCCAGCAGCTAGAGTATTTCAAGGAGTACCAGACAAAGCTAGCAAAGGTAGCTGGGAGTAGCAAATCAGCATCAATCATCAAGGATGCACTGTATGTATTGAGTGCTGGAAGCGGTGACTTCCTTCAGAACTACTACGTCAATCCTTTTCTTAACCATGCCTATACTCCAGACCAGTACGGATCATTCCTTATTGATATCTTCACAAATTTTGTCAAGGTATATAATTTGCTTCTTCTTTCTGGTAAATCACTTTTGGATTGTGTAGATATATATAAAGTACGAGCTTGGGAAACTCAGTGGAAATGATATTGTCACTTTGAACATCTGAATCTTTAATAAAATTTGGCTGCTTTGATTGATAAACAGAACATCTATGGCTTGGGAGCCAGGAAAATCGGAGTTACTTCTCTCCCACCGTTGGGTTGCATTCCCTTGGCAAGAACATTGTTTGGTTACCACGAGAAAGGATGCGTCTCCAGGTTCAATACAGATGCTCAGCAATTCAATAAAAAGCTCAACGCGGCTGCAACCAATCTCCAGAAGCAACATCCTGATCTTAAGATTGTGGTTTTTGACATTTTCAAAACACTTAATGATGTTGTTAAATCTCCTTCAAACTACGGTAAGGACTAAGGAAAGAGCTTTCTCCATGTATTAGTCTAGTAATAACTCTTTTAAACGGCGAATAAATGCATTGTGATTTGTGAGTTAACTAACGACTCCGTTTTGATAGGTTTTGTGGAAGCAACGAGAGGCTGCTGTGGAACAGGGACAGTAGAGACAACTTCATTCTTGTGCAATCCAAAGACACCAGGAACTTGTTCCAATGCCAGCCAATATGTGTTTTGGGACAGTGTTCATCCATCCCAGGCTGCTAATCAGGTCCTTGCTGATGCATTGATTGTTCAAGGAATCGCCCTCATTTGATTCACAAGGACACGTACATGTCTACTTGCCCTTTGTAAACTGTACTAAGCCTGCTAGTCCTCTTATTACCATTACCTTGATCAAAAAGTGACTCATATCGCAGAATCGCCTTCATTTGATTCACAAGGACATGTACATGTCTACTTGCCCTTTGTAAACTGTACTAAGCCTGCTAGTCCTCTTATTACTATTACCTTGATCAAAAAGTGATTCATATTGCAGAAGCTTGTTTTATAATCATGTATCCCAGAAAATTTGATGTCTATCAAGATAACTTTTATTTAGTTTCGTAACATACTGCTAAATACATTGTAGTGACCTAGGATCTCCAAGTTGATTGAGGAAAATGAAATTGATGTTCCTTTTTCCTCAATTTATCCCCTTGCTAAATGTATCCTAGGACCAAAAAAATGAAATGATACGGAAAAATCGAGCAACACAGAAAAAGATGTAGAAGGAAGGATAGGGAAAGGCAGCAAGCACAATCAGAAACTCCAGATATTGACAGAAATGAGAAGGAAACCTGTGCTCACCGCTCCTAGCTTTGGACACGAAACCATCAATAGAAGAACACATCGTCACTAAATGACGAGAAAGCATATAGCTGTGTTTCATATTTCAACAACAAGAGATGGGCGAAATTTAAAAAACCACTAAGGAAAACAGTACGCATGTTAGATTTGTATAATGACACCAGCTAATAGCTCAAGCAACGGGTAGATTTGGGGATGGCAAAAGTAACAGCATCGTTACTGATCCTAGTATTTGCCTCCTTTAGAACTTGAACTGACGTGTCTTGCACAGCCAAGGAATTTGGAGAATTAAGCCGCTTGAGTACATCAGAATTCATCTCCAGCAGCACTCCTGTTAGCTTCGTTGCATTTTCAGGCTGAGAGAGAGAGAGTTTATTAGAAAGCATAATATTAAAAAGAAAACACATGCTTACACCAACACATTCTCCTAAAAGAAGATAGTCTACTAGGAATTATAAATGCCAAACCTGAAGATTCTCTACAAATGGTTGAGTTATATTTTCATTGTTTTTCTTAGAGTTTCCGGGGGATGTTGCTGCAGTAATAGATTAAATAGCTGCTAGTGCTACACAGGAATTTTCTGCAGGTTCACACCGTTTGTTCCCCTTCTTCCTAAAAACTACTTTCTTACTCCCAAAATTGACTTGGTTCAGCTCTCGGATTCGAACATTAGAGTTATATGTCATAGACTGTTAGAAAGGGGAATAAGTGGGTCAAGTAGAATACACGCTCAATCTTATTGCAAAAGCAAAATCTAATCAGACATACAAGTAAGCAAATAAGAAAAGAAAATTTTATATAAAAACGAGAGTCCATTAGCAAATATCAACAGTATGCAAATTAAAAATCTATACATTTGAAGGAAAAAAGTTAGCTCATACATGCTGTCTATACACCCAATCTCTTCTGATACCAGAAACGCTTGGATGGATGTGTCTAATAAGATCCTGTTAAGTCATGAGCAATACAAGAATAAATGCCAGAACAGAGCTGCAGAATGAAAAACTAGTTTCCAAGAAAACCAAGACATGCTTACATATGAGAAGTTTTGTTGCTCATGTGTTGGTACAAAAGGATACTGAATGCCCATGTTTGCAACAAAATGCTGATATAGGGATGGCTGGCGCAGAAGAGGGAAAAGAGGAAGGCAAGGAGTGTACTTGAAGTAAAATGGGTGGAACGGAGGGGTAACAGCATTGCAACTAGATTGATATGAGGACAGTATGGGGGTGTTTTGCACATGGTAATTTTGCAATTCCTTGCAGCGATCTTCTTTGTGCTGAGCTATTGCCACATATAAGAACCTTCCCTCAAAGAAGGTTCCTAAGCAATTTCAAATTCACATTAGTAACCATCAAATGTCCCTTAAATATTTACAAAAGAAATCACAACTCAAATTATCAAGACAGTGGAAAAAGGGCAGAGAGAAGTTTGACTGACCATTAAGCCCATGTAAAGCTGCCATCGCTTCTTCAGGGGAGGAAAAGCACACAAAGCCAAATCCCTTACTCATCCCATTTTCAAGGCACATCACCCTAGCTGAGGTTATTCGTCCAAAGTGTCCAAAAAGCTCTTGTAATCTTCTGTCATCAATGGATATATTGAGGTTGTTCACATAGAGATTTGAAGCCTTCAATTTCTCAAAACGGCCGTTGAACACATCTTTGTACTTATGTTTCAATAGCTTTGTCCTTTCGGCCTTCTTTTGAGCCCTTCCCACAAACAAATTCTTTGAACCTGATTAACAAATCAATTTTACATATCTAAATGATTAATCTTTTGGTTGAACTACTAACTTTTGAACAAGGGAAAGAACATGAACAATACCATTTTTACCCAGTTGTACACCATTCATAGCTTCCAGAGCCTTCTTAGCATCATCTGGGGATTGAAAGTTGACGAAACCAAACCCTCTTGAGCTCCCATTGCCATCTTTCATGATTACAACGCTGCAAACCTTCCCATATCTAGAAAACACTTCTTCAAGGAAATCCTCTGTCACGCCATCAAACAGATTTTTCACATATAGATTAGTGAACTTCTCTTCTTCAGAAGCTGCTGTCCTCTCTCTCTTCTTGACAAATTTGGAAACATATCTGCCAAGGAAGTGCAACAAATAAATCAGCAATTACTTTAACAAAGCAAAAAAAATAGAGAAATAATGAGAGAGTTTGAAAGTCAGCGGCTCTTTTCTTGTCACTCTACAATAATGAGAGTGGAATATATATTGTTATATATGCACACCCAAAATAAAAGAAGAGAGAGACTATAATGGCGAGAGGAAGACAGACTTGGAGATAGAACTGTCTTCCCCTCAATTTCGAAAATGGGAATGAGAAAAAAGATTAAACTTTATGCATAAAATATTGAAGAAAGTAGAAGTGCCAGAACAGAAGACCACGATTTTTCTTACTGTCCTGCTATCTCCAGAATCTATACACTAATCAAAATTCATTTATTTATATAATTCTTTATCATTTGGTTATACTGATCAGCCATTGGATATCATTTAAGCGATTAATCTGGAGTCTCCGAAATGACTCTTAAGTATAACTATCTATGATAGATGGTTTTGTTTTTCAGTGAGAGATGTTAGGCCTCATCTACATCTGGGAAAGAGCCATCAACTCCTTTCTTCCTCTTTCTATTTTCAAGAATCATAACACAACTTAGATGAACAATACCATCCAGGCGTTCGCCCGTTGGAAGGAGGGATAATCAAGAGAAGCATAGCTCCTCTAATGAGCATAGTATTGGACAAAAATTATTAAGAAATCCACAATAAAAGTCTAACAGTTAATACAACTATACAAGTATATATAGTCAACAAGCGTTGACAAAGAAGATACAATGGTTGAGAAAGAATCCAAGATAAATGAGATCACAATACTTACAACTTCCTCCCTTCAAGCATAGTATCATGGAGAGCGGTTAATGCAGTCATAGCTGATGCCTCTGAATCAAACTGTACAAATCCAAATCCTTTACTCTTGCCATTTTCTTCAACAACCTTACAAGAAAGAATAGTCCCAAAACGGCAGAAGATTCCCTCCAAGCAAGCGCTGCTTATAGAAGGGTCCAGGTTCTTGACAAAAAGATTGGCAAGACCAATCTTTCTAAGGAAAGGGTCTCTGCGAGACCACATTATTCTCACCGGTTTTCCCTTCAGGTCAGTGTGGTTTAGACAAGCTAAAGCTTTAGATGCTGATCAAAACACAGGATAAGCATTAATAACTCTTCAGGACCTCAGCTGACAAACAATCATCATCACTAAACTAGAAATCCAGATAAATGGAATAATACGTAGTAAAAAAAAATGACTCATTCCCATAAAGGGTAAAAAAAAACTAAGCAAAGCCCTAAAAAGAGAAAGTTCACAAGAAACAGACAAAACAGAGCAAAAAATGTGAATAGATTTTACACAAAACAGAAACACATAAAAAAGATGAAAAAGAAGACATGAATGATAAGCAAGAAATCCGGAACTCATGAAACAAGTCAAGAAAAGAAATCGTTTAAGAAAAAGAGAAAAGAACACAAGGCAAGAAACTAAGAACTAACCAGAATAATGAACAACGTGATTATGGGAAATCGCTGCTTTTTTAACCTAATGAAATGAAGGGAAAACCCACGCAAAAAATAACCTAGAAACTTTGTGAAACAGAAAAAACAGAGCATAGAAGTGATTTTGAAACTCATGCTGAAAACTAACGATTCCAAGAAACGAAATACATGAAAGAAAAGAAACCCAAATCGTTAATATGAAAGAAAATGAAGGAAAAAACCCACTTAAATACCCTCCTAGAAACTTCGAGAAACAGAGAAAACAGAGCTTTAGAAAAAGGAACTCAAGAAACAAAGAACGCAAGAAAGCAAAAACGAAAGATACCATGAGAATGAGAGAAGAAGTTGATGTAACCGTAACGAAGAGACTTTCCGGTACGGAGGCATCGGCAAAGGCGAAGAGAAGCGACGGGTGAAACGACAGAGAATTTGTTAAAGAGGTCAACCTCTGTAACATCAGGGTCCAAATCACCCACGTACAACGACACTCTCTGCAGAGGATTCCACCATCCTCCAGAAACTGTTGGCGCCGGTAGTTGCAGTGGCAGAGACGGAGGAGAAGACGACGGTGATCGTGCCGACGCCATTTCGTTTTTTCGTTTGCTTAAACCCAGAGAGAGAGAGAGGAGGGAGATGCAGGGTTTTGCTCTTTTGTTTCTTTGTTTTGTTATAACGGTGAGGTGGTGAGGTTCGTGTGGTACGGTATATTGGGATTTGGAATATTTTGTTTGTACGGACATCACGCGACATAAGTTTCTTCGACCACTGTACATTCGCTTTCCTCTATTGACACGTGTTCAATGCAAGAGAAATTGACCTGGCCACCCTTATGCTTAAAATTTTTTTAAACCAACGGAATTATATAATTAATTTCTAATAATAAGGTATATATGGAAAAGGTTATTTAGTGTTAAATGCACTTTCAGGTGTTTCTATTTTGATTTCTAACAGTAAAAGTGATATGTTACATTCGGACTGATTATGTAATAACAAGATATACACTAGTGTCAACCAATATTATATGATGCTTGCTGATTTCTTGTGAATCTTTCCACTTCGTGGTCCTGATTCTTCTAAAACTTCTGCAAACTTCACCAGGTCAGATTTCCGAAGGATCTCGGAGTCTTGATCGAGTTGGTGTTCAAGAGGAGATTCAGAAGCATCATCCCTGCCTAATATGAATCTTTTATATCCATAAGAACTGCAGTCGCTATTTCTTCGAAACTTTTCGATGTCTTTGATATGATCAACATTCAGACTCCTCCATCTTGGGACATCCAGAGAGGTTCTAGTTGAACTCTGAGATGGAGTTGTGACCCTATCACTATGGCTTTGTAGCATGGTTATGGAATCATTCCCTCTACCTGAACTCCAAGTTGGAGAATCAACGTCTTCCTGGTGATCAGTTTTGCTTGTTGGTGAAGCCTGACTATCTTTTCCCCGCAGTAGTCTCCTAAGATTCTTGAAAAACTTAAGTTTTCCCGATTTGGTGGTTTTTGTAACTGATGAATTCTCAAATGAAGAATCATCTACATCCCCGGTATCAGTACCATAGGAAGCTTGGGAGGAAGACCATTGATCACAATCAAAATCCATGCTATTCATCCCTCTATCCGCCACTCCTTCAGTACGTGCATATTCAAGTATTAGTTTTTTGGCTTTCTCCTCTGACTTCGGGCTTAGGCTTTTGCTTAGGTCTCTAGCAGCTGTTTTACCAGGACGGGGTTGATAATTCCTCAACTCATATCGCAAGCAAGCATTTATCCATCTAAGATACACCAGTTCTTCAACATCAGCGCATCTATCAGCTTGGAGCTGTTCAATTTGCTTCGTCAAGTCTTCATTTTCTTGCCTCAAACAGTTATTCATTTCATTTAATGCTTCTGTCTGCAAACAAATGCACCCAGAATAAATCCAAGAATAATAATATTAGTAACAATATAAAGGAAGAGGATTCACCACAAATGAAATAACTACCTTAGGATCTTCTAAAACAGAATTTGCAAGGATTTGGGTTGACTCCAACTTTCGAGCCAGTTCAGAATTTTCTATCTGCAATCTCCTATTAGATTTCCTCAATTCTTCTGCCTCGCCTTCCAAAACCTTTAGCCTTTGTAACTTTGATTCGAGATCCTGCTTATTTGCAGGAGCCTTGAGTTCTTGCTCTTGCAATCTAGCAACCCTCTTTTGAAGGTTTAGGATCTGCTCTCTGTTCTGCTCAGCCTCATGCCAAAGTTTCTTCTTAAGCATCTTAATTCTGTATCTTGCAGCTTCTAGCTCAGCTACAACTTTTGCATGATCAGCAACTTGGCCCTCTAGCCTTTGGTTTTCTGACTGTAAGGACTCAATCTTGAGAGTGAAAAGCTTAGCCTCCATATTGTTTATCTTCAATCGGTTTTGGAGCTCCAAAACTGCTGTTTCTTGTTCTTTAAGGCCATAATACTCCAGCAGCTGGACCTCGTGATTCCTCTCCCTTTCCCTAAGCACTCTTACCATATTTCTTAGGTGCTTGATCTCTTGCTCATAATCATCCTTTTCAGCACTTCTTAATGTTCTTGAAGTTTCTATATCTAACCTTGGTGTTTCTACTTCCTGCTTAGGAGAAGGACAAGCACTGGCAGAAAAGTCAAATTCCTCAACAAGATCATTAAACTCTGGCAAGAGACACACATCTCCACCATCTCTGATGCTTGGGGAAAGACCAACAGAAGCATTATCAACACTAGTTCGTTGCATGGACATTTCTTCCTGCCAGAGGGAAACCAAGATATCATACTCAGGAACAGAATCAGCACATGCACGTAATAAACCTAGAAGCTAACATCATATGGCACAATATTCAGTGCTCTAATAATTTGAACACTAGATTCACAACTGTTATGAAATTGAAAGGTTTTGGCAGATATAATCATTTAATTCCCAAATTGAAAAAGCAGGTAAATATTGAAGAGAAATTGATTAAGGCATAAAGCAGAAGCCTGTTGGTGCATCCAAACTATATAACAAAAAGGATATTTAAGCAGATGATTTAGCAGGCCCCTGAAAATTCCCAATTTTCTTGAACTTTCCCATGATTGCCTTACAGACAAACTAAACAGCTTTTATCTTGTAATTCAGTTGAATAAAGTCGAAAAATATTCCAACTATCAATGGCTCTTTCATTTCCACGAAGATCAGCAGATTTCATTTAACGGTTTTTTGGTCCATGAAAATCAATAATCATACTGTGAAATACAATTACAAGATATATATAACAAAAGTTTCCTTTCTGCCTGCTAGGACAAACAATACAGATATAAGGCTTACCCCTCCTCCCTTTCTCCAATTGATAAAATACCAACAAAAGAAGTTACCAGGGAGAATGAAATGTTTTCGAATTTTAATATTTAAGTTACACTTCCACCTATATCTAGTTATCGATGTTACAATTGGAATTGATCCAAAAGCCAAACTAAATGTTTTAGACTATAATATCATCCAGGAAAACTTACAGGTTCAGAAGTTGATGAAATCTTTAAGGCCTGAACATGATCGTGACGCCTATCATTTCCTCCAGAATCAACCTCACCACAACGATCTTTATATCAAAATAATAACAAAGTTCAATACCCAATTAAATTAATCAAAACCAAATGATCAATAAAAGTCTAAAATGCAAACCTGAAACACGCATGGATGGAGGGGGAGGCAAATATGGCTTGGTCTTTCGGGTTCTAAGTTGAGAATAAAGAAATCCAGCAAAAGAGAAAGCAACAGCCACACCAAATTTCACCAAAAGATGCCTTAAATCCCTCTTTTCATTTAACATCATAACTGAAAACATTTAATTTCGATAATATTATTCAAGAATCCAGATACAGCAAAATCATATGCTCCTCCTCTTCATCATCTTCCATCTAAATAGTCAAAAACTCAAAATTTAAAAGAAACAACAACAACTAATCATTGATTCTAGGCGAACAAAGTAAGGCAATAAAACTCATATGATCCATTTCACAATAACAATCTAAGAGGCAACAAAATTTAATCTGCATGTGCAAAAATAGAAAAGATTGATAAATAAACAGATAAGAGAAGAAAAAACTAATTATCCATAAATTTAAATATGCTAATATTAGACACCAAGGAATAACATAAACTCCAAAAAAAAAAAATCGTTTAACCCACCTCAGATTAACGGAAAACAAGGAAAAAAGAAAGAAAGAACTAATAAAATAAGAGAAACCCATTTCAATTCATGTAAAACCGATTCTGAAAGAGAAACAGAGGACTTACTATTAAAGGAAGGATCCTCAAACGCGTCGAAAATCAATAAGAATCAACATAACACAAACGTTTTTTTCTTATCTTGTTCTGTTTTAAATTTTTCTGCTTTGAAAATTTTTCTTTTTTTGGATTAATTTGGGCGTCTGTTATAGAGCAAAACAGAGCATACTCTTAATAGTTGCACATGAAACATTACAGAATAATTAATGTTTAAGTCGTAGTTGGTTTCTGTCTTTATTTCATTTTTCAACGTGAACTTGAAAAAAATAGGCTGAAAAGGAGAGAGAAGAGTTTGGTTTTGTTTGTTAATGGAGAATAGTAAGTGTTGGATTCTTGGCTCATTTGATTCCAAGTAGATGCCGCAAATGAAAAGAAAATTGATGCCCCAAAATTTGTTTTTTTTTTTTAATTTGGTTCCTTAAATTAATTTTAGATCATAAGTTTGGCTTTGGTTTGGAAAATATAATTTGGACAGCCTCCCAGCCTCGCTTCATTCTTCAGCTACTTTTCCCTCCAATAGGTCCCTACATTCGGTGGGCCAAATGATCCAACCATATTTTTTAATTATTTTGATTTAAAAAATTCAAATCATTAAATCAAAATTTAAATTAGATTTATAATTTTAAATGTGATAAAAAAATAACGAAAAAATGTAAAAAAAAATACGATTTAATATTTTTATAAAAATTATATATGAATTGATAAAAATAAATATATATATATTATAAGGTTGATGTGTTCATATAAATTATAATAAGATAAATTTTATATTTTATATGTATTTATATAATAATAATATAAAATTGATAAATTTAAATTAAATGTATAAAATTATGTTTTGCCTTAAAAAAACACGGATGACGTATGTTTAATGATTTTGTTTTTCTTTAACAAGTAGTTTTAGAATATTTTTAAATGAAATAGCGGATGCTTGCAATAGTAACAGTAATAAAAAAGAGGCTTCTTTTCTTTGTTTGCACAAGTTGCTTGTGCATAGAAAACGTGTGACCATAAAAGCAAGGAAGCTAACGCGGACACGTACGTTGAAAGGAAGATGGAAACCATACTGTCAACTTTCAACCACGAAACTTATTCGTGATTAGACCTGCATTTTGATGTATCCAACTTTCCCATGCCAGTGTCCAGTTGTAAGAAAATAACGAATTGAAAAACACTAGAAGTTTCTTGCCACTAGACTCTTGAATTTGTGATTAGGCATGCATTTTGCTACAAATATTAAATATAAAATATAAAATAAAGGAGACTAGAGATGACAACGGATCGAAACGATTTTTTATTTATTTTAAATTTGATTTGATTTTAAATATGTAATATTAAAATTTGATTCGATTTAATAATTTTTTATTATTTTTATATTCGAATTCGATTCGATTTGATATTGTATAAAATCATATTCAACTCGATTCGATCCGAAATTAATAAAATATTATTTTTAATATAAATATAAAATTAAATATATATAAATAATATATAAATAATTATAAAATTATTTATATATATATCAAGTCGGGTAGGATCGGATTTGCCTAAAATTCGATCCCGATCTGACCTCGATTTTTTTTATGTCATCCATTTGACCCGACTCGATATCAAATTTTCAAAAAAAAAAACTGACCTTAAAAGATCGGATCGGATCGAAATCCGTCAATTTCTAATTTTTTTGCCTTCTCTAGGGGAGACAATTAGTAATTAAATTAAAATTTATTTAGATGTATGATAAGATTAATTTTTATAAAATTAAAAATTATAGTGATAATAAAATTAAATACTATTATATGGATTAAAATCATTAATAAATATATATGTTTAGATAAAAAATAACATTAATAATAATATTTAATATGATAGTTAATTATTCAACTAAAATCAATTAATTATAGTATTTAGAAATTAAATAATAAAATATCGGACCAAAAACATTCGATAATCATAATTGAAAATTAATTTTTGTTTCAATTTTTATCTAACATACTCGAAAGCTTTACGGAAGAGAGTCGACTGTCCTAAAAGAGAATAAACCATTTAGACCCTTTATGTTCTGATTAATCTTCAATTAAAATGATAAAAATTTCAACTGATGCTAATCAAATACATTCCACGATACAAATGAAAGTTGAACAGTGCGTAGATACCATCAAACTGGGGTGCAACGTTATCCACGTATACTTCTAATCTTTTAATGAAAAGTCAATTTTGATATTAAAATTATCATTAAGCATCGTAATTGCAAATCCCTAAATGCTTTTATTATTACGAATAAATTTAATCATAATTTTAAAAAAATTATTTCACATTGCATTTATATTTTAAATTTTTATTCAAACTAACAATTATAATCAAACACAACTCTAATTGGAAAGCAAGTAATTCAAAGTCCAATGGCAAAATATGACAATTAGAGTCGACAACTTTTAAGATTGTCCATACCAACAAATGAACTAGTACTACAATAAGGAATAGATGTAAAAATAACAAAATGTAGCAATATAAGTTTTTGTTATGCAAAAAACAAATAAATATAAAAGAGTAAAGAATAGTCATTAGTAAATTTTATTACTTAAAAATAACAAATTAAGTAATATGACAGCAAATTAAACTTGTTTAATGATCAGGTTATTTATTTTAATCCAAACGTCCATTTAAGTTTGTAAAGATTTTGAATAAAAAATTAAGATCCATTAAATAAGTTTAACACAATTTTCAGATATATTTAAAATTTAGATTGAATTTTAAATAAAAGAATTAAAACATGAGTCTTACCCAAATAAAATATATAATTAAAATATTATAATTATACAAATATATATATGTAAATTTTTATTTTAATAGTTTATTTTAAAAAAAATTTATTATATAAATTTATGGTTAATGGATGAACTTGAGAAAACTAAAATATTATATCAGATTGAATTGAATCTGAATAAACACATAAGTTATAAATATCAAGTACGAACTTAGCTCAAAATTGATCCAATCCATTTACATCTATATAACAAATAAATGTGAAATTAATAAAATTTAAGGTTAACTTTAGAAATATACAATGTGATTAAAGTCAAAATAAAAATATTTTATAATGTTTAAAATATAACACTTAACTACCTTACGATTTATATTTATATTTTTTATTTAAAATCATTACTTTTTGTTACTTTTTATTATTATTATTTTTCATCTCATGTTATTTCTTTAAAAATTCATATTCTCTCTCTAAAAATTCATTCTCTTTTTTTAAATTAAATTAATTCTCTCTCTAACTAAACCAAACCCCCTAAGCATTTTCTAACTTCTCTCAACTAGCTTTAAACTCAATAACAAAACTCATAAATCAATTAAAAAACCACCACCTGCTCCACTATTGATTGTTGGCCTTGGTTTCCTTTTTCCTCTGTGTGGCACTGCTCATTTCTTTCCTTATTTAGCTAATATCCAGCAAAAACTCAATATCTAATCAGAGATGCTGCTACATCTTTTTTATTTGAGCACTCTAAGACACAAACCAAAATCCAAAACATTTTAAATTGTCCCTGCCATGCCACTGTTGACCATTCAATAATCTTAAAATAATAATTTTTATTCTATTTCAAAATCCAAAGAGAAAAGCCCTACAATAAAAAAAAAATTCTTATATAAGAATTTTTTATTTTGTTTTTGAATTTTTCTGTAGGTGTTTTGTTATTAATTTTTGTGTTTATAATTATTTATTAATGGGTGATTATTGACTTTGCACTACTTAATGGGTTTTTTTTGGTTTCGTTAATTATCGATTATGGGTTCACTAATTATTGATCCGTATTAAGGTTTTATTGGTAAATTTTTTGTCGTTTGTTTTATGAATTTTAGTTTTGAATTGCTTACTATTTTTTTTTTAATTCAGATGAGTACTGGCTACTGAATTGTTTGAGATTACTAATTGCTCAATTTTTTTTTCTCTTTTAGTTTTATGATTGTCTATGTTTTGCCTTGTTTGCTTAATCTTTTAGATTTTGCTAAATCAAAAATACTATTTGTTAGAAATGGTTTTGACTGAGCTTTTGATTGACAAATTTATTTTCTCTCTAAAATTAAATTAATTCTCTAAGAATTGATTTAATTTTATAGAGAGAATAAATTTCTAGATATAAAATATGAATTAAGATAAAGAAGAAAAAAAAATGACAAAAGTAACAATTTAAAAAAATAATAATAAAATAAATTATAGGATAATTAAGTGTTATATTTTAAATCTCAAAATATTTTTATTTCGACTTTAATTATAAGGTATATTTCTAAAGTTAACTCTAAAATTTAATGATAAAATTTGTAAAATAAAAATTTAAAATGATATGTATAAAATAATATTTTTTAATTCATATCAATTTTGACAATTGCTATAAGATTCAAATCCTATTAACATCAAGTAAAAAAAAATTATTTAAGAAATTTTGTCAATAAAATTTGAATTATATGATTTTAACAAGAGATTTTATACATAATTATTATAATATAATTAATTATAATTTAAAATTATGTAAAACTTATTAAAATTTTATATAAAATTCATATTTATAAGTAATAAATTATCACATAATTAATTATTGTGATTTAAAATTACAGTAAATAAAATTTTAAATAAGATGCTTCCCATTATAATTTATGCATGCTGGGAATTTGAGTGGAGACTAAAAAAGTTATGGGGTTAACGAGGTGTGAAGTTGGAATTTTCCCATCCTCGAAAACCCAAGACGGGGAGCTGCCTGGAAATTGGAATGGAGTCCGAACCAACACCACAGTCACACACTCTCTCTTTCAAAACTTGGCGGGGTTCTCTTTTCTGCAAGTATTTCAATCTTCTACCAAAACCCTAAGCTAAATCCTGCTATAATAAACAAAAAAAAGGTAAAAAAAAAGGATCCTCTCTCCCTCCCATTCCCATAGTACTGCACAGTTTCTCTTATGCAAATCATCGAAATGAAAGCCATAAGATCAATTTACTACACCCATAAACGCTTCCTTCTCCGTAATCCCACCAGACTCTCTGTTTCCCTCTCCTTCCTTTCCCGCCATTTTCACTCCTCCAACGCCCGGTTAGCTCTTAATTCTCCGGAAACGGATGGAACCCATGAAACTCATCGTGTCTGGACCGCCTTCGAGCCGCTTACTGGCGAGCTCTACACGAGTAGCAGCAGTCGGGAAAGCAGTAACCAGTATGACGAGTCGGGTTCGGAAGACGGAGCAAATGCGGACTTTGAGACCGAAGGGACTTATGGGAAGGCCAAAAGTGCTAATTTGAGCGACGGAGAAAAAGCCCAGAAGGGATTCTCAGATTTCAACAATAGGTCTCGTTATTCTTCCAATGAAAACGCTGATGAGATGAGTCGAAAGAAGGCGTTTTCGGGTAACGAGTTGGTATTTGGAGACATAGTTGGGAATAAGAAGAAAGGGAAAGGTAAAGTTAGGTGGGTTTGTGAATATTGTGGGTACTCAGATGGCCAGTGGTGGGGAGTTTGCCGTTCCTGTGATAATTCCGGGACGATGAGGAGGTTTTCAGAAGTGGAGACCAAGAACAGAGGGTTGGAATTCTCGGAAACTGTGGTGCGGTCTTGGCTACCAAAGGATGCAGGGGATGTGGAACCAGTTAGGTTGGTTGATGTTACGCGTGGGATTAAGAAGATGGATTACCGGATTCCACTGTAAGTTCCTTTTTTTTTTTTATGAAACTTAAAGGATTTGAAAACATTGTACTTAGGTATAAATGCATGTATGTTTTTGCTTGGTATGCTTGCTATTTAGGTCTGGACCCTTTGGAAATGAAGTTGCCAGGGTGCTTGGTGGTGGTCTTGTTCCAGGTTTGGTCCCTGTTTATAATCTTTCTGTTGATTAATTTTGGCATTATTGCTTCTAAAAAATTTGAAAAAAAACGAATGAAAACATGATAGTGTGATCCAAATGTATCGTAAATAATTGCTTAAAATTGGTATTTTGAGTTCATAATGGAAGCTTATTTCATTTGTGTATTTTTTTTTTCTGTTTACAGGTTCATTGGTTTTGATTGGCGGTGATCCTGGTGTTGGAAAGAGTACCCTACTGTTGCAGGTACAAGTTTGAAGCATTTGAGGTGTTCAGGGTTCTTCTGTTATCTTGTTCTGGAAATTTTTTTTTTTGGATTGAAAAGGAAACTCTTCTGTCATCAACTCATATTGACATTCTTTTATTGGAAATAGCTGTCTAATTATAATGTTAAGTTCACTTCTTACTTGAAAGGTGGCTGCACTAATTGCTGAGGGACATGGCTTAGGTCAACCTGCTTGTGTTGTATATGTCTCTGGCGAAGAGGTTAGTTTTTGTGTAGTGTCATACTGATCTATCAATATTATCTTGCTCAACTGTTCAAGCTTTACTATGTTATAATTTGCACATATTGATAAGTCATTGACCTTGGCACTATAATAATAGTGCCTGTTTTACCATGAATATGCCAGCATTAATTTGAGTTAAATTCATTTCTGGCTTCCTCATGGCAGAGTGTGGAACAAATTAGTAGTAGAGCTGACCGTATGAAGATTGGAGCTAACGAACTTTACCTTTACTCTGGTACTGATATCGAGGTAAATGACTCTAAGGAAATGCTTATAATTAAGAAATCTTTTTCTTAAATCCCCCTTTCTTAGCTGTTATGTCAACTTTTCTTCCAAATTGAAAGAGTGTTGCTGGTCTACCATATTGGAAATGAAGTCTATGATTTTCCTTGTACAGAGAATCAGGCGGTGAATCCTAAACTAATTGGTGGATTTGCTTCCTTGCAGGACATTTTGGTAAAAATTCGGCCACGCTCACCACGGGCTGTAGTTGTTGATTCAATTCAGACGGTTTATCTGAAGGAAGTTATTGGAAGTGCCGGTGGTCTCTCACAGGTTGGAATATTTTTGCACCATGACCTTTATGGTTTCTTTTTGTCCTTACCCTTTGGCATAACATATGGAATGACCTAGATTGGAGACTTAAATGTTTATAGTTATTAGCACCACTTATCATTTTAAATCATTTTCCTTGGTAATGTTTTGTTCTCTCCCTAGTAGTTCTGTTTTTCACATAATGTTCAACTAGCAATATAAGAAGTTTTATAGAGCAATTGTGTGCATATTTTAGGGAGTGGGGGTTTCTAATTCTCTGTTGGTTTGAGGGCAGTTATTTGCTAAGGAGTGACACTGTTTAGTTAATGACAGGTCAGAGAATGCACGTCTGCTTTGCTGCGGTTTGCAAAAAAAACCAACATCCCTGTTCTTTTGGTAAGCATAAGGTTCTTTCTCTCAAATCAGCTGATTGAATATGTGGTTTTCTTAATTATTTTTTTTAATTTATTATGTCAAATTTAGTAGCATGATTAATCAACAGATAGTTTTTATGCTTGTGGTTTGGATGGTTCCCAAACATTTCTGTTTGTGGCTGTTCCTTTATTTTAGTTGTTTGCAATTTGAAATTTTCTAAACTGTTGCTCAGCTATTTAGGGGGGATTTATTCTTTATGTTTCTTCTTTAAGTACATGATGGTGCTTAGTAACTAAGAAGTGGCTTATAAATGGTAGTCAATGCAAATGGATACTTATTGCTGATAGATTAAGCTGGAGGTTCTTTTCTAATGAAAGGGCCCTTCTTTGTGTCACACTTGAAAGGGTGGAAGGAAATAATCTAGTGACTAAAAGAAGCAGATCATGAGACTGTTGAAGGATGGTAATCTGGAAATCTGGGTGGTATTATTTACTGTTGCCTTTGGACAAATGATTGATGATAACCGTGTTGCAGATGGTAACTTGATTGTCTTAGGGGCTAGATGGATGCTAACCTGATGATTGCATTTTTGTTTCTAGTACATGTCTAATGTCCTGCATGTGATGCATTTTGGCTATTTGGGGTTGAACATGCACCGTTAATTACAAAAGTGAGATAAATGCTGATGATTTATCTTCATTGCTAAAGCTTTTGGCGGCAGCTATAGTGGTAAAGAATTGAGGGGAGATGAGAATTGATAATGGTTTAAATTGAATACTCCATAAGGAAAAGAGAATGAGAGAGGTGGTAGGGATGGAGAGGGTTATTCTTGAGCACATTCATAGTATTGCAGAATTTGGCCATAGAAATTCAGTTATGACACTTTGTTTCTATGAAAAGGTACTCAAGTAATTTACCTCCTCTCAGTTTTGCACTTCTTTGCTCTAAGGTATGTAAAAATTAATTGATAATATGTTCCATGAGTAGGCTGATATATGTGCTTACTGAATTTTGTCAGCTTTAATTTATTCAGTCACATTATTGGTTCTAACTTCTGAGTTATGCTTTTGTACTCTTCCTATTCTTTTTATGATGTCAGGCTGGGCATGTAACAAAAACTGGTGAAATAGCTGGACCTCGTGTCTTGGAGCACATTGTAGATGCTGTCTTATATCTGGAAGTTGGTACCTAGTTGCCTCTTTCTATACTGTTGCTAATCTTGTTCTCTTTGTGTGGTTTTCTTTATTGCACATCTCCTTATCTTTATTGTTTTTTTAGTTGGATAAAATGTTGTTTGCTTTCGTTTATAGAAGATCCTAAATTAATAGGAATTAAACCAGTTGGAGACACTACTTTTAGCCTTGGAAATTAAGTTTATTTTTCCGTTGGTGAAATTGACATCTCATTTTATTCTCATCTCTCTAGAGCTTATATTTTGCCCCCTTCCATTTTTAAAAGAAGAATATTTTGAAGTGGCATATTTTGATGGGTGAACATATTAAATGGTTTTCCTCACAGAACCTGCGTTAGTAACAATGAGCAGTATAATTTCAATACATCTGCCTTGTGATGGACATGCAAAGTACGTGTAGAAAACTGTTGGGGTTTTGGCACAAATGTTGGAAGGAAAGATTGGGTTCTTTTTTTTTTTTTAATCAAACAGAGGGAAAACTAGAAACTCCGATCTACATGTCATTGTAAATTGTGGACTGGTTTTTAGTTTCCTGTCATTACAAAACAGAGACAATGAAGCTTGTTTAAGACATCCATTATCAGATGTTGGCTCAAATTTGAATATCATCATGTTCTTTAACTTTGCAAAAGTTTGGACATATGCCTTTTAATCATCATGTATGAAGAATAAATGCATCTGTTTTCCAGGAAATTTGGATTGAAATATAACTGATTGGAATGTACTTTTCCGCTTAAAATTGTATTTTTGGAAATGTTGATGATTTTCTTGTCCTGATTGTAACCTATTATCAAGAAGTACTATTTTTTACTCTTCATAGTTTCCATATATTTTCCAAAATAGTTTGCTTTGGGCTACAAGTCAGTTCTTGAGTTCATACTTTTGGTTCCGATAACATAACTACTATCATTTCCAGGGGGAAAAGTGCTCATCTCATCGTTTGCTTCGACCTGTGAAGAATCGTTTTGGGTCAACTGATGAGGTACCAATGATAGAGATATAATTCTTTTTGCTTCTACTATAAAATGAATGACTCAGGGAGATGCTGGACTTGATTGTATCCTGTATCATCATCATTTTTTTTATTTTCTACGTTGAAGATCTTGTTAATTCTTTGATTTCTTTAAACTCAAATATGTCATGTGAATCCATCACTGGCTATTGTCTTAATGAGCATATCTACTGTCAGCTTGGAGTTTTTGAAATGTCACAATTAGGACTCCAAGCTGTTTCAAACCCCAGTGAGATGTTTTTAAGTGATCAGAACTCAGATTCAGAGTTTTTAGCTGGACTCGCTGTTGCTGTAATTATGGACGGATCTCGTGCTTTCCTTATTGAAATTCAGGTATTGTCCTTTTATACTTTGTTTTTTTCTCATTTGCTTCATGTTTCTAACAACATTTACTTACCTGAGGGTTGGGTTTGAACTGCCTAATGAATGTAATGGATATGAAATATTCTATTATCGAGTACTATATTTAAAATGATTATCAGAGTTCAGGACGAAGCATTGAGCTTTACAATATTTATACTTAGAATTTTCTCCATTGCATGGGGATTATAATTTATGAAGGATAGTTTATCTTTATCATGTACGTCATCAATTATATCCTTTATTTGTTAAGAGAAAATATCAATATAATGGTAATTTCATCTATGAAGTGAGAACTGTTAATGGGGATCCTCCCAATCCACCCAATTAAGAGGAACGAAAAAAGTAGGATTGTCGAATTTTTGCAGGGGTAGTTTTCAAAATCCAAACAACTGAAAGGATAATACTCTCTTATTACCCTCCCTTTCCCTCAACTAACAAACTATTTGTTTCATTATTAAATGAGAAAACTTTGTTGTTGTATTCTTTTTCTTTTTTTTTTGTTCTTTTTTCTCTTATCAATAGAGCCTTTGTACGTTAAAAACTGGCCATTTTTCTTTCTTCACTCAAGCTTTTGGGTCTGAACAACTTAATCTCTTTCCTTTCTGGAATGAATATGTATGAGAAAGAAAGCTCATAGGGGTTGTAGAGTAGGGCTTCCTGAAAGACTCTGTAACAAAACTCTGTTCTTTTGCAATGAATTCTTCAAAGAACAAATTAAAACATGGCTGTGGAGCTCTTATTAAAGCAAGAAGGGCTATGATTATGCATATTTATTACAAACGAATCTGATCAAGTTTGGCCTATGTTAGATTATACATCTCTAAACTCTATTTTGAGAAAATATTTTTGTTAGTTAACCGTTATTGATAGTTTTCTTAATAAGTATTGAAAAAATGAGGCATACAATATGTTAGGGAAAGTTTTCCAGTATTGTTTCTTGCTCATAGTCTTGTAATGTTATTTGTTAGTATCAGAGTCCAACAAATGCTATTAATGGACTTTTATAATCCTGTGTAGGCATTGTGTGTGTCTAGCTCAACAGTTTCTAGGCATGTGAACGGAATCCAAGCAAGCAGAGCTGACATGATTATCTCTGTAAGTGCTGTTAAATTCTCCTGTAAACATTTGATCTGCATGCTATGAATGTTGCCTTTTTCAATACTGTTACTTTTATTTATGTAGCTTTACAAGTTCTTAGCAGAAGCATGTAGTAGCTTATGCCATATGCTGTGATTTCCACGCCTTCTACCTCAACTGAGATAGTTAAATGCCCATTTTCTCACTGCTAGTCTCAGTGATCTGGTTTTGGTTTATTACTTTTAATTGTAAAATGCTGATGGATCCTGCAGTGAGATAAAGAGACCAACCTTCAAATTTTATGTTACCTCAAGGCTTGGTGATTGTCCACTTATTAACGTATAAGAAACTTTTCAAAAATAAAAGTTAAATGGAGGATTAGTCTGAAAACTTCCTTTTGTATATCTACTGGCTAGCATTGATTAAGGTTTTTTTCCAGCTTGGATAATTTGTTTCCTTAAAATGAAATGTTAATTATGAATAAAAGGTAAGGATGGAAGCACTCAGTTTGGAATGTTAGAATTTTCTTATTATGAATCTCAGAAGCAAATTATCTTATAATTAATTTAATATGGTTAACAACTTGAGTTATTTGAGTGTTTGTTTTTATCATTTGGATTAAAAAGCCAAATTGAACATTGGTATTTAAGTCAACTCATATCAGCAAACTCTGCTCTCCTCTTGGGGTGTAGGGCTGGGACTGGGAGTCTTATTTTCATATGTTTTTGTATTATTACTCAACAATAAATCAGAATGGTTTAAGAGTTATTTGCTTTATTACTTCATGCTGTTTCTTCTCCCTATTGAAGTAATTAGAAGTTAGAACTCTTGAGTTAGGAATCAATCATCTGCATGCTACACTTTTTGGTAACACTAGACTTTAATGTTCTGCATTTATAATATTGCCATTCTGATTGACTGTTTTTAATATAGGTCCTTGCCAAGCAAGCTGGTCTAAAGATCCAAGAGAATGTAAGTTACTATCTACTGTTTGTCCTCTCTGATTCAGTGTCCATTTCTTTTGGTTTAAAATTCATTTCTTTTCTTTCTTCAACCTTATCATAAAAAGATTGTTACTCTAGTTTGATTGTGATTCGTTTTGCTTTTAGCATGTTCTGTCAAGGGTTGTCAATATATTGATATTTAACCTTTATTCGTAGGGGATGTTTCAGCATGTGGATCTTTTAGTTATTGGTTTAGAAAATGATGAACTAAAGTTTGTTTCTGTTGTCTTCGATTCCTTGGTCTAGTGGCTAAGGAGCTTATAGGAGGACATAGAGATCTTGGTTTTGAACCAAGACCTCCTTCCCTTTCCTCATGGGTTATGCACATCTTATGTATGAAAAAAAAAAAGAAAAAGTTTGCTTCTGTTTTAAGCAATAGAAAGTACCAAAGTGGTTCGTTAGCCATAATACTTCATTTTGTTTAATTTTTCTCTTTTGTCAAAGTATTGGATTATATTCTTTATTATATGTTCTTTCTCTTTCGTCAAAGTATTGGATTATATTCTTTATTATATGTTCTTTTTCATATACTTATGTAATTTTCGTTGCTTTTTCATACCAGGCTGTTTTTCTAAATGTTGTCAGTGGAGTGTCATTGACAGAGACTGCCGGGGATCTTGCAGTAGCAGCATCAATTTGTAGCAGGCATGGGATATGTTTTGTTTAGCCTGTCTAGTTTTTTCAGTAGATTATGATTCTTGAGTATAACTTTTACTTGTTTTTGTTAATTCCAGTTTATCACATGCCTGATTTATATGATAAAGTGATTATGGAAAATAATATAACTAATAATTATTTAAAAAATAATATATAATATTTAAATAATAATATATAACAATAGATATAATAATAAAATAAATAAATTATAGATTTATAAATCAAAATATATTAATATATTTTATATTATTTAATATTTGTGAATTGTAAACCAGGCTTTCAAGTTCCTGCACACAGTACCTGGACAATTTATTTCTTGCCTTTTTCCTTGTCGTGGTCAATTTTTTGACACACACACACACACACATTCTGTTCTAAGTTGATAAATATATGCCTCTTGTCTTGCTCAGCTTCTTAGAGTTTCCTATTCCTAGTGGAGTTGCATTCATTGGTGAAATTGGCCTTGGTGGTGAGCTTCGCATGGTAATCATTTACTGTCCCTGTTATCGCAATTACCTCGGCAGTCACTTTTTCATGTTCATAGCTTAAACTTCTTCTTTCCTTTCATTTTCTTTTGGCAGGGGGTGGGGGTGGGGAATTGGCATATTTAAAGTTTGCCTGTGCTGATTCTTGTTTACTTTTCTCAAATAAAAACAGAAATCATGTCTTAGAAAATACATTTTATACATAACTTGATGGACTTTGATACTGTTTTCGATGGTGGTGAAATGTTGAAACTTTTTGTTCACTGCCTATTTTTTAGTATTTGGTTTAACTTTACTAAGAAGAGCCAAGTTCAAGCAACATTTCCATTCTTCATGACCCTCTATTGAAGCATGCAAAACTTTGTTTTCTTGCTATATTTTAGGTATCGAGGATGGACAAAAGAGTAAGCACAGTTGCAAAACTGGGATATAAGAAGTGTATCGTGCCCATGATAGCTGAGAAATCACTGGCAACACTTGATTTTGGGAAGATGGAGATTATTGGCTGCAAGGATTTGAAGGGGGTTATCAATACCGTGTTTACTAAGTACTGAAAAAGAGTTGGACATCATTGGTCCAAAAAATATGTATCATATTATCTGTATGCTTATTTGTAATGTGTTTAGTTGTATGTCAGTTCCCAAGAACAAAACAAGGTTCAAGGGCCTCTTCTTTTTTTCAACTATGTAGAGCGTGCAAGACTGTTAATATAACATACTTACACAGCTCCCATCTGCGCCTGTTCCTTGATCAATTATGCTTTTATACATTGACGTTGGCTTAGAAGCCAGCTGTTTTTATCTAAATATTCTTCTTTAGGATACGATCTTTTGATTCAAACTTTAGAAAAAGAGCCTTTATGCCCCTTGGTCGGTTCTTGATATTTGCTAAATCTCATTAGTATGACCTGGTTAACATCTCTTATCCTGCCACGACAGAGGGCATGTAAAGATTTGAAACTTTGAAAGAAATGATTGAACCAAAGGAATCCAACTGCAGTCTCTTATTTGCCAATTGGGTTCCATTTGTCCATATAAACTCAGAAGTCAGTGGTGGATATGAGCAAACTCAGAAGGCAATGAAATACTTTATCCAGCACATGATAAAATACAAGCATAAACACTCAGTAATTTTACAGCTCCCTGTATTTCAATGGACTATCAAACCGCCCAAAGCATCGGGGTGTGCACTTTACATAGAAGCGTATGAATGCGGTCAACAATTCAGGAGATGGAGAAGAGGTTAACAAGCAGCCATAAGTATGGACTATGGAGAAACAGCAGATACCCAAAACCAAATTTCTCCAGTGACACAATGGCTCAATGAGGTCCGCATGGAAAGTTTCTTTACTTGATTTCTAAGTCCTCAATATGATTCTCCCGTTGTTCTTCCTCTGCTTTCTTTTCAGAGAGTTGTTTTGGGCTTAAGAAGCTTGGCTGATTGGTTGATGACAGGCACCTTGCCCACATCCTGTCCGTGATCACTACCTTGTTCGGTCTTTCATTAATGCGCTGCACATTACCGAGTAAACGTTTTATCACATCAACTAAGGCCTTCTTTTAAGCAGTCTATAGAAGATTGAACAACAAAAAAGGAAAGTGGTTTTAGTGCCAGCTAGAATTGTATTGGCAGGCAATAGTAAGCACTTTTGTCTATATTCTTTACAAAGAGAACGTAACATTAGTCATTTCATTCAGGAACTTACATGGAATGGTATGTAAGCATGTCTTCCATTAACAGGGCCAACAGTAAAACCTGTGTACCCGGCCATTGCACCATGAATGGCACTATGAGCAAGGAGTGTGCAGTAAACATTATCAGAAGCATTACTTGGTACCGCACATATCATGTAAGTGGGATCTGCCAGAAAATGAAAGCAGTGCTTGGTTACATATTTGGCTAATATGGACCAAAGAAATCTCGGCAGACAGTAACTGAAATGAGCATATATACAGGTTTTCACCAACTACCTATGTATTTGAGATTTATAGTCATCTTTTGCTGCTTACTGAAGTGGTCCTGCAACATAGAAGATAAAATATCAATCTTTGTGGAATGAACATTGAAAAAGGAAAACATTCCATCACACTGCTATCCTCGTTAACAAAAAATGGATTGACTGCTGATGAATGCCAAATAAAGATGATTTTAAGAGTGTTGCAAGATAGAGGTGAACACCAGATCAGCCTAACATATTTCTACTGCCAACTTAGGCATCTTAATGAATTTTGTTTAAGCCAACGAGGGAAAATCATATTCAACACCTTGAGATTAAGAATGCTCGTCAGACAACGATTCCCACTATTAAGAGTTAAGACCTAAATAGTTCTAATGCTTGCATGAATCAGACAAGCTCCGCAGATGAGGCATGCAAAAATGTTTCAGCACCAACAAATTGGTCCTAAAGCATCTGTACCTTTATTTTCTGTGATATCCAAAAACCAACATCGTGGAGCTGCTTGTTCTCTGAAGCATCTTCCTTGTCTTTGGAGCTGATCTTTTCAGAAAGGAACTCTTGTCCCGCACCTTCAGCAACTACAATAACCATGTGCCCATTTTCTTTTAGCCTTTTTTCAATATACTCAAACAGTCCACCAAGTCCTTCAAGATAAAATGGTGACTCGGGGATCAAGCAGCAGTCCACATCTCTGCTTGCAAGAGTAGCGTACATTGCTATAAAACCTGCGTTTTATATAATGTAATAAGACCTGGATAATGTACCAATCCTTCAAATCATCTAATCAAAATAACTGCATAGAGGTGTAAAATTTACCACTGTGCCGGCCCATTAACTTTACAAAACCGATACCATTCTCAACACTTTCTGATTCAACATGGGCTGCTTTAATTGCTCGTTGAGCCTCTTCAACAGCAGTGTCAAAACCAAAGGATTTGTCTATAACCTGTTACAAAAGGATCACAACTTGTTCAATATGACTACTTTACAATAAAAAATCACGCCAGTTTGCATAAAAGCATGAAGTAAGTGAGATGGTGTCTCCCAATTGTGCATGCTATAAGTACCGGAATATCATTATCAATAGTCTTCGGAATTCCAGCTACAGCAACTTTGAGGCCACGTGTTCTAATCTCCTGCATAAAAGATAGGATTATTAATAACTAGTCAAATACTGACAACCATTTTCCAAAAGACAGCTTCATAAGTTAAACAAAAATTTATACATAAAACAGCCTATTTGTCCCAACTTGAATCTTCAATATAACAAAATCTAGATCAATTACCTCAAAAATCACAGAAGCCCCTTTCTGAGTTCCATCTCCCCCGATGATGTATACCTGAGATATATCTAGTTTTAATGCTCAAATCCACATATGGAATTCCTTACCAAAGGTAAAGGAAGTATATGGTGAACATCATATCGTATTCATATAAATTAGAAATAACAGACCAGAAAAAGATCAACATATACCTGATTAATGCCTCGATCCTGAATGCTATCAACAATCTTTGAGGTATCATGTCCTCCTCTTGATGTTCCAAGAATGGTACCACCACGTTTGTGGATGTCATTTACAACTTTTGGTGTCAAAGGAATTGTGTTTCGAGCATAAAAACCTTTATATCCTCCCTAGAAGAACATATTAGCCTCAGCAATTAAATTAAGTACATCAATCAATCATGTGAAATAAATGAATATTGCATACACTTACTTCAATCCCAATAACTCTAGTGACACCATACATGTGGTGTAATCCACAAACTATTTCCCTAATCACGGTGTTTAGACCAGGGCATAGACCACCACATGTTACAATACATGCATGAACTTCATCTGATTCAAAGAACACCTGAAACCATATATAACAATGAACATCACTATTTCTGAATTTGAATATGATAGGAACCCCCAAAATTTTACATTCAAAGAAACAAGAATTCCTAACCTTCTGACGAGGACCTGCACGCCTAAAATGGGTTCCTCTCGGACTCTCTTTTTGAACCACAATCTGTGCATAGGAAGCAGAAAACCATATTCAGAAACAATGACAAAAGTTGACGTGATGCAATGAGTTCATTTTCCATTTTCATAAACAATAGCTTATATTTTACACACCATTAATTAATTAAAGTGTTAAAATTTGAATAAAAGTTACATATGTTGATGCAGAAAAGTTTCTACCTTTTGGGCAACCGTATCATCAACATCAACGAAGTACTGCCTGGTGAAACAGAACAATCCATTTCGTGTTAAAAAATTATATAATAATAAATCATTTAAAGGAAATGCATCAATAATCAGACAATTCCATAAAAAAGAAGACCTTACTTCACAACTGAATAGGCTGGATTGTCTTGCAATGGATTCGGATATGTCTGCCCCCAGTTAAAAAAAAAAAAAAAGGTGAAAAACAGAGCATAACTTTTGGGATAAGCTGCAAACAGAGCCCTAGATTAAATATTAGTGATAAGTAAAACCAAAAGCTGCCCAGTTTATGCTTGAATTTTCTCTATTCATTTTCATTACTTCTATTGTATATTTTCTTTAACTTCCATATAGAAATAAAACAAGGATTAAGAGAGAGAGAGTAGTTTTAATTTTTACAGGGAGTTCGTGGATATAATCAGACAAGTGAGGCACATCTTCGAGAAGGTAACCACAGTCGCCGGTGACGATTTTGGCGTCGGCGGTGGTGGTTGAATTGGCCATTACGTTGGTGGTGTTGTTGTTGCCAGTAACCCTGGGACTTCTGGAACAAGAAGAAGGCAAGGTGGAGTAGTAGCGCCGGTGATTGGCGGTTGCAGGATAAATGTTGGTAGGATCAAAGCACCGGAACTTGGGAGTGACGAGGGAAGTAGTGCTGGAAATGGAATCCATTGGGAGACAAAGAAACAGGGAGAGGAATACAAGATGCGAGAACAGGCGCGAAGAAAGTGAAGTTATTTCTAGCCGTTGATTATGGGAACCATTGCCACTTGGTCGGTAAAATAATACTGCCAGTAATATATATATATATATATATATATATATATATTTTTTTGGTTAAATAACATCTTTTTCACGTCAGGGGATATTCCCATTTTAAGACGGCTATGGATACTTTACAAACGGCATTTTGCCTTATTTAATTCAATTAAATATAATGAGAGTATTTTATAGTCGATACGATTTAGATAGTAAAATTATTATTTGTCATACTTGGGTAGTATTCGAATAGTGATTTTAGTGTACCACAATCTGAATCTTATTATAAATAATAATTTTTAATATTATGTATTTTTATTTATAAATTCGTTATTATCAATGTAATAATTAACTAAATTAATTCATTAAGTATTCTAATTTTTACTTTAATTTATTTTTTCTAAGTTAACTTTTATTTATTAATTTAATTTTTTCTAATAATATATACATTAAAATTAATTTTAAATTTAAAAATTAAACTTTAGATTAATAAATAAATATTTAACCTATTCAAATAATTAACGATTTTTTTTATTACATCAAAAGAATAAAATCTTAATACAAATAAAGAAAAAAAAAATTGATTCGAAACTAATTTTTTTATATCTCTTCAAACGCCTTAATTATTATATCAAAGACTTAAGGATAATATTTTTTTTATTATAAGTAAGGTTAGTAACAAAAATAAAAAAAAATTCAAATAGTTATAAGATCAACATATCATGAAATATAATAGTGTTCTTATTAGAATATTCTCCTCGTTATCATCCCTAATACTATAACTAGGGACATGTTCTTTTTTTTTTTTTCTTTAATCTTTAGGATATAAATATATAGTTAAAAAATCTTAAATTAGATTAACATCGAGATAATACATCTAAATATCCGATTTAATGTAAAAGGATTTAGTTTTCAGTTTGGACATCTTAAACTAGATATACTACATGAATTTTAGTAGGACAAATGTTACAGCAGCCAGAGAAACGGAAGGGTATAAAAGTCAAATGGGAATTTTATTTCCGCTAATTTCTGATCAAATCAAATCCAATTTGACATTGTTGGTTGCATACTTTGAAAATTCAGAAAAGTGGAAAAGAATATGAAAATTTTATATAAGTGCCATTGTTTTATAAGTTTTGATTTTGAAGCTTCAATTAAAGCCGATTGAAAATTCAAAGTTCCAAAATGGAATATTCACTCTGTTTATTCTATGCCCTCGATCTATGGACTTTAATCATAATTAAATAATATTATTATTTTTAGATTTGCTTTCATTTTGAGTAAACTATTTCTTCCTATATTAAGCATATTTTTGTTTGTGTTTGTGAAATTTTTTCGTTGAGTTTTTTTCACACGCAATTGTAATTTGAAAATAAAAAAAAATTAACTAAATATTTTTTAAAAAATAATTATATAAATTAATTGAATTAAAATTTAAATTCAATAAACTATTTTTTTAACTATATCTAAGTCAATGTGATTAAAGTTTTAACTATTTTGCAAGCACGAGCTCATCAGACATTAGGTCCAGTGTAATGATCCATGCGGGGGAAATTAAGGACTTGACTCCACATTTGGGTGCATTGCCAGGGGAACCGAAGTCAACCATAAACAAGTCATGCTTCCTATATATGAAAATTGGCGACGGGTGGGACCATCATTTATTAATTACTTGATGGTAAGACTTTCCTTATTAATTAAGTTGATAATTACTATAATTATTATAATCTGGCATGAGTTGATCGAATAGTCATAATCCTAATGACATACTGTAAATATAATAATAATAATAATTAATTATTCAATTATGAAAGCATGCGACTTGCGTCATCTTTATTTAACCAAACTAAATGTATTTTAGTTTGCACCTGAAGATAACAGAAGGTTTTAATGATTAAAATTTAATTGACAGCATCATATGTATTTATTTATGTCGAGCTTTGAAGTTCTTGAAACCTAAAAAGGCAAAAGCCCGATGGTTTCGGTTCACTAAAAAGCCCAAAATCACCGATAAAGAAAAGCTTAAATCCAAAACTTCTGTTTTGGGGCTTTGGCAATTTGGCATTGGAAGGTTATTGAGTCTAAAATGTTGTGATAAAAATGCTATTTTTCACTTAAAAAAAGAAAAATTTTATTTTTAGTTTTTTATAATTATTTCAGTTAATATTATGAATAATCTTTAAATTATAGTAAAATATTTATATATAAATTTAAAAATTTTTAATATGATAATTAAATTATAAATCTATAATGATAAAATATTTAAAAAATTATTTATCTGTCATATATTATCATTTAAAAATAAATAAGATAATATTATACTATATTAATTAATTAATTTAAAATTTTTGTATCATATTAAAAATTTTAAATTTTAAATATCATATTAAATATGTCATTATAACTTAAAAATTATCCATAAAATTAACATAATTATTTCCATTCTATCCACATCTTTTTTCTAGAATAAATTATACTTAATTTGCTAAAAGCTCGATTAACAGTTGGATGTCTTTTGGGTTGTTAATCTTAATATCACGAGTTAAACATAATCATCTTTCCATTTGTTTTTTTCATGTTTTTATTTTTCTATCCACTCTATTGATCATTCTAATAAAACGTACAAGATGCTGAGATGGCACATATCAGTGGAAAGACTAAACCCTAGAGAAAATGCGCATGAAAGCAGAGAACCCAAACTCCTAAAACCCTGAAAGCAGAACAGAACAGAACAGAACAGAGCATCATTTTCTGGTTCTTTTATCAGCCAACTGAGAGAGGCTTAGACTTGGACTGTGCTCCTCTTCCTTGTTCCTTATAAAGAAATTATAAAACACTTTTAGAAGCAGAGAGGAGAGCCCCAAAACCTTAAAAACCTCGAAATTCAGACCATGTATAGATCTGCCCTTTCACGTTTAAGGGCTCTCAAGGTCAGTTTTTTAAACTCAAATCCCTTTCAAAAACCCTAAAATTTTCTGTTTGTTTCTGGAGAAAAATGCAGGTTAAACAATATAAATGAGGAACCAAAAAGAAATTTTTAGTTTTTGTCACATGGGTTTAAAGAGCCATTCAATCACATTGTTTACCGAACTCTTGTCTGCGTCCAGTTTCTTTGTTTTTTTTGTTGTGTATTCTGTGTAGTGATCTGATTATTTCTATTTGAGGTTTATATATTCATTTATGATATTATTATTTTTGGTTTGTTAAATTGGGTATTTTCCGCCCTCTTTTTGCCGCATTTTAATAAATGTTTCGTGGCATTAGTTTTTTCTTTTTTCATTAGTTTTGTTTGGCACTTTTTTGGATTTTAAGTAAGAGTGTAAATGATACATTAATATTCATAAGTTATTCGGATTTGATTTGAATAAAATTTAAATTCGATTTGATTATTATCGAGTCGAGTTCAAGCTCGAGTAACTCGATTCATCGATCGAATCGAGTTCGAGTATTCTTATACCCGATTCGAATAACTCGCGAGTCTAATCGAATTTTTATATTTAAATATTTTTTATTATTTTAATTAATAAAATATCTCGAATTCAATTTCAAATTCAAATAAAAATAATCGAACTCTTGTCGAGTATAAGAATCAAACTTATTTTTATATATTAATTGAGCTTAATCGAGCGAGCTCGGAGTAACTCAATTTCGATCATGAATCAAGCTCAAGTTAAAAAAATGAAACTCGATCGAGTTCGAACTGAATATTGAATCGCGAATTGGGAGTCGAGCTCGAATTCAAATTTTTCACTGTATCGATTCGATTTGATTTGATTACACCCTAATTTTGAAAGAATCGAAAAATAAATAAAATCTTTTTTTTTTTTTAAATGAACATTTTAGCCCAAAAAAGCCAAATTTAATTCATTCCTTTACGAAGAGTTCTAATCGGTTGGTTGAAAATTTACGAGTTTAGGAGTTATTATCATGTACTTTTCTTTTCTTTTTAAGAGTATTATCATGAACTCTTAAAATATTGAAAAAGTGCTACTCATTAAAAAGAAATGATTTGTATGCACATCTATAATTTAAATAGTGTTTAGTATAAGGTAATTATTTTTAAAATTATGTTAATTTATATATGATGATTAAATTATTATCTTTTATAAGTATTTGATGATTTTATGTGATAGAGGTTTTGAATTATTGAGAGTAATCGTATCATTATTTTGAAAAGTGATTTAATTCTTATACAAAAGGTTAAGAAATTTTTTAACTGAGGTAAATTAATATAGAAAATTAATAATATTAAAATTTACTTATTTAATATATGAATTAAAATTTTGCTGTATCTTAAAATTATAATTATTTTATATTATAAATTTTTATATTTTCAATTAATATTCATTATAATAAGTTTAAAATAATTTATGTATTTTTTATTTTTTTTAATATTTTATATATAATATAATTATTTTTTTTATTTTATTATGCATTTAATAAATTGATTCTATTTTCTAATTCAACTATTTTTCTACAAATTTATATTATAAAAATAAATTTACTTGTCTTTAAATATATTTATTAATTTATTAATTTAATTATATTTTATTATAAAATAAAAAATATACAAATATTTTATAAATTATTATCTTTAAACAACTTTAAATTTATTAATTTACGTAACTTTTACATATGTATAATTATTTTCATATTTTAAAACAAAATAATATTTTATTTTTAATAATATCAAACACAATAATTTTAATTTTTAAGAATTAATCATTATTAATCAAATAAAATAATTTCAAATTGTGAACATTAAAATCATTTGAATAATAAAATCACTTTAATAATTATATTATCATAATAATTTTATAAAAAATACCAAACAATATGTTAAAGCTAAAAATTTTAAAATAAGTAAAGAGTGTTTAAGTAGCATCACTATTTACCTCTAAAACTAAATTCAAATTTTTTTTTAATGTGTGTATGTTTTAATTGAAGAGATCGATTATTAATAAGATTTAGTTCCCGTATGGATTTCGTTGTATCTTTGATACGAAATGATTAAGCTCATTACATCTTCAGTTAAATTCAAATGTCAATTTCAGTAAGGTTAAGTCAACATACAATTTTCATTAAATTTTTTCCAATCATAATTACAGTAATTTTTTTTTAATCACAACCACAATAATTTTTATTATTAATTTCAATATCATCACAACTAATTTCATCGTCTACCTAAATGAAGACTAAATTTCATACCATTTAAAAAATTATCCATGATTAAAAAGGTGCTTCGTTTCGTATAAACTGTTAGGGATCACATAGCTCTAAAATCACTTATTAGATTAAAAGGCTCCAATCTAATTACACTAGAAGTAAAATCAAATAATTAATCAAATACACAAAATATAACAATTTAATATGATTCGATCTTACAAGCCTATGTTCACGAATAAAAATAAGATTTATTAGTTGTAAAAAATTACAAATATATTATATCAACTTCACTTAACAATCAGTACTCATAAGACTCTCTCAATCTTTTTTATTTTTAAACAAAATAATATTTGAATTTTAATAATATCAAATACAATAATTTTTAACTTTTAAGAATTAATCATTATTAGTCAAATAAAATAATTTCAAATTATGAGTATTAAAATCATTTTAATAATAAAATCACTTTAATAATTATATTATTATAATAATTTTATAAAAAATACCAAACAATCTGTTAAAGTTATAAATTTTAAAAGAAGTAATGAGTGTTTATGTGACACCACTTTTTACCTCTAAAACTAAATTCAATTTTTTTTTTGGTGCGTATGTTTTAATTGAAGAAATCGATTATTAATAAAATTTAGTTTTCGTTTGAATTTTATTGTACTTTTGATGTGATGTAATTAAGTTTATTATATTTTTCAGTTGAATTCAAATATTGATTTCAATAAAATTAAATCAGTATAAATTTTTTATAATCATAATTATAATAAATTTTTTCAATCATAATTATAATAATTTATTATTATTATTTTTAATCTTATCACAATTAATATTATTGTCTATCCAAATGAAACTTAAATTTCACTCCATTTAAATAATTATCCACGATTAAAAAATGTGTTTCGTTTCGTATCAATGATTGTACTAATTCTTTTAAAAGGCAAATAATGTTACTAAAGTTAAAAGCTTAAACTTTTTTTTTTTATCATTCAAGGGGAGATCGAGCCCTACATAAAAGGGAGGAGGGAGGATTAGAATTCAAATCCTAACCTTGATATCTTCTTAAGACTAACTTGATCACTAAATCAAACCAAGCAACCGAAGACTAAAAGCTTAAACTTAATCTCAAGCATACATTCTCTTTGTTATATAAGTTCAGCTATGTTGAACCACTTTTACTACAAGAGCAAATGAAAAAGGAACATATGCTCAACGTAAAAGGAAATTGACAAATGATTTTGTATACAAAAGAAAGATGAAATGACAGAGAAATGCAAGCCCACAGCGATCCCAATTGATATGAAAACGAATTGTTTAATTATTTATACTTCAATTAGTTTTTTAATAAATTTATTTAATAAAAAATAGTTAAAAAACAACTAAAAAGTTAAAAAAAATATTTAATAAATAATAAAGTAAAAAAGAAAAAGAAAAACTAGATTAAAAAGTAAAACAAACAAATAAAAAAAAATTAATAATAATAAAATAAAAAAGGTAAAATTTTGGGATCCCACTCCTCTCCTTTTTGTGTTTTAACTGGAGAGACCAGTTATTGGTGAGATTGACTTCCACCTCAATTAAAAGAACACCGACGGCTAAGATCATTTCATTTCAACAAAAATTTAGTACAACATTAAACATAGTACTAATAAATAATAATCACATTAACGACGTTATTAAAAAAAAAAACCTTAATGAAAAACGTTAGGGTTTTCTCCTTCCTTTTGACGCTCCGGCTACGGTTCTCTTCTACCTCCTTTTAGTCAGCGTTTTCAACTTGCCGCAGGCTCCATTCTAGCGGCTTTCTCCAACATCGTATTTCCAGCCAAGCTGTGAGCCTCCGCAGGTTAGTTATCAAGCCTTTCTTACCTTTGGTGTGTATTCTTTTAAGGGTTGCTTCCTTGCTTGACATTGTATCTTCTTAGAATGGGAATGGAATTGATTACTATAATTTTGGGTGTGTAGTGGGTAGATGTCTTATAGGGGACGTGGGCGTGGACGTGGAAGGGGGTTTGGTGGAGGTGGCTTCTCTGGGTTTAATAAGCCTGAGCCATTTGTGCTTTTCCCTGTACGTATCCTCGACTTGTTGTTTTCCGGGGCATGGGCATTGAGCCCTCTGTTCTGTAACCTATGTATAACGTATGCAGATTAACTTTTATTTATTTATTTGTATGCATATTTTGTCGATTTGCAGGATGTTGAATTACCTGATATAAAAGGTGTGCCTGAAGAGAAGACCTTGGTCATCTGGAATTCAAGGTTGCACAACTATTGGAAAGCTTCTCCTTACTATCTTGAAGAAAATGTTTCAAAGAGTGAGTATTTGAAAATTTTCTTTCTTCGTTTTGAAATTTAGCTTTTGATTAGTTAGAGTTGGTAACATAATTTATAGTTGTAAATGCGTTGAATTCACTTCAAGTGAATGATCTTTTCGCGTTGAAAGAAACCAAAGTCCTAAACAAGTCTTTCAGAAATTTTCAACCTTTATTTGCTTGTTCAAATCAAGAATATTTGAAAATGTCATCAGACTACCATGCAAGGATGCGTCATAAGCAAACAAAGAAGTTGCTTCCTTCCCTTGTGTTAAAGTTAGGAGAACTATGCTCATTGAATTTCCTTCAGTTATCTCTTAAATTCATTAAGCAGAACTATCAAATTAAACCTGGGTAGCAGTTTAACTCTGTGGACATGATAAACGCTTTGCTAATTCTTATTGTCATTACATTGCATCCTAAACGTCTAGCTGTGTTATTATTATGCTATTTCTGCATTCTGCAATGATTTCATTGTAGTGATTCACCCGTGTTTGTACAAACTGTTTGCAGCAGCCTCAAAGGAATTTTTTTCACTTCCCAATGTCACCAGACATGCTGCCCAGAATTTCCATGTTTATACCCAAAACTAACATTTAAAATATTATGCTTTTATGTGAAAGAGTTTCACACCATTGTATTCCTCATTACTATACTTGATTCACAATTTTTAAATATTGATGTTGTGCCACATATGCCAAGTTTGTCAAAATGGCCAATTCTCTTTGATGCAATCTTATATTTTTGGTTCTTAACTTTCCCCTTTTGCCAACTGCATAAATTGGCTCTTGCTTGCCAATAATATTATTGCAAAGCCATAGATCTTGATTTTAATTATATGTTGTTTTTTCCCTGAATGTTATGTTAGAAAACCAGAGCATGGACATTGAAAGATTTTCTGACTGGGGGAAGCCAAAGAACACCTCAAAACGTGATAGTCTTAACCAGATTCTACAACTCCAATCTCATAATTTTCCAAAAGAATTGATTGGAGGTTCGTAATTGAAACAACTCATGCGAATATTGACCTTGATACTAAAAAAATATGTATTATACTTTAGCTTTTATCTTTTCCTTTCTTTGCTGGTTTAGTCTAATCAAATAGTGAAATTTCAGATTTAAGGAGAGTGCAGCGGAGTGCCAAAAAGATGCGATGGAATCTAGACTCAGGTTTGACAAGAAAGCGTGGCTTATTCTTGCTTGCTTTCTTGTATTTTATATTACACATTTATTGCATAGAGTGATAGACTGAAAATGAATTCCTTTAATGGACATTATTTCTTGAATTTGCATATTTCAAAGAAACTTTCAATCTTTTGCATGTTTATATTATTCAAAGGGCATTATCAATCTTAAAGTTCTATGGTCAGTAGGCTAGCTGCCTACTGTACTACTATACAGATGGTTTAATGGGCTAGGCAACCATATTTCTCTTCATTCTTGTAATGAATTTTGGAATATAATTTTATTTGCAATGATCTGAGTAGCTGGAGCAGTGAATTATAGTGTTCAAGTAGGAAAAGTCTATGATTTTCGTTAATACTTTCTATCCCATTTTTGTTTTCATTATTTTAAGTGAACACAGTAGTATATTCTTTTTCTCCAATTTGAACCCATAACCTCCAAGTCAGAATGGAGCAAGCTTATCTTTGTGCCAATTCTCACTCTCATAGTGATGTTTTTTACTTGATGGCATAAAAGAGAGTAGCTATATCTTTCCAATCTTGGTTCAACACTTTAAACAACGAATTCTGGTTTCCCCCTGCATTGTGCCGGTATCAACAACTGTTTTTTTTAGTAAGGTCTTGTTTCAACTTGTTAATGGCAGCATTCAGATTGACGTGTTTCTGATATCTTAATTTGTTAACAAGAAGCTTTGGTAAATACACTAGTCTCAATGACCAGTGTTTGGAGTCTTTGCTAAAAGAAGGAAGTTACTTATTTGTCTAGAATAGTTGTTTTCTGTTTTTACTTTGAAAGGTGTCTTACAAATGAATAGTTTAAACTGATTTACATTTTTCTTATTTGTAAACAGGCCTGCAGAAATTGGATATGTTTGAGAAATTTGAACAGAGTTTTGAGGTAAATTTTCCTGGCATTTCTCATGTGCGCATATACTTTGGACTTTGGATGACCTGCTTCTGAAAAAAAAATCCTGTTGGAACTTGGATCATTTTTTGATCTCTACTTTCTTTTTCTCATTTAGCTTTGTAATAATAAAAAGAGTTTTTTGTTTTTATGTGTGTGTTTGGTCATATCATTCTCATTGTGGATGCTTGTTTGCCTCAATAAATTCCTAATGGTAATTGTTAATTCCTAGCGGTGATTGTTACATGTCTCTACTTGATAGGATAAAGACAAAGAAGGAAAGGAAAAGAAAGGTGATGGAGAAGAAGAAAATACAGATGAAGAACCAGGAGAACTGTCTGACGAATCATACAGTGATGATGGAGATTATAATGAGGTCAGCACAAACCTTTAGACGCTAAACACTTATGAATTTGATCAAATTTTGCTCATTATTAACTCACATGATATCTGCATCTGTTATTCCCTTTAATTAATGGTACATGGCAATATTCTCAGTTAGAGAAAGTTTGAATGGATCCTTTAAACTTTAATTGAAAAGAACAGCAGCTTAATTTTTTTGAATTTAAGCTTATTCATTTTTTAAAGAAACATAAACAAGAGCTGTATCTCTGTATGGGATTTTTTTAAAAAAAATGTTGCTAGTAATGTTTCCAATCTTGCAGAATGAACATTTTGATGATGATGAAGATGACTATAACCTAGAAGATGACCGGGATGGTATGCATTTTCTTTTTCTTCTGCTTATTTCTGCAACCGAATCCGCAGCTAATGCTTTTTTAACTGTTGCAGATGAACCTATATATTAATTACTCTTCAATTGGAATGTTGGACTTTTTAAAGTTCACTTAGACATGGTGTGCCTGCTGGCATGAGATGAAAAGAACAAAATCACCGGAAGTGCTCTTGCCCTCTAACTTTCCCATTTTCAGTCTCATTCTTTTAGAATTTATCAAATATTGTCAGTTTGAATCCTGATTCAAACATGTTAAAAAGGTATACTTCGATTCTTTATTTTTTGGTTCAAGAACTTTCAATTCTTTGTCACTGTTAATAGAAAGAGAAGATCCAACATTTCCAATTTGCGTGTTGTTCTTCTAACAGTAGATGACCCCTTCAGTCGCTTGAAATCCAAACAGCCTTTGGTTGTTTTGAAAGGGTCAGATAATAGTCTCATCAATAATATAATTATTTATTAAAAAAAAAACAAATTATGTTTCCATTTAGAAGAAGATTGTCACCCATACATATATTAATAATAACTGACTAGGCCATGGCGTGACGAACAATTTTAGTTTTATTAGTCGATATTAGTTTTTTTAAATGAAACGTGTTTAATTTAACAAAGTTGAAAAGGAAAAAAAAATTTTTTTTTGCTACTCATGTGCTTGTTATTATACATGCTTTTTAGTCGTTGATTGGCCTTTTTAAATATTAATTTTAAACGCATTCATGCGCATCACCATTTATCTGAAATACTTAGGAAGAAAAAGTCAATATGTAGAAAAATTAAAAAAATAAATTATTACATTATAAAAATGTATCGAGTGTAAATTAATTTGTATATACTAGCATCTATGTATAAATTTGATATAGATGATTAAATGTGTTTGTAAATCTATACTTTTTTACTGGCGAAAGTCAAAATTGATTTTATTTAAAATTTTAATTAAAAAATATATTCGCAAACATTAAAATTTTATTTAATTTTAAAATATTTGCATTTTACTCTCAAATGCATGCACTTAGCATATTTTTTAAGTAAATTGATGATAACATCGTATCTAGTTAGGAAGATGATTTGGGCAATGATGAAAAAATAAACTGATAGTGTTTTTTTTTTTTTTTTGATAATGACATTTTGCAATATAAAATTAATAACAAACCATATAAAGTCACTCTTATCTTAAAGTTTATTGGGTTTGCTTAACCCAAGCAAAAGTTGACTTTAGGCGTTGACATTATCCCAAGAAAATATATAATATGGTATATATGCGTACTTTTTTCTTTTTCCACGTTAATTTAATGCAAAATAACCCTTGAAAGAATTTAATACAAAAATTTAATGAGAAAACAAAAAATAAATAAATAAATAGACTCTGTCCATTCCATTTTGCTGTTTTGGATTTCTATGTTCATGTTTGATTAATGCTAATTATGAGATAATTCAGGGAAGCTCAAATCTTATTTTACTCATTAATTTTTTTATCATCTAATGTCGTTAAAATTTATTTTAATTTAAAGATGGATTATAAGAATTAGATCATTAATAAATATATATTGACTATAATTCTGTACATGATAAATATAAAAAATAAAAATTTTAAATATTAAAAAAGTGGTAATTAAATTACTAACATCTTTTTTTTTTAATTAAATGACTATTTTGTAACTTGACAAAAATAAAAAATAGTTTGTAGATTAGTTTCAACAAAAATTTTCTGTTATCAAACTTTTCTTTGTCAAATTGTCTTAATCATATGTGATGCGCTTAATCTGATACGGAGAAGCAATAATTATCTCAAAACATCAAATAATCGATGATACAAAGAATACTAATCATATCTATCGGAGAGTTTTTAGAGTTATATATTAATTAATTTGGTTAAATTAAGATTAAGATTTTATTAAAGAAAATTCACTTCTCAATTCTTATAATTACAGTTATGCTCACAAATAATCTTTGATAACAAACCTTCTCATTGAAATCAAAATTTTAGCATTTTAATTTTCTTTGGTCGAAAGCCAAATTTATTGCTATTGCCGGCTAAATAAAAGAGAAAAAAGAAAAAAAAGTATCCGGATTAGGCAATTATATTTACGAGAATGTTAGCTGATCCTCCCTCGTTCGACAATCGCTGTCCACTCAACACTCTCCATTGGCTAGTTCTAGAATCTAAATAACTTCTTCATCGGAGAATTCTAGGGTGCTTCAATAATGGAGCATCTTTATAATTTTTTTTCCCTGTTGAAGGTGCTCTTGTTTTTTTTTTTTTTTTTTTTTTTCTAGTCATAAATGGCAATTAAAGAAATACAAAGCTTAATTTCTTGAGAGATAATTTCCTTTAAAATTCTCAATCTTTTTTTTTAACCGTCAAAAATCAAATGATTAATAATATATTCCTATTTAAGGAATCGATTTACTGCTTATCGTCTTTATGTCAACAAACAGAAATATATCTGACAACAAACATCTTCCCCAAACTTAAATAGCATATCAAATTATCAATCCAACCGACATGAATTTTTTTTTTTTATAAAAATATTATGCTTTCTTATCAGTTATCATCAATTGGGACCCAAATAAATAATATGATGTACAGAATTTCCATATCTATCTATCTAGTAGTATTGGCGTGTGTTAGAACTGTGCCTCTCCTCATCATTATTCTTTATTGTCTCTTCCATTGCAAATTCGAAGTCCACCTCAAGAAAGTGTAATTCAAAATTTTCTTTCCCAAAAATTGAATTCGCATCACCTAAATCAAGAATTTCTTAACAAGGATTATTACTATATATATGTAATAAATTAAAACTTCGCTAGATTATTATAATTTACTCTTTTCATTTTTTTAACTGTTAAAAGGGAAAACCGAAATTAAACGTTTATTTGTATATATATTTTTAATGGATTAACATTAAAACATGTAATTATATAATGAATTTTATATTAGAAGCAATGGACATGATGTGCAAATTTGTCAACGTGTGGAGCCCTGTATTTTGGAAGGCGGTTCATGTAGGACATAGGAATTTATGCAAATTCATGTAAGTGAGGTGGCTTCGAGAAATTCGACATATCTTATTGATCAGATAATATGTTGAGTGTAGCAATGCTTTATAGTTAACCGGTTAATCTGGATTTTATGTAAAAAGAAAAAAAAAAACTAAAATATAGTTAGTTGTCTAGCAATAAAAAATTTAAAAGAAAACAGCATTAGTCCACTTTTTTTTTTTTTTGTAAGAAAATTTAATAATCAATAAGAAAGTCAGCTCTATTTTTTAATTGTATTGTTTTTTATTTTATTTTATTTGCATTTAATAATAAAAAAAAAGACTCAACTGTTGGACGGCTAACTGTCTATTTAAGCAGGGTCTTTGCCGCCTCATTTAGGGCGTTGGACGGTTGAAGACTACTGTAACAACAGCCAATATTTTTCCAGCTAAACTGGTAAGAAACTAAGAACACTACTTGGCTTTTTCAATTTCTTTTTTTTTTTTAATCAAGGATTTTTTTCGAGCTGCGTCGATGAGTAGATTAATCTGCTTGCTGCTGGCTTCTTGCTTCTTTTTTTTTTTTTTGAAAATCAAGATCTTAAATTAATAGCAAAATGGATGGTTACAATAATCCTTAAAAAAACAAGAAGTAGTAGATCTTACAAAAACACAAGTAAGCAACAGTTAGTTATGAAAACCACTCTATATGATTTTGAGTTCTATTCACACCTAGCAAAATCGTTAGCAAATTCATTAGCCTCTCGCGGCACATGAAAATTTTTCCCAAGTTTCTAGTTGCTGGCTACTTGCTCTTACTTTATGCTTTCATGTATCTTTCAATATGCTGGGGGTTATTTTCATGCTTGAATTAATTCAGTACTATTATATGATTATATAGTATATCTTGTTTTACATTATTGGGTAATTAAGTCAAAAGTGTTGCATGTAAGTTAAAGATTGTTTTCAGCTAGAGGCGTGATCATATTACCTAACCCTTGGAGGATAAATTAAAAGTAACAAAATAATATCGTTGTCATCGTATTTTATACCATTTTATGAGACTGTTTATATAAAGGAGATCACAGGGATAAATAATGATTGTAAAAATTAATTGAATTAAATTTAAATTTATGAGATAATCATTATTATAATAGTCACAATGCAAAATTTTTTGTACCTATGCTTGTTTTTTTAATTATTTTACTCAAAAGCTATATCTGATTCATGAAATTAAACTTTGAAGAGAAGGAAGAAAGTTAAAACGTAAAAAAATATAGATAAAATAAATTATTATTATCTTAATCAAAACCGTATGGTAGTAGGAAAAATTTTTTTAAATTTAGCTTGAGATATTGGCAAAATTTTGTTGTCTCTACATAAACTGAAAGCTTTGACTTCGTTTCAAAATTAATTTTGTCGTAGTATATGTAACAAATAAGGTCAAGGGAGTTAGAATCGTTTATAAACAATAATGACATGAAATGATAAATCCTAGGGGGCAGGTAGCACTACAAGAAAGCCAAATTTTAATAAATGTATATTAATTTATAGAAGTTAGTAAAGTGTATCTTGTTGTTCCTATTCTCTGATCATGACAAGTGTAAGTTGTCGTCCACAAAAAGAAAATATAAAAGTAGAGGTGAAACTTTCTTGTAGGAATTGGCCATGCAGAGGAGCAAAATTTTCAAAGATCCTTAGCTAATCAATGATCTTTCCACTTTATTCAGCTAATGATTTTTCTAAAATGACAGCCTCCCCACAAAACCAACCTCATTAGCCACTTTCCCACCCGGTGGTACACCTTTTTGGATTTCTGATGGAGAACTAGTCAATTCTTTCTAGCTTGGGAAAGAGGACAGAACAGAAGCTCGATTTTCACGAGCAAATTCCTAATCCGTTCTTGTTTTTATGGTCGTGGAACATGCATTTGTAGACCAGAAAATGTGTATAAACTGCTGTTGATTACTTAACCTGACTGGTTTAATTGCAGCAGAAATTGAAGTCATGGCTACCCAGTCAGCTGTCATGCTCCCTGTCATAGACCTTTTTGATGAGAATTCCAAGCCTGGAACCGCCTCTTGGGTCACTAAATGCAATGATGTTCGACTAGCGCTTGAAGAATATGGCTGCTTCCTCACTCCTTATGACAAAGTTTCTTCACAGCTTCAGGATCAAGTCTTTAACTCTGTAAAACAGTTGTTTGCTCTTCCTACAGAAACGAAGGTTCAAAACACATCTGATAAGCCTTATTTCGGTTACTTTAAACATCCTTCCATTCCTCTTAGTGAAAGCATGGGCATTGATAACCCAACGATTCTTGAAGGAACTCAAAGTTTCACGAATCTCATGTGGCCTAATGGCAACAAAATGTTCTGGTATGTATAATCTGATTTTTTTTTTTTTCATAAAATAATGAACATATTGAGAATATCACTGACAAATCTTTACTATATTTTTTTGACATTGGTTAGTGACAGTGTTCACTCGTACACAAAGCTAGTATCCCAACTGGATCGAATGGTGAAACATATGGTGTTTGAAAGCTACGGTGTGGGGAAGTACTATGACTCTCACATCGATTCCACCAGTTATCTTCTTCGGCTCATCAAATATAGAGTACCCGAGGAAGGGGAAACTGATACCTCTGGCTTTCCTCACACTGACAAGAGCTTCTTGACCATACTTCATGACAATCAAGTTGCCGGGCTTGAGACAAAAACTAAAGATGGCAGGTGGATTGCTGTTGAGCCCTCAGGTTCAATGTTCATAGTCATGGCCGGTGATGCATTCTTGGTCAGTTTCTTTTTTTTTTTTTTAAATAATCAAGGAACCCCACCTAAATAAAAAAAAATAATGTTGCACCTAAAATATATATTATTCCTAGTTGATTTCCTACACAACTTTAGTTCTAGCAGTGAATTAAATATTTATACAATTTGAAACAATATCTTTATAAATAACTCTTTGGTTTAGGTTGATCATTCCCCTTTTATTGATCGTTTCATCAGCTCAAGCATTTCTCACATATACAAGAAAAAAAAAGTAAACACATGTTGAGATTAATTCTAGTTGAGAATTTGGATTTAGCTTCTGCCTAATACCCATATATTTTCTTTGTGATAATGAGTTAATATCTTGTGTTAACTCTTGAGTAATCAAATTCTTACAAGCAAAACTTAAAACTTAATTCAATTGGTTAATGTAATTATCTTTCAAAAAATAATATTTAATAGATTTGCATTTCAAATCCCATCACATGTATTATCTAGACACTAGCATCCTATGTACACACAAAAAAAAAAAGAAAAAATTTCTTGCAAGCAAACCTTCCAATCAAATCCTTAATTACTAGTACTTTATTTTTGCTGCGTGGACCTGGCAAAACGAGTTATTTCTGATACTCAACTGGGCTAGCTGATGAACATGTGAAATTTCCTGTTTGGTATTCATATTTTGGCTGATGACATATTTTTTTTTCTGATAAACTGTTTTGGATATATGAATTAATGGTAGGCATGGAGCAATGGAAGAGTACACTCCCCAATTCATCGTGTGGTTTCAAAGGGCAAGAAGGAAAGATATTGCCTCGCATTGTTTTCGTTTAGCAGTGCGACAATACAAACACCAGAGGAGCTAATTGATGAGGCTCATCCATTGCTGTTTAAGCCCTTTGAAAATATTGACCTACTCCGATTGTATTCCCTTGATGATGTTCAGAAATATTCTCAAATGTTTAATGGCGAGACCAAGTCTGGCGCATGATTTAAGTAGTACCATCACTTTTAATCACATCACAGGAACAAATATTATATTACATTTCAACTTTCTTTTCAAATAATAGGGATTAGTAGTTTTATGATCAGTTCATAAATTAATGTACCCTTTCTTTTCTTTTTTCTAGTATATATATGTACCAAATGTGATTTCTGAATTATAAATTGCTCATGAGTATGAAATTTCTAGTTGAATGAATGTATAGTATCAAAAACGTGTCCAACCATGCATATGTATTGAACAAACTGATTGGTAGAGAATGAAAATTTCAGAGAAAAAAAACTTGCAAAGAACTAAAACCCTAAAATCTATTGTCTCATCAAAGAATATTAGTCATGTTGTCTCATTGGCTTTTTGTTTTATTTCTTAAGTTTTATCAGTTTGGATGTTTTTGTTTTTAAGATTGAATTTCAATATGGTGTTTTTATCTTAACTTTTAGAGATAGAGTAGGAGTAGTACTTATCCATTAAAAAGTAGAGTTTATAAATGCAAAGTTACATCTTCTAAAGTTGAATGTAAGTAAAACTATTTGAAATTGAGTTATTTTATTCAAGATTTCTTTTGTTGTTGAATCTCTTATATATATATATATATATATATATATTAAGTATTCGATCTAAAATTAATTTATAAAAAATAAAAAAACTCAACTTAAATATAAGATTCAACTCAATACTTAATGGATATAAAATATATAACATTGTTTTAACACATTCATTATGTGTAAATGAAACTATTATGTGATCATTTCTATAGTGATTTAATTATAGAGTAGTAAGAATGCAAAAAAAAATTTTAAACTTTGATATTATGTTAAACATTTAATAATTGATAGAAATGCTTTATTTAAATATAAAACTGATAATAAACAACTCAAAACTTAGACAGACTTGGGATAACACAACTTTTAAAGCCATATATGAATCTTTCTCGTTTTCACCATAATTTCAGGCAGAAAGACTAGGAAATGGCGAGGAAAGAGTAGGCAGGACGATCATATCAGTCTTTTCATATTGATCTTAGGAACATGTGGATTCAGCTGATAATTATTGGGCGGCTGTGCGGTGGTATATATTTTAAGGTTGACTTGATTTTCATTCCTTAAATTGCGAAGCCTGATTTTGATTTATTTATTTCTACTTGCAATTAATGTTGGGACTTTTTTATTTTGTTGTTTCTTCTTTTACAAAAAACGAACGATGTAATTGTTTGTTTTTATGGGACGTCGGTGCCTGCTTGCTACATTGCAACCATATGGAATCAAGTTTAGATTAAATGACCAAACCGGTTGTGTCTTAAAATTATTGTCAGGCAATCTAATTAATTTAGTTTTGTCTCTATAAAGTTATAGGAAAATTAATTCTTAATTTAGAAAGAGGCCTAGTATATCTGGCTACCACCCCATATGATTATGAATTATTAGATATAGCACATACAAGCTCATAGGCATACAAACGTGGAATATAGTAAATTAATTAAATTAATCATCCTAAAAACTAAAATTTAATGTAGTTGATTTATATAATACAATAATTTGAAATTTAAATTTCAACACATACAATCTTTTTTTTCTATCTTCGGGATATAATCTTATTTTATACTAAAACCCATATCTAATTTATAATGATTTTGCAATGTTCATTTAGAATATAGGAAACTCTTTTTGGTAAATTATATGGAACTTCCTAATTAATGCCCTATTCCTTGCATTTTTTTTTTTTTACATTTTTTATGATTGATGATTATTTAGCTATCTTTGTAAGTTTTTATTTAATTTTTTAATTTTCTCTCCTTTATTTCATTTTTATGCACTGATGACTATTTTTTTTTTTCGCCATTCAATGACTAATTCTATGTTGTTAATAATTTTTTAATCTCCTTTCCCTGTTTTTCTTAAAAGATTTTTTACTTTTTCCTTAATAGTTTGTCGGCAAAAGATATATATAATTTGCAGCTTGTTTGTGGAGTGCATTTTGAAATAACCTGAAATTGAAAATCAAGCATGTCATCTGTGTTTAAAGAAGAACATGTTATCCGCAATTATTCAATTATATATAATTAATTATTTATATTTAATGTACTATAAAAGTTGGTTAAGTGCTGGTACGTTGATGAAATCTAGTATTTTGTTTTTGGCCGGAGATTGAATCTAGTTTTTTAATCTGTGCATTGAAAGTCAGCTATATTTCTTTAATTTCAAGTCTTGCTTAATCTTCTTGATTCATTCAGCGATCGGCGCCAAAAGCAGCAAAAATATATATACAAGGGGCGGCAGAAGTCTAATCCAATAGTGGATTACAACTTTATATTATACATATTCTATTCATATAAAATGCTGAACTTACACCGCCGTCGGTGTCTATTTAAGCGAAGATTTGTTCAGCTCGAAATCATATGCAAGTGTAACAACGAGGAGAAATATTCCAAGCTTAACAGGTTTACGCAGCTGAAAAATTAACTATCATGGCACACCAGTCTGCTATCAAGCTACCCGTCATTGATGTTTTTGATGAGAATTCCAAGCCTGGGACTGACTCTTGGATCTGCAAATGCAAAGAGGTTCAGCTAGCTTTTGAACAATATGGATGCTTCTTAGCAACATTTGAGAATGTTTCCTTACAGCTTCAGGAGGATGAAGTCTTCGAGTCTTTACAAGAATTGTTCCATCTTCCTACAGAAAATAAGGTTCAGAACACTTCTGATAAACCTTATTTTGGTTACTTTAAACATCCCTCGATTCCACTTTGTGAAAGCATGGGCATTGATAACCCCACCATACTTGAAGGAGCTCAAAGTTTCGCAAAGCTCATGTGGCCTAATGGAAACCGAATTTTCTGGTATATATGTGTAATCTCATCCATTCACATGAGTTCAAACGTGCATGATTAAACAATAACATCTACTAACAGTTTTTTTTTTTTTTTTTACGTTGTTTTAATCAGTGAAAGAATATATGCATACGCGAAGCTGGTGTCGGAATTGGATCGAATGGTGAAAAAAATGGTGTTTGAAAGCTACGGTGTAGGAAAGTACTATGACTCCCACATCCAATCCACTGATTATCTTCTTCGGCTCATCAAATATAGGGTGCCCTTGGTGGATGAACATGACATTGATGGATGTCCTGATCACACCGACAAGAGCTTCTTGACCATACTTCATGATAATCAAGTTGCAGCTCTACAGATAAAAACAAAGGATGGCAACTGGATTGGCGTTGAGCCCTCTGGTTCTATGTTCGTTGTCATGGCTGGCGATGCATTCTTGGTTAGTAAATAGTACTACTTCTTTTTTCTTTCGGAAGTTACAATCGCATTCAAATATTAATTAATGTGATGCAAATTCGATTTTTGTTGTTGTTGCTATAGGCATGGAGCAATGGAAGAATACACTCTCCTATCCATCGTGTGATTATGGAAGCAGCTAAAAAGGAACGATACAGCCTTGCTTTGTTTTCCTTTAGTGGTGAGACAATAGTAACGCCAGAGGAGCTAGTTGATGAGGCTCATCCATTGCTGTTTAAGCCCTTTGATAACATGGACTTACTTCGACTCTATTCCCTTGATGATGTTCAGAAATATGTCAAGTTTTTTTCCCAGGCCAAATGCGGAGCATGACCCAACTTTTTTTTATGTATACAAGTTCTTTTCTTCAAGGAAAGGCTTTGACCACATTTAATCTCAAAAAAATCGTATTTAATTGTTAATTGTTCATTAGTCAACCATCTTAATTAAATTTATGGATTCAATGTATTATTCATAACATGGGTATGATTAGGATGAGATATCTTTCCAACTCAAATATATTAACAATTATGAAAATTCTTCTAACATTTCTACTCTTTTTTTTTTTTTTGCTAGTTTAACATTTCTATCTCAAATTGGGCAGTTTCACAACTATTTTTTTGGCTTATTTTTTATTAAAATTTACAAATTATATTTAAAGATTATTTTTTTATCTTATTAACTGTATTGAAATTTTTTTTTTTTCACGCTAAAACACTTAAAATTTGAGAAAGTTAATATATGTATATATATATATATATATATATATATATATATACAACATGTATCATTTTTAATAATCAAAAGCCCCAATCGAAATGGGTTTATTAAATATTAAAGGCTTTGATGGTTATGGCCCATTGCTACCAACTTCATTGGGCCCTTCTCCTTTCACTTCACTCTTGGAACTAATCCCAGACCAGATCATCATAATGACGTGGCAAAAAAGGATAACCACATCACCTCCCCTCTTTTTTGTCCTTTTCCCTTGAACGAAAAGCGAACGTGAATGGCCCTTATTCAATCACGCTAATCGTTGAGGAAAATCGTACGGTCCAGATAAGATCACAGGGCCCCCAGCGTTATGGGTCCCACATTTCCACGTTCCTCTAAAACCACAACTCCCTTCTATTTATACTCCTTCCCCCTCCAAACGTTTTCTTCTCGAGCCAGTTGAAGAAACAAAGAAAAAACAATTGACGGTGATCGATTGATTGATCAGAGAAAAATGTCGTGGCAAACTTACGTTGATGATCACTTGATGTGCGAAATCGAAAACGGCCATCACTTATCCGCTGCTGCAATCATCGGTCATGATGGCAGTGTTTGGGCCCAGAGCTCGTCTTTTCCTAAGGTATTACTATCTCTCTCTGTGTTTTACTTTTTAAGAATGATTTTCTTTCTTTTGTTTAGATCTGTTTGTTTGTTATCAATGATTTAGTTAATTAATCCACGTCGATCTCAGGATCTGGTTGTTTATTTGTTGATTAATCCTTTTTAATACTAGGTTTATTAGAATTTAGATAATGTGGTTATCCAATTTTACTTTATAAATCAAATAGTTGGATCTGTATTTATTATTCAGTGATCTGCATTTTGTTTGATTTCATGTTTATAAAATGTTTATAGTCTGAGAAAGTATGAAATCCTTTTGCTCCATTTCATCATTCGGACCCGAGTTTGTGAAAAGTACCACGGAACCTTGACGAGTATAATGAATGACTGCTTCGGAATATCAATTATCGACCTAAATGATATAAATATATTCTCGTGGGATCATTACTTTTCTAATTAATATGGGTTTTTTTCCATTTGGGGGGTTTTATTTGCAGTTTAATCCTGAAGAGATTACTGCCATCACAAAAGATTTTGATGAACCTGGGTCGCTTGCACCAACTGGGCTGCACCTTGGTGGCTCTAAGTATATGGTAATCCAGGGAGAGCCTGGATCTGTGATTCGTGGGAAGAAGGTGAATTAATGCTCTTTTAGTAATCTTAGTTATCATTAGTTCTATTGAATCGATCTATATTTAATGTGCATTAAGCTTATATGGTTTTTAGCTATTTATCATATGTTGTAAGTTTGCCTGCAATTTGGAGAAGAGATTGAATGCATGCCTCTTTAAATAGGCGCTAGTAAACTCTATGAAGAGTAATACCTTTTTGTCCAACTCCTTTAGCACGTATAAGTTTCTAACCAGAAAGCGTAAATGCCCTTGAACTTTGTATTTAGTTACATACTTACATTACTATTAATGAGTGCTGCTAAACACCTATTCCTACAAAAAAAAAAGGATTATAAGGCAGTGCTCTTTCAAAAAACCAGCATTCATAATGTCACGCAAGAGAGGGAGAGAGATGGACCTTTACTAGCTGGTGTTTACTTACCTTCCTGAGTGGGTATAGGGAAATAATATCTGATTCTGTATTAGTTGCTTGTTTGCTACATACAAAGATCTTTCTTCAATTTTTTCTTTTTTAGTAATCTCAATAATGCGTTGTTATGAACTTAAAGAAATGGCATGTAATAATGATAGAACCCCATGGTCTCTTATGTGGTGCCTTTTCCAGAATTCTACAATTTCATCCAGCTTTGATTTGCGAGTCCCTTTTGATACAGTATCTTTCTCACTAAACACCCCAAAGACATGGATGGAAAATTGCTTTAGGTTTACTTTTATGAAAGTTTTATTCCTAAAGCATTTTTCACTTATCAATTGTCAGCCTTGCCTTGGAGCATTTGTCATTATCATTTATGAGTACATGACAGATACCTAACTATGCTATGATTGTGTTTTATTAAGTCCTAACTATGCTATGAAGGTGTTTTATCAAGTATGATCCAAAGTGTCTTTATCTGATTAGGTTTCCATCATGCCTCAGGACATCCATCATTTTCTTGTTTTACTGCACAGAAATGTGCAACTAGCTGTTACTGCTTTTTTAATTGCCTTCTATATTAGAATTGCTGAGTACAAGCAAGATGTCAGGGACCATTTGTTGAGGATAAGTTATCCCTAAGTTGCTGTTCAGACTGATTTTTTAATTTCCTTCTTTCATATGACTGTGAAAGATAGTTTCATAATATTTTTTTATTGACAAAGTAAATGATGTGAAATTCCATTATCAGCTTGAGTTTTCTTTATATTTATGAATTTTTAAATTTATAATTTTTTAAAGTGTGAATTAGTCCTTATTGTTGCTTGCTGACAATATTTTGGAGTTGGAGGAGAAGGTTGATTTTAGTTACTTGTTTGATAGAAAATAAATTAGTGCTTTGAACTGTTCTGAGTTATGGTTTAACTGATAGTGATGACAGGTGAGAGCTAAATAAATTTCTCTTTGTAATAGTTACCATTTATTTTGCAGGGCGCTGGTGGCATAACTGTGAAGAAAACGGGGCAAGCTATGATTTTTGGCATATATGATGAACCCGTTACTCCAGGGCAGTGTAACATGGTTGTTGAGAGGTTGGGTGATTACCTTGTTGACCAGGGTCTGTAACCCTCACCCCTGCTTGTTAATTTCCTATTTTACTTATTGGTTATGGACTTGCATCTTTTTCCATAGCCATGAACTGGCATTGAAGTTTTTTTTGGAGTTGGTGATGATAATAATCATGTGAAGAGACTAATTGATTTTTTGGTTTGGTAGCTTTTCTGATTCTCCAATTCCCTTTGTTCCCATGATTATGAGTATTCATTCTCCCTTTTGTTTTGACTCCAGTGGAGTTTGCTTTTCTTACTAAAATGCTTTTTGGATATATAAATATTATATTATGATATCAGAAATTTTGCCCTTTACTTTTTGCTGTAGCAAAATTTTACATATTTTTGTTGATTTAATTAATTAAATCTTTCAAGAGCTTCTTGCAATATTGATCTCCTTATAAGGGATGGGGAGATGAACTCTCTTTTCTGCGTTTAGGATGATCCAAAATTGTACCATCAAATTTATATATGCTGACATCTGGAATTAACTTGTACATGGATTGAATCCAGTGTCTCGTTTCTAAACACGTTTTTAATTTGAAGCCAAAGCCCCCATGTAGTTCAAAATTAGTTATTAATTTAATTTTTAAAAATAAATTATCAAGATATATTATAATGAGGCCCCCACTAGTTTTTAACCGTTAGATATGATTGTGTGATTAAGGACCACTATGTTTATCTTATCAGGAATTTGAAAAAAAAAATGGAAATTACAAAAACATTGATGAATTCCTAATATTTTGATTTTGTTATGTCACATAATTAACTATTTACTAAGAAAGAAATGACAAATTTAATAATTTTTTAAAATTTTTTCTTTTACTGTGAAAATTTTCATGTTGTTTACTTGATTTTCAATCAATTATTAAATTTATATTTAATAATTATATAAATATAATAAAGAAAACAAACTTGATATTTTATATAAAATATAAATAAGTAAATAATACTGAGGAAGAAAATTAGATTTGAAATATATCTAAAATTCAAATGGTTAAATTTTAAAATTAAATAATCTTGATCTTCTATAAATCTTAATTTTTTAAGTTAGTTGCCTATTATGTAAATTAATTGAACATCTAGATACTTATTAAGTTGCAAAAGTTTATGAATAGTCTTATGTCTATATTATCTAGTTATTTAACATTCAACATTTCGATTTAATATATGTAATCAAATTAATTAAATAATTAAGACATTTAACACTATTCGAGATAATTTTCTTTTAATAATTCAGTATACGTATGTCTCCAATAATGTCATCGATCAAGCAACAAATCAACACCTTGCCGACAACTTCTTGTGTTGGAATTTGGTACGAATTGATGATTTAGGTGTTGTTGTTTCGATAAAATTCAAGTTGTCTCTAATTACGTGTGAATGAAATAAGAAGATTAAATAAACTATTGAAGTGGCGGTGGCGTCCCCCAAGTTCTTCTACCGCAAGATTTTATTATTTTTCTTTTTTGGGGAATCTTATGGATTGTATAATGACAAATGAAGCCCTTGGATTATAGTAAAACTTTCACCTAACTCCCTACCCTTTTTATTTATATCAATTGAATCTTCAATCAATTATTTTGCCTTCAAATGATTCTAATTTGGACGCAAATTACTGAGGTACCAATTAATCCATGCTCCCTGTTAGGAAACTTAAAATTAATACATTTACTCTTTTTTTCTTCATTAATTATTCTTCCTTTTGAAAAGAAAAAATAATAAGGTCATTGAAATTGACATCTATCGTGCATTGTACAAATTATTCTCAATTTAATATTTCAAAATGATATTGGACTCTACTCTACAATTCGTTTCTATCTATTTTTCTCCACCTGGAAAAGCAACCTCTGTTAAAAAAGTCAACACGACAAAAAAAGCATGAAGCATATTTCAATATGAAACGTTAATTAAGAAAGGAATATTATATGAGCCAAAAAAATTTTGAATTTAACTGTTTGCTATAACTTAATTGGTTATATCATTCATTATATTTTTGCTGTGCTAATCTAGCATAATGTATCTCAAATCATGTGAGATTTATATTAATATATAATTAAGCATATATAATTTTTTTATAAGAAGAAGTATCTAAATTAATATAAAATTATACTACAATACATCATTATGTCACTAGCCATGCGTATCTTTACTCATTTTTTTAATATAAAAAAAATTAAAGTCTACTCTTTGAATAAAAGTTATAATTAATCAATAAGTCATATATTTAGATTCCTTAAGTTTATACATAACATCACTTTCCAAAATAAATATATTATTAATTAATATAACTTGTGATAATTTCGTAAGTATCACTAATGAATTATTAATTTAGTAATATTAAAGTTGGTTTCAAGATTTAATATATGTTTCAAATTCAAATCTCAATTACAATAAAAAAATTTTAGTCAGAATTTGAAATAGAATTTCATTTTTTTTTAATTAAAAAGATTAACTTAAAGATAAGAATTACACACTATAATATTATATAATTTTACGTTAATTCTATTAGATTAAAAATAAAAAACCCACCAAATATGAAGTCTGTAGGGCCTACTATATAATTGTAGAAGAACAATATTAATGATGTTGAACTTTGACAATGGAAATTGCAATAATTAATGTTAAAGAAAAAAGTGCAAAAGATTGGTCAGTGGTTATGAGACGTACGGTGCGTCAGTGAGGATTGGGCTCTGAAAGGCAACGAGCTTATCCTCTTTGTTCTAGGTCAAGCCATCAAATTCCAGAGGATGAGAAAGACATATGGATAAGGGCTATCTTAAATTTTTTTTATTAAAAAAAAAAAAAAACACCTATGCCAGCGTTACCATTGACAATGACCTATCCAAACCAACTAGCAAGTGCATGGAATTTTCATCCACCCATGCCAAGAAACTTATCTATCTTCATCTTCAATTCTTCATGGTTCGATCAGAATATCAATATGGATTATTATTTTATACACGTTACTGTATCTTAGCTTTATGATTGGATTCAAATCTTTATTATAAATACATATTAATTAATATCAAATAATATTGATTAAGATAATATTTAAAGAAAATATATTAAATTGTTGAATTATATGAATTTTTTCTTAAATAATTTTTTAATTATTATTAAACTTATATATCTATAAGCATGCAGTATATTGATTTACTATTATTTTTTACATTTCAAGTTGTTAAAAGTTAAATTTTTGTTATTGAAATTAAGATTTTAATACCAATAAAATCACAAAATTATTGACTTTCATTATTATTTTTATTATATTTTTAAATATACTTCAATGAAGCATTCATCAATTCTTAATTTTGCTCATGAAATTTTAGAGTCCCAAAGTGTTAGACCATTTTCTATCCATTTTAGATGTAGACATCGATGCACGTGTCATATTTTTCATAGAAATCCCATGTTTCATGTACAGTTTTTTTTTTTTTTTCTTTGAGCATCACGGAAATTTGTGTATTTGCTGTCATGTAAACATTATCCTTTAAAAAAAGTAACCAACCTGATCCATGTATTCTTTTATGCATATCAGCATGTGAAGTTTCTTTTTATTTTTTCTCGGTGTTATATAAATCTAAATCTTCTTCAGGTTTCAACATTTGTTTTTTGGGGTAGTTTCTGAAACTTGATTCCATTAGTTGGCAAATTTCCTGTTTTTCTTCTTTCTTCTGCTTCCAAGAATTGGAATATCACAAATGGGTGAAGGTCATCTGAATGGAATGTTTCAAGCTCCAGGTTTTGTTGTGAACAAGGATAAACATGATCAGAAACATGGTGATCATCGCTGGATGAACATGGAAGATGATGATATTAACAATATTGATGATGATGTAACTGCAACTTCTGAATCGTCACTGGGGGAATATTCAAGAAGTTCTCAGGGATCAATTTCTTCTTCATCAGACTTGGTAGATGATGCATCTTCATCAACTTCAAATTCTTCCACCAATTGTAATGGACCTTTATATGAATTGTCAGAGCTCATGGCCCAACTTCCCATCAAGTAAGTATATATAATAGAGCATGAGCGATTGATTTTAAGTACTATAGTTAACACAGAAATGGGAAGGCCAGGTTATAAAAATTTCAGAGCCAATCAACAGATAGATCTGCTGATTTTCTTTCTTTTTGGCCATTTTAAGATTATTATGACAGGCTGCAAAATCTTAAATTTCTCTTTTCTTTCGTATGTTGGACTGTCAGGGATTCAATCCATGGTCTGAAACTAAAAGTTCAGCATTCTAACAACAATTTCACCCTTGGAACTGTTAATATCCAAATTTAGAACTTTCTGAACTATGAACTTCCTCTATCTAAAACATTTTATAGTGATTAAATGGAAAGCTTTATTCTTCATTTATGTAAATGTTTTTCATGGGTATATATGCAGGAGAGGACTTTCCAAGTATTTCCAAGGCAAATCTCAGTCGTTTACATCCCTTTCAAGTGTAAAAAGCATAGAAGAACTTGCGAAGAAAGAAACTCCTTACAGAAAGAAAATGAAGGCGTGTAAAAGCTATGGGGGTGGGTTGGATACCCACAAATTGTACACTCTTCCAAGGGCCACCATCTCAAAGAAAGTCTCGAGAAATTCTATGTCATCCTTATCTTTTCCAGGCAGAAGAAGTAGTTTTTTAGGCGGCAGGCCTCCTCTAATTCCCGTACAAAAGAAGTTTTGATCTGTACATAGGGACTTTATCAAGTTGCATAATTCACGGCAACACTGTGATGATCAAATCTATGGCCAAAACTCTATTTTACTAAATCTTTTTTATGGAAAAGGCCAGAAGGCAAAATTCCAATTTGTGGCTGCCAAATTTTGTTATTTTTTTATCCTTAACTCTAATACATGAAGTTTAACATATAAAATGTGTGTTTTTACTTTGTTATTTTTTTTTAAATTAAAGTTCATAATCACATCTAAATTAACTGCTAAAATGCTTTTCTAATATCAAAAATTAATAACCATACACTTATCTAGGACACCATCTAATTCTTTAAAGATAATGATAACATCCTCAGCTTAGACTGCAAGTATTCTGAATAAGCATGTATAGAGAGACCAAATTCTAGGTTATATTCAATAGTTCTGCAGTCTCATAAACAGCTGGAAAGCTTTTCTTTCTTCAGATCATAGTTAAACGAATATTCTTACAGGATGTTCCTATATGAATTTGCTTTTTTGCACCATATTGGAATCTTATATTCAATCTTTATTTGCAGCAATATAACATACCAACAAACACTACACTCTTTTCAATATTATCTGCTTCAAATGGAATCCACTTCTAAGTCAGAATTACAACTATCTTTAACACTATTGGTGCAATGATATCTGAAGATGAACTATAATAAGAGTATAATGCATAAGACCGTACTATAAATTATCATATGTTGAAGATGGAGGCCAAGAAAGCATTTATGGGAAAAGATTAAGAAGACAAAAGTGATGAAGTGATTATTAAAAAACAAAATGCAAGTGACCAATGATTTGCCTTACAATATTCAGTTCCTTCAGATTAGAATAGAAAAGATCTACAGTCAGATGGTATTAGACAGCCAAATTCTAACTCTATATTTGTTTCCTGGAAAGCGGCTGCTACATGAAACAACAGACATGCTGTTTCTGATATGCTCAAGTTTAAGAGTAACAATTTCTTCACTGCCTTCATGGAGATGCAAAGTCTGCACGATCGCGGATTCTGGCTGATCGCCTCACTGGAGTTGTGACCAAGTTATTCCTGCCTTCTCCCTTCGCTCTTGCCTGGAGCAACACAAACACAATAAGCTTCCAATTCAAAAAGCTTAAACAAAGGTGTTTTGGTAAAATAGTCCCTGAAATAAAATATGCCTTAAAACAAGGATTACATCAATAATTAACCCAAAGTAAAGGCATGCTTTACACATAATTCCTTCAAAACAAAATATAACATAGTATTTCAGCAAGTGGTCCTAAATGGTTAAATGAACATCTGACTGTGATAAGATAATGACGTATTTATGTCTGTGGAATTATCTGTCAGAACTTAACTAAAATATATCTGAAACCGAGTCTAATCTACAACTGAGACATACGTGGTTCTTGTTGCAGAATATGATCATCCATAAAATAAATGATAATTATAAACATATTTATTATATTTAAAATAATTTATAATATTTTAATTCTTTAATGTATATATTAAAATAAATATTTTAATTTTTTTTTGTTTTAAGTCATAAATCAATATACATATTTCAATGTTGATCATTAATATATCCATAAATTTTGTTAATATAAATACTATAAATACATATGATTGATGACAAATTATCATTATGAAATTAATATTATAAATTAATCTAATTAAAAAGAATAATAATAAACATTTAAATATTTTTAAGTACAATTATTAAGATAAATAGATTAAAATCTAATGCTGTGGAATAGATACATATAAAATCACTTGTACATATCATCTCATTTTCTTTCAAATTTTTTATCTAAAATCTTCAAAACATTCCCAAAAAACTTATTTTCGATCATTATTTACCTTTGTTCTTAAATTTTTTACTGTAGCTCTATCTTTACACTACTTCTGTTCTAAATTCCCAAAAGACTCCCCCTTTCATCACTAAAATCATCTTCTCGTGAAGAAGAAGAAGAGGCCAAAGAAGTTTTGTCACTAGAACCAGTATCAGCTTCATCTCCAGTAGCATCCTTGGGATCAAAAGAAGAAGTACTACTGAACTGAAACTTAACCCATCATCTCCTTCTTTGTCCTCCATTTCAAGGAGCAAAAAGATCTCTTTTCGCCTACTAGGATTATGCTTAAGGAATTCAAGCCTTGGTGAAAGGTAATTCATTAATGGGTCATAACGCCCTGGTGAAGGTGTATCATCCCTGGATTTGTAAGATAATGGTGTCTTCTGATGGAAAGGCTCTTTAGAAGTGAGTTTGGGATCAAGACTCGGGGAATTCTTCTGTAAAGCTTTTGGAATGGTCTTTGGTGAGGGTCTTCAATCAAGATTTGGGGTTTTGGAGAGATGGGTATTGTGGGAATTTGATCCTGGAGATTCATTTATTTAAGCTAAGATTTTCTTTCTTGGGAAAATAGCCTTTGAAGCTGCAGAAACAGTGGATGACATGAAATTCTTCACAGTTTGTTTCTTTGGATTTTGCAAATTCATACGCATTTCCTGATTGCTTCTATCATTCTCATCTGAACCTATTAAAAATACCTAATACTACTTCAAAGATTCTAACTTTATGTCTCCGGGGGAAAAAATGAAAACAAACGGAAAAGAAGTGCAAAGAAATGGAAAGGTCTTTTCTCAGACCTTTTCATCTTTTCTTTTTGCTTTTTGTTTTTCTCGTTGAGTTTTAATTGAAAGCAGTTTTCCTGATTTTTTTTTTCTGTGAATTTCGAGGGAAATGAAGAAATAAGGAAAACTGAAATCAGGTGACCGTTGGGAAGTAGATGTATTTTTTTTTTCTACATTGATTTATGAATTTGAAATTTTAAACCGCTGGAGGAGCGGCTGTTAGGTTTGTAACATGGGAGGCCCACGTTTTAGCTACAATAAAGGCCATGGCCCATCTTCTCGCCTAACGTTGCTGGCCCATTTGAAGTCATTCAAGAATTTATATAATTTCATATATAATTAAAATTAAAACAAAATTTATTTTTTGAAAAAACAAAAAAAAAATTTATTTCTTTAAAAGTTATGATTTGGGTTTTAACAGCCAAGCTCCATTCGTCTAACAAAAAAGTCGAACAACATTTTTTACGTTATGTAATAATGGTATATGAATCTTAATTTCGTTTATTACTCATAAAACATAAATAGCTTATTTTATTTCCAGAAAAAAATAATATATCTTGTTATAAGAACAATCTAATATAATTCAATGTCATGCAATTTTTTTTTCGTAAGGAAATTTGTTTGTTGATTATTTGTGTGCACAAACTAGTGTTACGCGCAACCTCAAAAAAGCATAATATGAAATAGGAAAACAAAAAAATAATTGGCCCATGCAGGTTTCGAACCTGCGACCTTCGCGTTATTAGCACGACGCTCTAACCACTGAGCTAATAGGCCACATCGTTAAATTTTATAATAGTAAATATTTGATTTTATATTGATGTTTTTTTTAAAGACACTACCAGTCACATTCAAATTTAAACTTTTAATATGTTTATGAATTGAAAACTTTTCGGATCTTAAATTACATGATAGATATAGATTTTCATATCTTATATATTCCACATATTAATATCATAAATTTTCTTAATTGATTTTTTTTTAAATAAAGCTTGCATGTGATAAATCAAAATTGAGATAGACTTTTATTTTATTTTTGGACATATTTTTCCTTACAAATTTTTATTCTTAAATATTGTGATGAGTTAATATTTGATACATTATCAATGTGATTTTTTAATTTCATGAAAATTATTAATAGATTGATATATATTTTATTTAATTTTTAATTAAATTTTTTAAATTACCCTAAATAATATATGTCACATTCTTAATCCTTTTTAAATTTTAAAAACTTCACTAATATAGTAATTCATAACTCTCTATTATGTTATATACGAGTCAATGGAGTTAATTTCTTGCCAAAAACAAAAAGTTGTGTACCCCAAACGGCATAATTAAAAAGTTGAATTTTGTACAAAATTCACATTAATTTCAAGTAAAATTTCCTTTTTGTTTTATTCTATCCAAACTTCTTTTTTGTATAAAGTGAAAACACTTGAATCAATGATTCAAATGAGAATCCTCTCTTGTTCCAATGATAATACAATAAAGTTAAATCAACCAATGAATTTTAAGAATTTAAACTCAAAACCTTCGATAAAACTAAAGATACTTGGAATCTTAAAAAAAAGTCGAAAAAGATGATTATAAGTACAATAACAATTAACTCATGAAATGGTGCTTACCACATGATTAAGTGGACCAACCACAAAGGCTATGAACCCTAATTTAGCCCATCCGCTAATGTAATTCGAAAATTTTTGTTTTGTTTGATTGTTTTAAATTTCAAATCCAAAGACCCAATAATCATATCCAAATGGTATCATATGGATAGAAATTTGTACAAATTTAATGCAATAAATAAATAAATAAATAATTTGACTAAACAACTTTCAAATTATATATTAAATAAATCAATCCAAAACCCTTTTTCAAAACCCAAAGTTTTCAAACTAGCAAGTAGTGGCAAATAATCTTATATATATATATATATATAATTTGCATTAATTAATGAAGATTATTAATTTAATGCATTATGTTTTGTCAGAAAGATTGAACATTCTTTATTTTTTGAAAAGAGATTAAGATGACGAAAGCATAGCCGTTTAACCAAACACATTGGTGCTACATGTTCCTCGTACAAAGAGCTCCTAATATAACAACTCTGAAAACAACTGAAATTTTTCATTGTTTGAATCTCAAGACACATACTTGTTAATTAAGCTTTAATGATGTTGTTAATTATTAATAGTGATTAGCAACTGTCTTTGTCCTCTTTTCAAACATAGAGGAGCGCTTTCTGTCATTTGTGTTCGTGTTTAGGCATTGGGGCATTTCATAATTATATCAATTCAATTCAAAATTAAAATTAAATATTTATTTCAATTAATTTATATAATAATAATTAAAATTAAAATTTAATATATACAGTACGATTTACTTTATAAAAAAATTCAATTCAAAGTTTTACAAAAATTTTATTTGCTTTCTAAGAATACTCTATTTACAATAAGTGATAGGCTGCCGTCAACCTATACATATTAAGAATATGCGAGGCTATTAATTATGTTGTAATTTTTTATTTTTCATGAAAAAACATTTAACTATAGAAGTAGTAAAACTTAAAAGAAAACATTACTTTTTCTGTCTTGCTCTTGATTATGTTGTCGGTTTGTTGCTTCGGCATATAATTTCCGGCAGATTTTGTGTCACTTGTTGGATATTCGATTACGTGTAGAAAAAAGTAAAGATGAGCAACCCTAAATGCACAAATTTATTTCATACATAAATATAGAGTCTACGAGTTTGTACTTGTTATCCCCTTCAATTATGGGATTCTTGACAAGAAAAAATAGCTATCTCTATATCTTATATATTCTATGTGCATTTTCAAAATGGGAATAAAAAATTTAAAATTTATTATTAAAATTTTTCTAGTTAATTACAGGAAGATATTATTTATAATTAATTATTTATAATTTAAAATTATATAAAATTTCTTACGGATTTTTACATAATATTTTTTATTTTAATTAAATTACTATAAAATTTAATAAAAAAATATGATTGAAATATTCCAGCTAATTACAAGTATTTTAAAAGCACTCTGAGCAAAATCGTAGGATGATGCAAGCCTCTTCCCTTCCCTTCCCTTCCTACGAATTTCAAAGGCACTATCAAATCTCCCGGAGTTCCAACTTTCCCAACGCATCAAACAAACTCTAATCATTGTTGATTTGAAATTTTTTATCCAAAACTTTGCTTTTTCCTCCATTTCTCTGCCTAGATTTCTAGTCCCTCCACGTGCAGTTACGTCTCCTGAAAGTAGATGATGATTACTATTGACCTAAATAGCTTATTAAACGTGGTGCTGTTTTCAGAATGCTTGTAAAACAATATTAGAATCTTAATTGATAACAAAAATTATCTTTTTCATCATAACCTGCAAAGGTTATAATGAACAAAAGAGAATCATCTTTGGCTAAAGCCTGAGAATGTATATATGAATAAGTTACTAACTCATGAAATATTTCAATTATGTTGGTTCATGATGCAAATAGTTAAAGGTGATAATTTCAATTGGATTGAGCTATTAATACCATTTGACAGAAACACTTATTTTTCTTCTACTACACTTTAATATTACCCTTTCAAGTAACTATCTTCTAAGCCAAGTTCAAGTTCTAAACAACAAAAATCCAATCAATGCACAACTGGATCACACAAGTCATTATATCACATCGATAGCTTGTACTCTCAGCTATAAAAAAAATGAGGTTGCTTGTCAAGATTTAGCCAACAGTCTGCCAATATTCGGGCAGGCAAGGGTTGCGCTATCTTATCTTTCTTTGACACATTGTGCAGAGCTTTAAAAATATTGTCACGCTCATATGACAGCGGTGCCATGCACCACCTAACTAAACTGGCCTCCCTTAAATCCATCTGTGAATGCCAAATTTGGTACCATCAAGGAAGCTTCAAATAGTTTCATAGATATATTTCAAAATTTTCATAGTATTATTAATTTTGCCTTAATTTCCACCATTTCCAGTTACACATGGTTTCCCACATTTTGACATTTTGGAGCAGGTTCACAGCTACAAAAGCTCACATTTCGATGGTTTTGCTTAGGTTCATATTTTGATAAATTCAAGATTTAACTTTGTTGATATATAATAAGATATCATTTAGTAAATTTTAGATTCAAATTTTAATTAAATCATTAAATTTAAGCATCCGAAATCTTTTCCAATCCTTACGTTGTCATCTGTTTAATCACTTTGCTTAAGATGGAAAATATTATTACTCTTAAAAATATCACTAAAATGGAAAGCTTCATTTCATTGGCGAAGGAATGATGGAATAATAAACTCTCAGAAAGAATTTACACAATCACTCTGTTCTATCCTATGGCTTGTTCATAACAAAGTGGAAAACGCCAGAGAAGTTGTAATATTATTCAACTTCTACAGATTTTCGATTCAAAACCTTCTAATAATTCCCCAAGCAGACAAATAAAGAGGACATATGAAGTTCTCAAAATTCCAAAGCTTCTTGAACTTGGTAACATGATTTGTTCATTCTAACTCCACTTATGCTGTTCCTAGCAGCCATTAGTTCATTGAGCGAAAGCCTCTTCTTTGCTCCTGGCTCTGGTCTTTGCTTTGGGGCGCTGTGAGATCTCAATTTTGCATTGAAGGATTGTGTGTTTGCCATATAGTTAGGGGAGTTTGAATAAGGCCTAAAATAGCTGTCTCCACACACGCTCTTAGCCGGTGTAGTAGGAGCATTGGACCTAGTCGTATTGGCAAAACGAGGAGTGCTATGAGCAGTAGAGAACCTATGTTCGTCACCGGTGAAGCACCGTTCGAAATCATGAAGATTTTGGCAATTGGGTATCGATGCTCGAGCTGGAACTGGACATGGAAGAGGTGATGAGATTGTTTGGTAAGGCAAGTCATTCCCACATTCTGATAATGCAATATTGAACCGGCGAGACCTTGAGCTAGTCTTGAATGTATCAATTTCAACTATTTTTGTACTGTCCTCGTATGCATTGATCTCAATTGATGCAGATAATCTTTTACTGTGAATTTCACTTCTTGGTTCATCAAATCTTTCCTGCAAATGGGAGGGAGAAAACATCAATGAAATCAGCTGAATAAACAGAAATTGCACACAAGAAAATGTGTTGGAAACGGTACTTACAATGGATTTCCGGGGCCTGTTCTCAGGATAGTACCTATTCTCCTTGTTAAAGGAGCGACGTATTCGCCGAGATCGAACTGCTGTTTGTGCTCTGATAAGAGCTTGCATACTATGCAGAGTTGCAGTAGCCCTCTTCCTTACAAGATAGCCTCTCACAAGAGCTTGCAACCTAACCAGTCCTTTCAAAGCCCTAAGTGCTTTCCGAGCCTGAAAGTATAACCAAATAATTGGGTAAAAGGGCCCGAAGTCTCAGAAACCAAAACTGGCAAAAACCAAAATTTCAACGCCTGGTTGAACAAATGATAGCCAATTCAACAAAAACAAAAGTTCTTCAAAATTCAAAAATTCAAATCCAGGAAAGAATATATAATATGTAGGAAAAAGAGAAGAATTTTGGCCCTTAGTCAAAAGAGAGTTGAAAAACATATGTAGCACGAGTACCATTACGTTGAGCAAAGATAACACACGTATGTACTGTTTCATTACCGTTTGAATCTAATCTTTTCGAAACTTTTTAGAGCAGACAAAGAAGTGAGAAAAAAGAAAAAGAAGTCCAAAACACAGACCAAAAAGTAAACATACCTAAAAAGGGTACCAAAATCAACAACAACAAGAAAAATGGGATAAACCAATGTCAAATTCCACTTACCAAGAAGCCTCTAAAGAAAGTTTGAATTTTGACAGCTGCCCACCTCTCTCTCCCTCCAGCAAACAAAGTACCTCTCCCATTGCTGGTCAGCCTCACAACTGCCATCGCCGCCTGTGCTGCTGCCACGGCTGCATCAGCTGCAGCTGCTGTAGCAGCAGCAACTGCAATTGCATGCTTATTTTGCTCCTTCTCAGTCTCAGCAATGTAGGATCTGAGCCAAAGAGCATCAGTGGCCTGAATATTCCTAGCAATGCTCAATGGAATCTGAGAAATTGCAGTAGCATCCTTTCCAGACTTGGCAAAACTCCACCTTTTCTTCTCTTTCTTGTCATATAAAACTGATGAATTTGATGAATGCTCCATCTGGTCTTTGTCTTTTTCTTTAGCATTTTTCATGCCTAATAGCCCCTTAAGCCACCTTGTAGCCTTCCCCATCTCGTCAGGCTCAAAACTATGGAAGAAACAGTAGCAACCAAAATTATCCTATAAAGAGAAACAAAACAAGCGGAGTTTGTTAGAAAAAGGATCACATAAGAAGCTAAATTTTATTTCTCACTTTCCCTGGATTTTGAAGTGACAAAACAAGAGAGAATTAACAAGTAGCTAGCCAGTAAATCTTTATAGAGAGAAACGAAAATGTCAAAGCACTGAACTGAATACCCGACCCCTTCCAACCCCTATGGCTGTTAGCAATAAAAAGTTAGTAACAAAATCTTTCAAAAAGAGAAAGTAATGATCACATCCAAGAAATAAGAGAGTGAGAAAAAATGAGTTCTTTTCAAAGTGGGAATCGAGTTTATTAATAGAACAAAAAGAAAAGGGCGCGTCTCTGCAAGATCTCTAGAATCTTTACAGGTTGCAAGTAGAGAAGTGATGAGAACAGTGTGGAGGAAAAACATTAAAATATATGGATAAAGCCTGGAATTTTTTTAAGTGTTCTTTTTTTTTTTTTTTCAGAGAAAATCTGACAAAACGTCGTGAAGAACTGCATTACAAGACAAAAACAAAGAAGTCACAGAAAGATACAGAAATTTGGCTTATATTATTATTACAGAAACGATATATTTCAACAAAAAACTCAGTATGCAAAACAAGGAATTGCAGACTAAATCATAAAAAAAGGTACTAATAATAATCACACAGAGAAGAAGAAACTCAGTCTCACCTTCTCAAAATTCAAACGAAGCGCCGGTTTCTCTTCCTCAAAGCCTCAAACTTTTTTCTAAGGATTTTCTCTCTCCAATTTTTTGGAGCAATGTGTATAATTTGTGTACAAATAAAAGCTACACTCCATGACTACAATATTTTATACTATTATACCCTTTATTATATTAAACCAAAATAAGAAATTTTGATTGCACAAAAACCAGACAAAAGGAGTACAACTTTCAGGGCATTAAAGCAAAAGGGTTGGTTTTTATGGCTACTACTCTTTTGTCTTATAAAGAGCCCAAAAGACCAAAAAAGAAAAGGCTGAAACTTCTCTTTTTGCTTGTTTAGGTTAAGAAGAAAGATTTTCAGTTTCCGTATCTTCTTTTCTATAATGATTTGTTGCTCAGTATCTCATTGCTGCCATTGATTCTGCAGAAGATCTTTCTTCCTCTTTTCTCTCAGTTTGAAAAGGGTTTTAGCAAATGAGGGAGAGTGAGAGATGGGTGCAGCAGATTTTGAATCTTTTTTTGGTAAACAAATGGTCGTGAGGCCACTAAATAAGAGAGAGATGATTTATTTGGTTTAAAATTACTTTAATGTTATTTTAAATATTTAATCTACACTTATCCCTTAATCTTTATCTATTTAAATTCACTAATGATAAAAATGATATAATTTTATTAGCTAATTAATGACATTGACACTTGACAATGGTGAATTAAAATTTAAATGTTATTTTAATTTTTTTAATCTATTGGGTTTTTTAAATTTTGAATGGAGATCTAAATCCAAAGCTATATATATGACTCGGGGCTTTTAAATTTTGAATGGTTGTTTTGACAGTGTGTTGAGCAAATTTGTGGGATGATGATGAAAAGGAAAGTGTCAAAGTAGCATGGTAATAATAACATTAAATCTGGACCCATTTCAAATTTCATGGAGTCAAAGTAAGAAAAAGAAAAAAAAAAAAACCAAAAATTGTTTCCCCTTTACAATTTTGAAATAGTTACGAGTATTTAAACCAAGATCATGTGGGTTCATGATCAAGTTACAATAACGGAAGAGATTATAAATATTATTTGATATTTAAACATGTTAAACGTCAACGATTATTTGAACAAATTAAATTAAGCTATGTGTTAACTAAATTGTTATTTTCAAAAAATAAGTCAAGTTACCTGTAATTATAATAAAGATGATCTCCAGGTAATCTTAGAACTGCATACGCCAAAAGTTTGAGGGCACCAAGCCGTTACTTTTATGAAGGTTGTGACAAGTAGATTTGGACCACCAGACCCCCATTGCAGCTTGTATTAAAATTATTAACCTTTTTATGCAGCTTTAGTGTCTCCCATAGTGGAGCAATATTCGTCTGTCTTGTCTACAACTACTATTACCATAGTGCTTAGATTTAAAATTCAGTATTCAATATTTTAATAACAAATTTATTTGATAACTAAATAATATTTTTAAATATATTTTTTTATTAAATAACCTAAAATTAAGAATTATATTGCTTGTCATCATGAGCTGAAATTATAAGAATTTTCACAGGAAATGGATAAATTATACGTATAGACATTTATGTCAGCATACTTTTATCTATTAACCATATACTTTGTAATATTAAATATATAATATATTTTGTTATACGATTCAAATAGTTTTATTTTTAATTAATAACGTATCTTATACTCAATTTTTAATTATTTTCTTCTAGTTTTGTGGGAATTTTAAATAGTATTTGTAATTATTGGCTCATTTTTATACTGCTTGCTTTTTTCTAAAAAATATTTGCAAATTAACATTCAAGTAAAATTTTTTAAAAATATTTATTTATAATTAATCAATAAAGCAAAAAATCACAATTCACTAAAAAAGTATATTCAAATATAAATTAAATTAAAATTCCACTTCTCATGGATGAATCATGTAAACTTAATAATTTAAAATATGATTTAGTGATAAAACACAAATATACTATGATTTCAAAATTTAATAATAATTATATATAAATTTAACAAAATAAAAAATATATTTCATATTTTTATATCGATATGAATTATAATATATAATTTTTTATAAAATATAATATAAATATACAAATTTTATTATTTTATACTATATAAATATATGAATACCCATAGACGTCGATTTTTAGTGAAAACATTAATGAAAGAAATTGTAACAAGCTGTTGTCACAAATTACATAGAAAAGGATAGAAGCTTTAGTCAGAACAGTTGGCAAGTATAATCTTACAAATTAGAAGTTTGAATAGATAAAATAATGCAAATCACAACTTGGAATCTATCTTTTCCAAGTTTGTGGAGGAGTGCATTCTTCCCTTCTTCGTCCCATATCTATCTTTCTCGCCAGAAGCCACTAAAATCAAGCCCTACTCCCTCTAGCCTATAACTCACCTTTTACCAACATTTTCTGGCAAAAGGACGTACAATTTGCATAGAACTTGGGCAACAAAATTTTGGGGCTTTTTTTTTTTTGCCTTTTATTATGTTGTTGCGGTTCAAGAGTACATCATAAAACAAGTACTATCATAGCATAGTTTGACTAGTTAGTGAATAAATGGTCCAGCTCCTATTATTATTATTATTATTCACAAATCTATCTCACCTAAATTAATCAAGGGGCTGGCTCCTGCCCTACACCATGGGGAGGAGCCATAAATAGGATCTGAATTAGTCTGGAGAGCCCAGCCTTGCCTCTTGCTTGTTTGAATACAATGAGCCTTGTGTTTGACTTAAATGACCCTTAATAATATGATTGTTCATTAATTTAATTGCTTTTGTACATATTAGACCTATCTATGTGTCAAGTTATCGTCAGATTTGTGGCCATTGGTCGAGCACTGCTTAAGTCGAGCTTTGGATAAAGATTTTAAAACCCAAGCCGGCATGCCCAAATTACTATTTTATGAATAAAAGTTCTTTAATTAAATTTAATTTTAAGATATCAAGTATCAATACAAGGATAATTTTTAATCTTTTTTGAATGTGACCAAATCTATATGGTCCTCATGAACGGGCCAATATGGGCCTTGAGGCCCATATAATAATCATTAATTTGAAGAATTAGGATGCTTTAAGGATCTTGACTAGAGATTGTTGATTGTTTGTAGTTACTAAAAATGGCCTGACAGTTGGTGCAATCAACCCAAAAGACCAAGCCGGTCCAATTAAATTGGGCCAGGTTGGGTTTTTTCCACGGAGCCCATCTTGATCCAAATTCCCAACATTCATGAGCCCAGTGCCAATTTATCCTTTTAAAGCGAAGAAAACATTACTAGAAAATCATTTTCTAATTACAAAAATTAATGCGATTACTATAATATCAATTTTTATTACTTGAGATTCTCAAATCTGCCAATAAAATTTAGATTCTAATATTTTATTAACAAATCATTAGATATGATTGTTGATTAATCTCATCAACCTTTAAAGAAAGATCTTCCATTACCATGATTCAAACCAAAATAATTAAAGCAACAATAGTTTTTTATATATAGTTAAAAGAATTTTTTTTAAATATCATAATTTAAGTTTAGATTATGAGATTTAAAATTTAAAATTATTTTAAAATTTTTTTTATCAATCATAAATTAATTTTAAAACTAAAATTTATTAGATCTGTCTGTCAAAAATATTTGCAAGAATCATGAGTTCAGTTCTAAATTTCTAATGAAAAAAAAACTTGAGTTTGATATATGTAGAAATTCGGAAAAAAATTATTATGATTAGTATCCAAAAAATGACCTTAAATTTGTCAAAGCTAAAAATAATTTGAGCTAGTCTGGCTCAAAAAAGAAAAACAAAAAATACAAACCCTATTGCCCAGCATAAAACAACAAAATGACGTCGTTTTGATGAACACGGTTCATACACAATTACCACGTATAACAAATCGTAACCCCGCAGAGGCACGTGTCAAGCGTTGATCCAAAACCGCGACCTAAAAGATCCAAAAAGAAAGCATTCCCTTATAGGCGGCGTTACAAAAAATAAAAAATAAAAAAAAATCTTCATATTCCTTTTATACCCAAACATAAAATCCAAATCCCATCCGAAATAGGAGAATAAAAAAAAAAAGATATCTTGATATTATAAAAGAACCGATTTTCCTTTTCCTTTTTGTTTAAAAATCCCCCCAATAACAAAAATTAACCCTTCAGCCGCTGCCGCCTCTGGACCTTTCCAAAGTCTCAATCTCCTCCTCCTTCTCCTCCTTCCTTAGATTTTTTTTCTATTTTGAAACTTTTCTTGTTTTGCAATTTTGCCTTCAATTTTTCCATTTGTTTAGGTTTTTTTTGTCCGTTCTTTGATTTGCTTGATCGAAGTTTTTTTTTTTTTTGTTATTCTTCCAACGCTAGAGTTTTCGTTGCTGAGCCGTTCAAATTTCAATTGAAACTGCTCTTATTTTTTTCCATTAAAAAATTAGGGTTTTTTTTTTGGCGCTGAACGGATATATATAATATAGAGAGAGATGGTGAGTTCTAAGGGATTGAGTGGTTCGCCGCCGTATGTAGCCGCGCCAGTGAAGCAGTACGGTGTAACAAAGCCGATATCAATGGCAGGTCCTACCGAAGCGGATATACAAAGAAGCCGTGATTTGGAAAAGGTATATATATGGAAATTTTAGATTTTGTTTTGTGGGTATTGTTGATTCATTTATTTTTTTGAAAATTTGTTGACAGTTTTTGGCAGAAGCTGGCCTTTATGAGAGGAAAGAAGAAGCTGCAAAGAGAGAAGAAGTACTCTGTCGAATTCAAGAGGTAATTGCATGTGGTTTTTGTGGAATTTATGTTTCTATGAAAATTTCAAACTTGTATGATGCTAGTGCTACTAATAATTCTATTTACCTTCAAATAGATACATGCTTAGATTGCTTAATTAATGAGAAGCTATTATTGCTAGCTGGTTCAGAAAAAAATTTGCTTTTTTGTTAAGTGTGTTTATGTCAATGCAGCATATTTTATTTAAAAAATTAGGTCGAGAAATAAAGTGTGAAATAGACTAATCAAAATCAAATTTCTTTTGGGTTAATGTATTTGGAATCAAATGTGGCAGCAGTGCATGCTCGTTTGGTTTGTAAGATGGGATTGTATGGGGATAACTTCCTATTTAATATATTTGCCTCTAGTCTTAAATAGAAGGTTGGGAAGTAAGTTGGTTAATATATCCTATATGATTAGGATATATTATGTATATGTTTAAATTGAATGTATGAAGTAAACCTCTTGGATCTCGTCCTGTAGGCTTTCTGTGGGTAACTACTGAAACATAGTTATTGTGGAAGTGACCCTGATTAAAACAATTTGAGATTCAGATGTTCCTACTAACTATAGATATTTCTCGTAGACCTGTTCAAATGTATTTTATTTATGTTTATGTAGAAAGCTCTTTTTCTATAGTGCTTAACTTCTGGAAGCTTTGAGATGATGCTCAATTATCTGAGTTATTATTGTCACTGAGCAGATTTGATGTACTTTCTTGATGAACTGTGAGATTTTGTAGTACCAAACCTGCTAATCAAATTATAAATGGTTATATAGTGTGGAACAAAAACAAACTCATAAGAACTTCAATTATGACCTATGTTCGCCCTTTCACCAAATAGGCTGCCAGCTAGAGCTCTTTATTTTGCAAACTGGCTAGTTGTTTAGACTAATCTAAGCACTCTGATTCTGATGTATGTATTATGATTAAACATTGTGGGTGTATTTAGATAGATTCAATGTTATTTTATCCTTTGGAATGTTCTGGTAAAAAATGTCTCAGATATTTATGATTAATTCCTATTTGCCTTAGAAAACCTGTTGAACAAACTACTTTATGCTTTCATCAGACTAGCCCACCTGAGATGGATTAAGTTGCAAATATAAGAGAAGAAACAAAAAAGAAGAAAAGAACACATGAACATGTGGATTTATTAAATGGTTGCTTTCAGATATGGTAATCATCTTTGAAACAGTATGTTTGGATATCTCAAATCTTAGCTTGATTCTAAATTTTCGATGTGTTTGAGTTTGTTGCTTTCTACGAACTGGTCGTACCGTGTGATGGATTGTGGACAAGGGGGTTTGGAACTTATATTACCCTTTTCAAGGGTATGATGGTACTTTTAAACAGTAATGGACAGGATGGTATCCAGTCCACTATGACAGTGCCCCATCTATGTATCAGACATTGGGAGGTGATACAACTCTCCAACTTTAGTTCAACATTTTGCCTAAAACGCATTTTTACTAGCATCGATGGTGGTTTTATCTCTCTTTTGTTCCTTCTTTGAAAATTCTTGAATTTTATGCTGTAGGCAGCTATCTAGGTTGTTTTTTCTCTAAATTAAACCATAAACTGCAATATGTTTTCCTGTTCCAAAGCTTTTGAAACAAGGGAGAATAATCTACAATAAAACACATTTCAGATGTTATTACTTATTATGTATCTTGTGGGTGCTAATTTAACCTATGTTTAATGTGTCTGTACTGGTTTGTATCGCTGCTATGACATTTTCACAGATTTGGTAACATATCTCTTTATTGTGTTTAGATTGTAACTGACTGGGTGAAGCAACTTACTCGTTTGAGGGGTTACACAGATCAGATAGTTGAAGATGCAAATGCTGTCATTTTTACTTTTGGATCTTATCGACTTGGGGTGATTGTCCTGCATTTTTCTTTCTTGTAATTCACATGGTTCATATGCAGATACGTTGCTAAAGTTTTATTGTTTTGATAGGTTCATGGACCTGGCTCTGACATTGACACTTTATGTGTGGGACCATCCTATGTTAACCGGGAGGTAAACACATAATTTATTAGTGACTGAATTGATTGATTTATGAACCCTAAAATAATTTAATTCACGTATCTAAATTTTTTGCTGGCTTAAACAGGAAGATTTCTTCTTTATACTGCACAACATCCTGGCAGAAAGGGAAGAAGTTACAGAGTTACAGCCAGTTCCAGATGCTCATGTCCCTGTAATGAAATTTAAGTTTGATGGGATACCAATCGACCTTCTTTATGCTAGCATCTCTCATTTGGTTGTGGCTCAAGTAAGTCTAAATCATCTTTTATTTTTGTAGTTAAAAATTCTATTAAAAGCAAGCATCTGTTTATGTACAAATGTACAGTAACTCCTAGCACGTTGTTTTTGGATATCTTTGTACTGCTCAGTCAATTCTAAGAATTGTATTGGTTGAAAGTTTTAAAAGTTCTCCTCCATCTCCCACTTTCATCTTGTCTGTGAGCATTTAGAGTTCTACCATACTCTCTTTTTCTCTGTGTGTATGTGTGTGTCTGTCTTTCTCTCGCCCTCGTAGATTACTTCTTTTAAGTGACTTCATAGGAATGTTTTCCATAACATAACATGTTGCAGAGGTTTTACTACAATTTTATTAGGCATGTTTAATTTGTTATAGATTTAGCATATTTTCCTTTCTCTAAATCTTGTTGGCTTGATGTTTTTTTCCCTTTTAAGGACTGTGTAGTTAAAATGTGTTTTAAATAGTTTTGTTGCTTTTCACTCTCTTGTTTAGTTGCGTGAAACCATTTTGATTTTTATCTGGTTGGTATATTTGATGAATAATTGCTTGTGGACAGGATCTTGACATCTCTGATATGTCAGTATTGTGCAATGTTGATGAGCCTACTGTTCGAAGTCTTAATGGCTGCAGGGTTGCAGATCAAATTCTGAAATTGGTTCCAAACATTGAGGTGAAATGCACCTGATTGCATTCCTATTCTTTGAAATTTAGTTAGTTTTCTGCTTTTTATGTAATAGTTCGTTGTTTGGATCTTTTGCTAAGCTGTATACTTTTATAATGTTTTAGCATTTTCGCACGACACTCCGATGTCTAAAGTTCTGGGCTAAAAGACGTGGTGTTTATTCCAATGTTAGTTCTCTTCTCCTTTATATTTTGGTAATTATCTTCATTACTACATTCTCTATTTAATATGTGTTTTCATTTTCAGGTGACTGGATTTCTTGGGGGTGTAAACTGGGCTCTTCTTGTAGCTCGAGTTTGCCAACTTTATCCTAATGCAGTTCCTAGTATGCTTGTTTCACGATTTTTTAGGGTCTATACCCAGTGGCGTTGGCCAAACCCAGTTATGCTTTGTGCAATTGAAGAAGACGAACTTGGGTTTTCTGTATGGGATCCTCGTAAAAATCCTCGTGATAGGACTCATCACATGCCAATTATTACACCTGCCTATCCATGCATGAATTCTAGCTATAATGTGTCCACAAGCACCCTTCGAGTCATGATGGAGCAGTTCCAATATGGTAACAACATTTGTGAGGTAAGAAAATGGAGAATCATTTTCTCTATTTTAGTCTATAGCTATATAGTGATCCTTATACTGTCTCCAAATCCAGAAAATTGAACTGAATAAAGCAAAGTGGAGTGCCCTGTTTGAGCCTTATTTGTTCTTCGAAAGCTACAAAAACTATCTGCAAGTCGACATTGTTGCTGCTGATGCTGATGATTTGCGTGCTTGGAAAGGCTGGGTGGAATCTCGGCTAAGGCAGCTGACTTTGATGGTAATAGTTATGCCTTTTTGACATGGCTTTTAAACTTAAAATTTTGATTAATTGTGATTCTTTATGAAATTAAGAAATTAGAGGTTTTTCTATTTCACTCATCTGCTTTTTAAATATATTATTTACAGATTGAGCGAGACACTTATGGAAAGTTGCAGTGCCATCCTTATCCTCATGAATACGTAGATGCATCTAAGCCATGTGCCCATTGTGCATTCTTTATGGGTTTACAAAGGAAAGAGGGGGAAAAAATTCAGGAAGGTCAGCAGTTTGATATACGTGGGTCAGTTGATGAATTCCGGCTTTCAATAAACATGTACATGTTTTGGAAACCTGGGATGGAAATCTATGTATCGCATGTCCGTAGAAAGCAGCTTCCGGCTTATGTTTTCCCAAATGGCTATAAACATCCTTGGAATCTGCGGCTTACTCCCTGCCAGCAGTCTGATAAACTGTTGCATGACAATGGTGTTGCATGTCAAACTGAATCTGGTGCAAAATGCCTTAAGAGGAAAACAGATTCTAATGGAGAAAATAGTGAGGAAAGTAGGCTGGAGAAACGGCAAAGTCCTACTAGGAGTGAATCAGTTTCTCCTGAGATTATTAGTTGTAAGCTAAGCAGCACATCTTCAGGTTGTTCTACATCAGATCTAGATGAAATGAATGGACTTACCGAAGGGAATGCTTCATATAATTCTAGCAATATCAGCTCTTGCTCACGTGAGGATATTGGCAATGAATCTACAGCAGGTAGCAGTGAAGTGAGCAATGGAGTTGATGATAACCCAGCATCTTCTCAGAGTGATTTGTGTGACGATTCAAAATCTTCTCTGGAGGATGAACATGCTGATCAGAACAGAGTATTTCAAGACAGATTGCTGCATGAGTTAAAGGTTTTGGATTTTAATTGCTTAATTTTTCCTGATTTTGTTTGTGATTTCATTTTTTTTTCTCAATCAGTTGCCATAGAGTTCCTGAAATTAAATCTTTTCATTTTTGTTGTTTTTCTGCTCCATAATTTTTATGCTTGTTGCCATAGTGCTTTTTTTTTCCCTGCTGACTTATAGATCATATAACCAAATAACCTGAAGAAACTGTGAACAGAATAGTTGAAAAATTGTTGCCCTTGACGAGATCATTTACAGTGTTCTGACTGGTATATGAACTACAAGTTGGGAAGTTATGTGATTTTCAGAGATGAAAGTCTCACTAATTTAGGCTTGAAAGGACTGTTTCTTTGTCTTGAATATTTTAATCCATTGAGTCCACACCTTTACCTAATCTACTTAATTTTGTTTGTTGATTTTTCTGATGTGAAGCCAAATACTGCGATTGGTGTGGTTCGTAAGTCTATGAATGGAGTTGTGGACTCAGAAACCGTGCAGAATCCTGTGATAAGGCATGTATTTAAAGTTTTAAATGAGTTTTTCTTCTTATTCTATATGTAATGTTTTCCTTTACGCTGCTTTGTTTCATGTCTTTTTTTTTTTTTGTTATTCTGATAGCAGGTTGAGTTTGACATCAACAGCATGAGAGATAATAATTTAGATGGGTGGATAGTCTATGAAAATGTTGTTGCTCAGAAAAAAAAGAAAAAAAGACAGAAAGCCAGCAGTTCAGGTAAGTTTAATTCTAGTAGCTGGCTTTCGTTTCTTTCTCTTTTTCAGGCACAGTGGCTGAATCTAAACATCTTTCGGGCGTGACTTTAGTTTGCTTCTTTGTCCAGTTTTTCACTTATGTTGTGTGCTTTTCCTTTCTCCAAATAGGGTAGAAAAGAGGAAAAGAAAAAAAAAAAAAGAAAGGGGGGAGAGAGAGAGAGAGAGCATATGTTTTACACAGGCAATGAACTCCTGCATTATCTTGAAATTTTTTTTTTATTTGGACTTTGTTAATGCTTTCCTAACTCCTTGGAAAGGTTCTAGTGTGATAGTATCAAAAGGGGAGGGCTGTCATGTTCTTGATGCATCCTTTAGTGGAATGGTTGAGATGTGTATTTTGTACAAACAAAACTCAGGTTCAAGGTGTAGTTTGGCTAAGTAGTTTTGCTGCCATTTATTGTAATAAAATTATTATTATATTAAACATTTCTCTTTCTCTGTCTTTCTTTGCTTATTATTTTCATTATTGGTTAAATGCTACAGAAATTGCAGACTGTACAAAAACCACTTGGTAAGACCCTGTCTGACAGGGAACCAATTCTCTCGAAACAAAAAAGACCAATTTCCCAAAAGAATTTCTGAAGATAAGTTTAGAAGCCCAATTAATAAACTCAGATTTCTTTGGATGCACTTCTTTCTGAAAGCAGATTCTGTTCAAACACAATGGGTTATCAAACAGGTTGGGTTTGATTCTTATCTCTAATTGTCCATGGTTAATGGGGCTTTTACTTCGTTTCATTGATAAGTTATATTCAAAATGACAACAATAATTAAATCTCTATCCTAACAGGCTTGTTTTTTTGTTCGATGAAAATGGTAAAGAGGTAAGATGGATAGACTTTGAATTTCTTCGAATGGGAGAAGATTAACTGTAAGATGGATTCAACTTCGAAATTTTTGTTTAATCTAAGCAAATGTAAGATGTCAACCTTATAGCGACAGAAAACAAAATTCAGAGTGAATTCCTTGGGCTTTGCTTATTTGAATTTTTTTTAGGTGGATTCATTGACAAGTTTAATAATTAATAAATTATTATGAAAGAAACAGGAAAGAAAAAAAAAGTAGAGGACTCTTTTCACGTCAAACAAAGAAGAACAGAAAAGCATTAAAGTAAAACAAAAGTACCAAAGCAAAGTCAAATGAGATGAGATCAAATCTAACAATCTAAACTCTGATAAAGTAAACTTTAAATTTCATACTTTTTTACAATGTCATTAGCAAATAGACACGTGTACTCACGACCTCTTGCTAAATTTACAGCGTCAATAGTGAAGTCCTCTTTTGGGGTGCGTGCAAATGCTATTGGTGAACCACCATACTCAGATAAAAAAGCTATAAAAAAAACCTACAAACAAAAAGGTCGCCAAACACATACTCAGATTGACACCAGTTACCCCTTATTTTGGTCTATTTCAGGGTTCTCTCTCTACAAACTAAAGCAAGATCTTTGTTTTTTGTTTTGATTTTATTTATTTTTTCTCGCACAAAATTCTAATTTTAGATTCAACAATCATTCACTGATTTATATCACATAACTCCAAATTCCCCCTTGTTATTGTATCACCAAATTCCTTTTTTTTGCAAGGTCTTTTAATTTTTCCTTTTTTTTTTTTCTCTTTTTTGGATTACAAATCCCATTTTTTGGGTGGTAAAATGGGGAAGGTTGCAGTAGGGGTGGCGGTCGTATGTGGGATAGCTGTGGCAGCGGCAGCAGCGGTGGTGGTCCATCGGAAAATGAAGAAGTCAGGGAGGTGGGTCAAAGCAATGGAGATAATGAAAGACTTTGAAGAAAAGTGTGGGACCCCGATTGGGAAGCTGAGACAAGTGGCTGATGCCATGACTGTAGAGATGCATGCTGGCCTTGCCTCTGAAGGTGGCAGCAAACTCAAGATGCTCATCAGCTATGTTTACAATTTGCCTTCTGGGTATTTCAATTTCTTTCCTTTGTTTTTAAACGTGTATAATTATGTATTTATTTGATCCGTTTTGATTGGATTTTATGTTGGTGTTTTGTCACTTATGTCTAACATGCATTAAACATCAATGTTCATTCCTATGTTGCTAATAAATGTGTGTTTATGTACGTATGCCTGAGTATTTTGGATCAGGTACAGTTAAGTCTTAGGTGGATTTTTGTCAAACATATATCCCAAATTAGTTAATAATATGAAGGTGTCTGTTGTTTAAGATTGTTTATGTGGGATCAAGTTCATGACACTTGCTTGAGTTCATGTGGGTGTCTCTAGATACGTGCGCATCTAGAAATTTATGTTCTATCTGATCCACATTGAAGCTTCTTCTCTACATGGCTGAGGTGGATGACTGACTTGTCAATATACTATTTTTACATACTTTTTTTTATTGATTCTCATACGATTTGGTGGTCCACTAGAGACTTTAGTGGATTATATTGTAATTTTTTTCTTTTCCTAAATTAGGAATGAGAAGGGATTATTTTATGCATTGGACCTTGGTGGAACTAACTTCCGTGTGTTACGAGTGCAATTGGGAGGTAAGGATAGTGGTATTGTCAATCAACAGTTTGAGGAGGTGTCTATTCCTCCGAATTTGATGACAGGGACTTCAAATGTAAGTGCCTCTGCCTTTCAATCAACGATGGGAAGGGGGTTGAGGCATAAAGAGGTCTCTGATGTCTGACAGGTGATCTTGATTTCAGGCACTATTTGACTATATTGCAGCAGAACTTGCAAAATTTGTAGCTCAAGAAGGCATGGATTTTCAACTAACTCCCGGTAGACAGAGGGAGCTTGGTTTTACCTTCTCATTCCCTGTGATGCAAACATCTATTGCTTCTGGAACCCTTCTTAGGTGGACAAAAGGCTTCTCTATAGATGACACAGTTAGTGCTTATTGATCGGGCTTCTCTATATATTATGCATTAATCTTTCTCAAATTTTAAGGGATGTAGAAATTTGCCCAATAGATTTGCCCCCATATATTCTCCCCTAGGATTTAAAAAGAAAGGCAATAATTTATGAAAAAAGAAGTTTAACAGTATTTGAATTTTAAGAATTCATGTGTACCACTTCAATGCACATGACTGCTTTTTGGGTTCTTTATATAATTGATTAATGCAACTTCTCATAACATTTACGTTTTAATCCTCAACTTATATTTCTTTACTGTTACTGACCAATGAATTAACAGGTTGGCCAAGATGTGGTAGCAGAATTGACCAAAGCCATGGAAAGACAAGGCCTTGACATGCGTGTTTCAGCTTTGGTAGGTTTATGTTATGGATTTTCTCTGTCAATGGTTATAGGACCCTTATATTCTTGAATTTGAGCTGCTGATACAGAATAATTATCTTGCTTTTCATTATTGTTATTCTTTTCCCTTTGTGTCTTACTGCAACCATTTTGATGCCAGGTCAATGACACTGTTGGAACACTAGCTGGAGGTCGATACACCAACAATGATGTTGTTGCTGCTGTGATCCTTGGTACTGGGTCGAATGCAGCATATGTTGAACGTGCACATGCAATACCAAAATGGCATGGTCTACTACCCAAATCAGGAGAGATGGTTAGCTGTTCTTTAATTTCTATCAGTAACTTTCTATGACTTTGAGACTGTTTCTTTCTTTCTTTATGTCACAATTAAAATCAATGAGGATATCCATGTAAGTTTGAAATAGAACTGTTTAATAAGTTTAGGATGAATGCTAAAGTTGCTCTTGATATTTGGCTGAAGGTTATCAATATGGAGTGGGGTAACTTTAGATCATCACATCTTCCATTGACAGAGTATGACCATGCACTAGATGCTGAGAGTTTAAACCCTGGTGAACAGGTAAGCGCACAATTTTTTTTCTGTTCTGGTACCTTTGGCTTTTGCTTTACTTCTCTTTAACATAATTTGTTCATCTTTTGATTTGCCACAGATTTATGAGAAGGTAATATCTGGTATGTATTTGGGAGAAATTGTTCGCAGAGTCCTGTGTAGGATGGCTGAGGAAGCTGCATTTTTTGGTGACACTGTTCCACCAAAACTTAAAGTGCCGTTTGTATTGAGGTAATTTCCTCAGGGTATTTATGGATCTCTTTCTTTTTAAATTTTCTTTGCTCTGCGAATTTCTTTTTGTTTGTTTATAATCATTGTTCATCAACTGTACCCTAATTTTTCTAATTTGGTTAACATTTTTCTCTATAATGCTGTTTGCACATGGTTTTCATTTTTGCTATGTTTGAAATGAGAAACTGGTATCAGACAGTTTGTTTGTCCTTGCAAAGAGAGGTCGTTACTAGAAAACTTATTTTGTGTGAGATTATGAGAATAGTTTGAACTTGGAAGTGATCTGACTAGGCTCTCTTTCCTTCTATAATTGAATAACTATTAAATATGAGTCAATATATGTGAGGTTTCACATAATCATCATCAATGAAGGTGTAATTTTTCGTAGGAGAAACTGGTTCTGTCCTTATTTCTTTGAATTCATATATACCCAAATTACGTTTCATTTCTTTGACACCAAATAATGAATAAATTTAATTGCTCCTGCTGAAGTTTCCAATACAAAGGTGGTTAGACAGGTGGTCATATGCTGACAGCTAGGAATTACGGACACAGCTTCCACTTTCATGTACCGGTGTCTGACTTGGACACGCTGCCGACATGTCAAAATACATATGGGACATGGCAAAAAAATAAAAATAAATTAGACAGTCCCGACATGGTCAAGGCATGTTTGGACACCGGTCAAGTGGTGAAAAATGGTAAAAATGATGGAGGCCACCAGGTTTATTTTGTAGAACTAGGCTTTTTTAGGGTTTTTTTTTTTGGAAAAATCTAGTGGGATAGGAAGAAAGAAGAGGCTGGAAGGAGTTTTCAAATGATTTTTGGAGGAATTTGGATGCTAAAAAGGGGCAACTGCCAGAGGAGGATGGCGGCGTAGGCAGCGGCCTGTTGCAAGGAATTGGGTAGAGGACGGGAGAAAGAACAGAAAAAGGAAAAAGGAAGAAAGAAGAAGAAAGGGGAAAAAAAAGAAGAGAAAGGAATAAAGAAAACGAAGGGTGTGGGTCCCATTTTCCTTGATTTTAACCAGAGGGAGTAAAGAAGGGCATGTTTGGGAGGAAGTTTTAAATTGAATTAAATTGAAATAAATGCAACATTGTATTGTGTTCAAGATCTGCACGATACTTATTTTTGAGCTTCTTTTAACATGCAGGACACCTGTTATGTCAGCAATGCATCAGGACACTTCCCCTGACCTCAAAGTGGTAGCCAATAAATTGAAAGATATTCTTGAGGTATATTTTAATCTTGTGAAAACTGTCCTTATGTTACTCTTGATCATCAAAACTTGGTTATCTCCCTTTTTCTCTTTGCCTGAATTTCTTGTTTGCCTTACATATCTCTGATGGAACTTCTCGGATTCACTTCAAGGATTTTTGGTGTAGCATAATGTTGGTTGAACCCAATATACCAGATCCTATTTCAATTTCCTCATTTCACTGGAATCACTTGAAAGTTGACTTAGAGCAGTACATTTTGATTCCTATGAAAAACTTCCATAATATCACTAGCTTAACTTATACCAAAAAACGAAGTAAAATACTGGCTTGAAGGTTCTTTTAGCAGAGAAGTGCAGAGAATATGTTTTACTTGCAACTGTGAAAGCTGGTTAACACTCTTAAGTTGTTGTGATTGGAACTGAATTATTGTTGTATATATTCAGTATCTTGTCTTGGCCTCAAGGAATTGACGATGATGTTTCTGGCTACTAGTCTACTGGCTAATGAAGCACTAGGCAAATTTTTATTGTGTGTTTTAAGTTTGTTTATATCTTTTCTATTTCAGATATCAAACACCTCCATGAAGATGAGAAAAGTAATTTTTGAGATTTGCAACATCGTTGCCACACGAGGGGCACGTCTTTCAGCTGCTGGAATACTAGGTATTCTGAAGAAAATGGGAAGAGATACAATCAAGGAAGGAGAGAAACAAAGAACAGTAATAGCTATGGATGGTGGACTATACGAGCACTATATGGAATACCGCAAGTGCTTGGAGAACAGCCTAAACGAATTACTTGGAGAAGAGGTATCTGAAACCATTGTAGTTGAGCATTCAAATGATGGTTCTGGCATCGGAGCTGCTCTTCTTGCTGCTTCCCATTCACAGTATCTCGAAACGGATGAGTCCTGAGAGCAGTAAGAACTGGTTCTGCCATTCTTTTGAAGTTATTTGTGAGAAATCTTTGACAAAATTTTTTACCTGGGGGATTAGCATTTTATTCCTTTCTCAGTTAATTACTTTCAATGCATTCCCTGTAAAATCTTAAATAATTGCTTGCAGAGTACGCGATAAGGTTCATAAACTGTATAAAAGCAGGACCTGGAAGCGAGAACTCTTCCGCTTCGGCCTGCGATTCAATTCATCATTTTTCTTTCCTTCTGGTAGTTACCAGCGGTCACTGCTTAGACGTGAAAATAATGCTAACCCTTGTCTCTATCACACATTTGGTTCACAGATGACTTGATTATCTTCTATATGATTGTTAACAATTTATCATACAACATCCATGTATGTTATTACCTTTCATGCAGTATATTTCCATGTTTAATGATAATACGATTTGATGATTGCTATGCTTACAGGGTTTGAGTTTCTGCATCCAAGTTTCCTTGGGATTGAAAATACTGCTACAAGGCATGAATATGATTGTGAAGCTTTTTCAGCTGACACAACTTAAAAAGTCAAATAAGGAGGTTCTAAGTTTTGGAACAAGAATCAAACATGCATGAGTAGTGTCACCTGCTTGACGTTGTGAAATCATTGCATTTCTCAAAAATTCTTGTTATACAAAATTCTAATTCAAATGTACTTTAGTGGAGTAGACTTTTGTGACACAAAACGACACCGCCCTGTCTAGGGCTGTAAGTAGTTGGGTGTCTACATTCATATTGTCAGACAGTGACAGTGGTCCGTCCGACAAAGATAGAATAAGAAGCAACCTTGGAATGATATCTATTTGAAAACTAGAACCCAAAAAAAAAAAAAAAAGCAAAATGAAAATATTGTCTACACTTTTATTTCTCTTCAAATCATTGGCATGGGTGTCCTGATATGCTTCTCTTCTAATCCCCCACTTTCTTTTTTCTTTTTTTTTCCGCCATTTTCTTATTAATTAAATTTCTTCGATTTTTCTTTGCATTTCTTTACAAATCCTCCCTTTAATTTTCTAATAAACAATATTATCACTTTGTGGAGAAAAACCCCAGTCCAAATGAATATATACATATATAAAAGCACATAATTTTGTTGATATGTAGTTCCACTTCTTCATCAATTTGAAAGTTTTTAATTTCCTTGTTATTTATAATAATAATAATAATAATAATAATAATTTTATTGGAATATACTTTTTTTTATATGGTATGAAAAACACATGTCATGTAGAAAAGGATATGTACAAGAGAATAGAGGCTTGACATATTGATTATGTTTTGACCAACGTATGTGCTTTCCCTATAGAAAATGTGAGTGGAGGGTGCCCATGTATTGCTGCCTTCTCCCTTCAAATAACCCTTTTTCCATGTTTCAGTCCAAAGGGTGATGAATTCCCCAGTTGAATTTTGTGAACGGTTTCCCTGTCATCCCCACTCACCAGAATACAATATATTGGAGGACGTTTCCAAAAATTTTTCTACTTCCAAGTCTACAGGCCTTGACTATACTCAACCAAATACCCTTACCACCCACTTACTTCCTTTATTGTTACTACAAAATCAAACACTTACTACAGTTGAAAATATTTAGGAAAGGAATTAAGAAGTAATAAAGGAAAGTAATAAAGAGGTTTTGTTATTGTGCAAAGAGAATCTAAATACAAGGACCACTGGGAATGGTCGACCAACCCTTTTTCATGCTTGGGATAAACTGGCTGTCTTGTGAAAGTGCTTTCGTTTTTAACTAAAAAAAAACCCAAGGAAAGCTAACAGTCAGTTTTAGTATAATTTTTAAACTAATACATACTTTTTTATTAAATTTTTTTTAATTTTTTTAATATAATCTAAAAATATGTATGATCCAACTAATTTTATGTGTGAAATCTAAACAATTTCTCTTTTTATTTAATTGCTTCATAAAAATATTAAAGATTAAAAGTTAAACATTTAGCACACTAAGCATAATTAATTAAACCCTTTTTTCTTTCTTCTAATGACAATAATTAAGTTCCAATTAGAAGATCAATGTCCAGAGGTTATTATTGTAGTTTTCACCAAAGAAGAGAAACCTAATTTCCCATAACCCCACCATTATACGTAACAAGTTTTTCTCTCCATGAAACAAGAGCGGGAAAAAACCTCTGTATAAATGAACATAAGGCTATATAAAGAAGAGAAAAATATGTCCAAGAAAACAGAGAAACTCTCATATAAAAGGAAGGAAACTGATCAACCTTTCCTTTCTCCAAATCATTGCCGATGTTGGCCGCTCCTACGCCGGGTTCCATGGATCACCATATGAAAATACAGCGTATGTCTTGTTTGTAGTTTTTCATATCTTAATACATGGCACACAGGGTGAAGCCAGGCAGAACCACAAAAAAAAAAAAAGGTATTTAACTTTTATAAGCTTCACATGTTCTAACATGTGTGTATTTTTTTTTATCCCTATTTTAATCTCTTGGTATTATTATTACAACATCAAGAGAAAAAAATTGGGATTTATTTGGATTTTGTCTCCGTAATTTTGATATTTGATGGTTTTTTTTTTTTTCTTGTTTTGGGTTGATAGTACTATGTTTGTTATTAATTTTAATATGATTAATTATTTGTTAAGAAATTTGTTGAAATGAAAAATGAAAAAAAAAAAAAAACTAAATGAAGTGATAAATTATTAGTACAATATCAATTTATTCTTATTGAAACTCCAGGTTGACAGTTTGTATTTTCGAGTCATGCATTAGTTTTAATTAATTTGTTCAAAAAAGTTGATATTTCCACGATTACAATCCATTATATTTTTAATTTTAGATTTTCTTTTCAAATTTAAAAAAATAATAATAAATTATGAGATGAGAGAAACATAATTAATTCATTACTCCCAATTCGAACAGGCATATATAGCTAAATCTTTTTTCTTGTATTTTTCCTTTTACAAATTAAATTTTTTAGTATAACATAATTTTGAATGATTTTTTATATATTTAAAATTATCAAAAATTAAATTCTTACATTAAAATTAAAAATATAATATTCTACCAACAGATTTCATAGTTTTAGTGAACGCAATAAATAATTAATATCTGGCAAAGGCATTGCAATTCAACAAATTAGCCATTTTAGCCAGAAACTTGAGTAAACAATAAGATATTAATGAAATATTAATGTTGGTTATAACAATATTTTGATTAATATTAATAACCATGTTCACCTACCTCTATAAATTTATTGTTGGCTGATGAATCTGAACAACATTTATTTGGGGTTCGGGAGAGATTGAATAACTTCTGATCTCGTATGAATCAGACCTACAAAATGAAAAAATTTGATATGAAAAATAGCAAAGGATATCTTAAATTTAGAAGAATTTAATTGCATTTTTTTCAGGACTAAATGAATGAATCATAAGTAGAAGGAACCGATCGGTGTTGAAAGATGTTCCATGAGGCAACAATTTGATTGTAGCTTCTTGGAGACTTGTGTTAATTGAGATTGATAGTGGCAATTTGCTACAAATGTATTCGAAAGAATTTTAAGTTTGGAGGATCGATGTTGGGGTGAAAGTGAAATCATCCCAAATGACGAAATTTCAATGTCTTGATCTGATGACTAATCCAGAATCTCTCAGCTCAATGCAACTGTATTTAAAGACCAACAGTTGGAAAGAGGAAAATTAGTGAGAAAATTGTGAAACCAATCCCCACTCGTTTCGATTTCAAAACCATTACATTTTCACAAGCACTTGGATTTATTTTTCAATATCAATGGCCCAATTATGCCAAATTCATCATAATTTGGGCAGACCTTAACCTTAGACCATGTTAGCCTACAAAGCAGTTAATGACTCAATAGCAAATATGATCTTAATTGGGCAAATTATACCATGTTCTAGCTTTAACTTTACCGTGCCAAGGTTTTTCTCTTTGGTAAGTGCAAATTAAATCAAAGCATTTTGAGGTTGTTCTTTGCTATCCAATGATCAAAATTAATGAGAGGCCAATTGGTTTAAAACCAACTTAAAAGCTTTATGAATCAATAGGCTGCCGCTTCGTACGTGCGTAGTGTCGAAACAGTGTTATCCACAAATTTCTTGAATTATATATTCAGTAATTTTAACCTCACTAATAATTTCTGGCATCTGCATGCCTTTTGAGTGGACAAATATTTCCTTTTCAAATATATATTATTAAAGTTTGATCGAAATCGGAGACAGGATAGAAAGCCCAAGTTCTTTGCCATGTCTTGGACAAAGCATTGGTACGGACCACAACAAAGACAGGCTTTGATGGATAACACTTTCAGGCAGTGGAGAGCTTTCATCCATGGCTTCATGATCCTTCTTCTCGACACTCTTTTGATCCCTGCAAATCTAATTGATTACCTTTCTTCCATCAGGTTCTTAAAACAGCTTAATTACTTTCTTAACCTTGAACAAATTTTCTATTATTTGAACTCCATATATATTCCCACACTATAATACCATTAGTAAATTAAAAGATTATTTTAATTTATTAGTAGGCAATAAAAGGTAATAAATTAAGAAACAAATACTAAATATTAACAAAGTCGTTTTAATAGGAGTATTTTTTATTATAATATAATTTTTTTCATTTTGTTTTTCTTTGAATTCAAACAAATGTTTTTCTATGTGAAATTGTTAATATTTGAATTTTGATTACTATAACTAAAAGTATAAATTGATCACACAACGCACGACTTCAAACAAATATCTTTTGGATGGAATATGTTTTTTGATATTTTGCTCACTAATAAATTGACTAATTAAATTCATATTTTTATAATCAATTCGATCCTCCGATTGGATATGGGGCAAACACCTTCGAAAAGATCTTTGTATTTATTTATCATTTTTTATTTCTTATTTTTAAAAATAATCTTATTTTATTTTTTTTAAAAATTTTATTTTGATCGAATCAAATTCAAATTATAGAATTGATAGAATAAATAGGATTTGTTTTGTTTTTTTATTATTGTATTATTTATTTATTTATTATTTGTTTATTTTAATTATTTATTTGTTGGTTTCTAAACGTTAAGTTTCCCACGCATATCATGGTTGTCAACTTGTGGTTGTAAAGTCGGATTCACTTCTTGCAATGCAAAAAATTTTGCAGCCATTACAGAAGAAGGATCCAATATATCAAGTGATATTTGTTGACCAACAGATTTTGAAGAGTGACAATGTGTAGAAAGATGGAAAGCAACATAAATGGTATAATCAAGTATTGTACTGGTAGAGATTGTCAACTGTACCTTTGACATTTTGCAAGAGTTGGAAGGATACGTGTATAAGACTTCTAAGGAAAGAAGTTTCTTTACAATAAAATCCGCTGAGACAATGCATACTTATCGAGATTAGTTGAATGATTTGTTTAACACACAAAGGAAAATATGTAACCAAAAACAATATTTTATCTATAAAAAAATAAAATAAACCCTCAAAAAGTTTCAAGCTTATAGTATATAATTGGTATCAAATTTTGGGAAACAAAAAGAGGAACAGAGTAATATGGCTAAGCTTACAAGTTAGAAGAGATGTGTCCGTTGTTTTGGTCAACAACAAGCACACGTGTTCCGACCAACCAAACTCTCGAAGGTAAGGAAGGGCAAAACGCACATGCGTTTACATTCCCACACGTGACACGTCATTGAGATGAGACCAGTCTTGTTTTTGGGCCCAAAGTTAGGCAGCTCTCGATGATAACGACCCTTCAATCCTCCCCCAAACCTCTTTGTTTCCCCCTTTTTATACCCTCAATTTCACACCGCCCATAGACTTAAAATACTCATCCAAACCAAACAATCTATTTATATAAATTTGGTTATTGATGGATCAACGGTCCAAATCTTGCCCCTATGGTACCGAAAGGGATTAGAATGTGCTTTGGGGCTCGCCCTTTTGAACGAAAAGAACGGTTCGAATTAGAGTACTGGTATTCTATTGCAGCGAGGTTCGATAGGTCATGAATCGAAAGAAAGAAAAAAGTGTTTTCAACTTTACAACCCATTATTCCTTCACTTTTCAGGAACTTGGAACTGGACTTCTTTTGCTTAGAGGCCTCAAAGTTCAACGCACTTTCAAAGCCTAAGCGTTCTTTCACCATCCTGAAATGGGTTGTTTTTAATACTAAGTACAAAAAAAAAGTTGCTCATCAGAACTCCGAGAGAGATATTGCTTGCTTGCTTCATAACACTGTTCCAAATGGCATTGATGTAGAGAAAAAATGCATGTTAAACAAAGGGAAAGACGTCAAAAATTACATATAAAACTACTTATATATACTGTGAGTGCATCGAGTTCCATACAACATAGAGGAGCAAAATGTCAAAACGTGAACACAATTTAGAGCCTGTTTCTTCAAACTTTGGTGGAGAATCTTCAGGGCAAAGCTCTAGTTTTCGAGGCAGTCAAGCCTGCATCTTTCCCTGCTTACTGCTTCCAACTGTAAAAGAACCCCCAATTTCTAATTAAGAGAAAGGAAAACCAACCAAAACAACTAATAATTAACCATTAATCATTAGTTTTTCATAATAAACTAAAGACTCACGGCTGAGTGCTGATAGTTCAGTGCTCTTCAACACGCGCAGCCTCTTCACTGTCGCTACAAACATGCTGCAAATCCCATTCAAAATCCAGTCATTACAACTTTATTCATGTATGGTTCAACATGCTATTAAATAAACATAATTAAACAAAGCAGTTTCTGTCGTAATTTGGTAATACATATATTAATAAAGAATATGCCAACATTAAGGAAAGCAACCGGAATTATGGTTAAGATATTAGGAATCTAATGCTGTTTTCAGGAAAAACTAAAGGACAAAGATAAAATAAAAATGGTATTCTGCTAGCTAGCTAGCTCTCTCTCTCTCTCTCTCTCTCTCTCTCTATATATATATATATATATATATATATATGCTCAATCACTAATTGTGGGAATATAATATGGTATAGTATAATCTCAAATTGAATCAGATCCACAGTGATAAGATGCTTACTGCCAAGGGACATCCCCAACAAGCATCCTGTCTCCTTCGTTATCCTCATAAACAAGCCTATATTCTCCACTTCCATCCAGTACGCCCGTAATCACTTTCTTTTCCTCTTGCTTGTTCACTATTCCACCAGCAGAGCAATCTCTTTGAGCTACACGGATCAAAGCAAAGACAAAAAGATTAGATAATCATATCTTTCAATCACATTAGTATAAGCTAAGAGTTTAACTGCAATAAGAACAAGCAAATGTGTCCAAAATTTTGCCCTCGAAATATGCAATTTGTACTAAGATTTACTCTTAATGCTTCCCTGCGCCCACTTCCATCACCTAAACAGTTTAAAACTAACACTGATGTGACTCGATTGGTCATATAGTAACCATATACAATACAAAATTTTCTAATACACTGAACAAGGGATGGTGCTGTCAAATATAAGATATGTTTGACGTAGATACAATATTAAACTCCGAATAAAATAAACTTCCTAATGGCTAATGGACATGACTATCAGATCAAATTTAGCTAAACGCTGGAAATAATTACCAAGGATTGATTTAGCTCAGTTGCATGTTTTATATTCATTGAATCGAAAATAATAGTGCTATATATTTACCTGCAATGAGGCCTCTGAAGAGTTCATCAACAGCAGTTGACAGTTTTTCATAGCTGTCATAGGCCTTGAGATCCACTTTCCTTCCAATTGGAACTCCGTCCATGTTGATTTTCACAAACAGGCCTCTACCACTTGTTTCAGCTGCTGCTTTTTCATTAGCAACCTTGTGGGGGACCACACGGGGTGATTCAGAAGCTAGTTTTGAAGAGCTGCTGGAGGCAAGATTTTTCCTAAAAGAACGAATTGGAGGCCAACCCACAACTGGACCTGGAGCAGTTCTGTTTTCCATGATCATTACAATAGAATCAGACAAGAAAAACATCACAATAAATTCAAGGCTAAATAATTGAGATCAATATGTACAAGGGTTATTTGTTAATAATCAAAGTTAGCCAAAATCATGAAAAAAAAAAATAAAGTCTTGAAAGAGAAAACATCTACCTAAAACAAAAATTATATAAACGAAGAAAAAGAAAAAGAAATCCCGTGCTAAAATATAAGAGATAGGATCAATATAATAATAGCATGGGATAGGAAACTGGAGATAAGAGACAAAATAAGTAAAACTTGTACATCTAAAAGGAAAGATAAGGATTAAGCATTTACTACCATGACAGGCTAAGAGCTATCATGAATGAGCAGATCAATTAATCATGCATAAAAAAAACAAAAAAACAAAAAATTTTCAAACATGTAAAGGAGAAAAGTAAAATTTTGCACTAAAACTACAAAATATACAGGTACCTATGAAAGATGAATTAGGATTCATGTAACATGAGAAACATAAAGAAATGAAACAACTAACAAGCATGCATGGACCACATAACATCAAGTAAGGTAAACTTGTGACTTGTGAATATCCTCTGTCTAGAAAGATATAAAAAAATTAATATATTATAGATATGCAGACATACAGACGGACAGACACACACACAGAGAGCGAGGGAGAGTTAAAAGCTAGAGTACCTTTTCTGAGAACTGTTGAGAGGCACAGCTGTATTTGCAGGAGGTGAAAATGCTTTTTTCTCTGCATTCTGCAAGTCTACCGCTTTATTGCAACAGGGCTGTGACGATCCCTTTGCTATAACAGGCATGCTTTGTGGGGCTGTTGATGGGAACTGAAGAAATAAGGGAGGCTTTGTCTGATGTTGATGCGTATGCTGGAGGGTTTTGGCCCATGGAGTGGACAAAACTGACCCAACCGGGTGGTCTTCTGGAGATGGAAACTTATGTGTTTGTTTTCCATTGCTCTTCATTGAAGAGAAGCATCCAAGAGAGAGTAAAGACTCATCTCTCTCCCTGTTGCTTTTGGTTGTGTCTTCGATGGACCAGCTATCTTCACCCGGGGGACCAAGCCTCAATTCCAGCTTCCTCTCCTCTGAGGATCCGTGTCTTCTATCCTCTTCTCTCTTTACATACCACTCTCTTTCTTGAGGAATCAAATCAAGAAGTTGAGGACATGCTTCACCATTCTTTGAGCAACCGCTCTCCATCTCCTTAACAGGATGGAATAGATGCCCAACTAACCCAAAAAAAATTCACCTTTTTACTATAACTTTGAAGACCAAGAACTAGAAACAAACTGAAAAAAGAAAGTGTTGCAGGTTCAGAAGCTTAAATATCACAAAACAAACTAGAGAACAAATGAAAAGGACATAAAACCATGCAAATGGAAATGGATAAACACATAGTCCATAACTAATGAAATCCAAAAAAGAGAAACTTGCCTTATTTTAATTTAAAAGGAGTCACTCAACCAAAGCTCAAAACAATGAAGACGCACATCATGAAATCAACAAACTTCCTTTAGGCTTTAGCTATGAAAAACGCTTGTAGGAAGGAGTGATAGAACTCTGAAAATCTTAGCTAACAACGCAAGAAGTGTCCAGCTTAGAGAGCCACAACCATTAATTCCTTAAAACCAACACATATAAAACCGGAAAAGCCAGGCCAAAAACGCAATATAAAAAATCACAACTTCAAACTAGAAAACCCCACAAAGAGAAAAAAAATCCTCCACCAGAACAAAGTGTTTTAAACAACTCAAAGTGCAGAGGATTGGTAGAGAGCTATGATAAGAAGGGTGGGTTCTTATCTAGCTTTTCCTTTGTTTTTTTGCACGCTTTAGTGGGTTCTTCTTGCTTTCTCTCTCTCTCTGTCATACTCTCTCTTTTCTAGGACTCGATAAAGAAAGGTGATTTTTTTAGACACGAAGAAACGAGGGGAGGGAGGAGAGCATAAAAAGAGAAAAGAGATGATAAAACCAGGAGAGATTCCCTTTACTCAAGACCCCAAAAACAGGAAACAAGAATTAGAACGTAACTCACGCAACCACAGCTCCCTAAATAACGTTAGGTTGTTTAGCTCAGGAAGCAAAGCTTGCTGTTGCTGACCTCCTAAAGATACACTCTTGTTGCTCTTCCTTTCTTTATCTAATGTAACAAGTGTTTTTCACTGCTACACTTGCAAACAAAACCTCAACCCCATTTGCACAACGCCCCAAACATACCCCCCTTTATTGAAGTCTCGTCTTAGTAAAAAGTAGATCTGACGTGAACGTAAAAATACTATAATTTAAAATTTTAATAATTATTATAATTTAATAAATTAAAAAAATATATTTTTCTAAGAAACACCCATATGCTTAAAATGAAAGCCGCTTGTTGCTCAGTTAAGTTCATTTCTTATTTCAGAGCTCATTTAGTTTACAAACTCAAGAAAATGATAGGATAGTATTTGCTTTATGCCTTCATTAGAGGACTAGGGGACCTTACAATCAAATTTCTAGTTGGATAACAAAGACAAATCATGTGCACTTTTTTCTTTGAGAGTATAATACTAGCATTATAGAAACTGCAAATAGACCCTTAATTAAATAATTAATTGAATGTTAATTAAATTAAAATGGTTAGGAGAGAGAGAGATAGAGAGACTTGAGGCTTAATCCAAAACAGGAGTTGCTTTTGAGGAGGTCAAGAAAATGATGGATGATGGGATGGGATGTGATTTGTTGGTACTATTCTATTTATTCCAGAGGAAAGTAAGAAAAAGAAAGAGTGAGATAAGAGAGAAAGAAAGAGATTTGCATGATCAATATTTTTGCAGGGGAGGCTTTTGGTTTGGTGTAACAAAAACATGCAGATCCCATGATCCTGTCTGGTTTCTCTCTTCCTCTTACCACTGTCCACATATCCCATATGGGGTTTTAAGAAATGAAAGAAATGACAAAAGATTACGTAAAAATTTGTTAGATAATTACACCAATAAACTAAGAACCGTTTGATTTTGTTTTGCTTAAATTTTGTTCCTTTTTTGTTTATCTTGAGATTTGTGTTCGACACAAACGGAATCTGACACGATTCTTTTAGCTAAACTCTGGTCATAGCCAGGCTTAAAGGAGGCACTCTTTTGTTGCTTTTCGGATATGAGATTTTTATTTTTCCCACGTAAAAAAAAAGTCCGTACAATCGTTAACCATTCTGAAATAATCGTGTCCAAACACTCGTCTCATCGCCGAATGCTTGAACATTGCGGGCAGCGGCTTACCAAACGAACCAAACTCTTACCGCATGACCATATTGTCCTTACGTGTTAAGTTTAAACACAATAAATTCTTAGTTTAATTTTTTAGGAAAGAAATAAAATACAGGCAGTACAGTTTTCCCAAGCAATAAAAAAATTTATAAAATAGCATTAGAACTTATAAAATACTTGATAATTCAATCATTGCGCATATACTTAAATTGATTATTTTTAATTCTAGAATGTATTTTTACTGTCGGCGTCTCTGTCACATGTTAATAATTATTTATTAAATTTAAATAAAACAAAATAATCAAAAGAAAAAATTGCAACTTTCTTCTTTGAACATGAAATTATAATATTTGTAAAATATAAGAAAATTTTATAAAAATACTTCATAAATCAAATATGAGGATACCTAAATTTACTATTTGGGATTCCATATCATGAATGAGTAATTTGTTTCTTAATTTAATTTTATCAAATTTGTAAGAATCAGATTAAATCATTCAGTCGAAAATCAATAAATTTTACGAATTAAAACTTCGAATAAAATCAAAAAAAATTTGTCATGAATCGAAATGAGTATTTAATCCATAATTTTTGCCAATTGAATTTATGATTTAACTAAAACATTCATTTTTATTATTCATGTTTGTTCCTCTTGTATGGTCTTAATACCTTACTTAAAAATATATCATCTTTATACGAATAATAAATTGAATGTTAAAATTAATAAATTATTGAAAAAATGTTGTTTGTAAGAGAAAAAATGGCAATGATTAACCATGTATTTTTCAAATCATGAATGACTATGTCAAAACTTTTATATACAAAATTTTCCTCTTATACACATGGACAAATAATATGTTGTTTTTCTTAATATGTAATAAAATATAATGTACAGTTGAAAATGATTTTTAATGTAAATATCATAATCAAGGAGGAAATTTTCACTCGTGTACTATTTCTGAGCAACAAATTCTTTTGTATTTTTTTTTATATAGAAACAGATCTTTCATTGTTTTTCATTATACGCCACAATTTAGAATATTTACAAAATCATAAAGTTGTTGAGAAAAATATGCTATTAATTTGGTACGTAAGTAAGACAAATGAGGTTTTTGTAGAAATCTTGAATTTTAACAATACTTTATTTATTTGAAAATAAAAAATAAATTTTTTTAAATTTTTTAAATTCAAATTTTAATTTAATAATGATATTTAATATATTTGAAATTTAAATTTTAATATCTAAAATTATTTTTTAATTTTAAATTATGATTTTTTATACTGAAAATTTATTTCTTACAAAAAATAAAAAATTCACTAAAATGCATTTATAACTTAAGATATTCAATAGTTTATAAGTATCTTTAGAATTTAAAACAAAATATTAAATAAAGAACAAAACAATCTGTGGAAAAGGAGGGTAATATGATCATTACATATTAAATAAAACACGGCGATTTTATATATCTTTACTAAGAAAGAGACAACCTTAACTCTTGCAGGCTGCTACGAAGGTTAAAACCAACCAAGGCACATGGTCCGGTTAAACCTCGAACAAAAGAGTAGGGGTCGATTGAGCCCAGGTTGGCCGGTGGTCTGGGTTTGGACGCCGGGAAACGAAACTTAACCATTAACGTCGAATTAAAGGACGATTAACAAAAGCTGAATATGAGGCTAATGATAGAACGGAGTGACACGTGTCAGATAGAAAATAACTCTTTCTGGGGCCCACTGTAGTCACTGTCCTCAACCCTTACAACCATACGGAAGAGGGCTCGTGATGCTTTTGGCCTCCGACCACCCAACATGTTCGACATTTAACGCCCCATCCTCTTTGCTAGTCGGCGGTATTATTACCTACGGTCCCATAATAATAGTAGTTTTTTTTTTTATTCTTTATCAGAAATTATTATTGTGAAACTCAAAACACCACTCGCACGTATTGCGCGTAAAGCAAGTGTGTTGAACGATTTTTTTTTTTTTTTATCCTTTTTAAGTTAGTTGAATGTAGGTTCCTACAATGATTAATTTGCATAATTAGTAAGAAGTTTGTTTGGTTCGAAAATGAGGGTTTTTAGGTTAAATAAATAAAAAAGGTTAAGTGTATATAAATTTTTTTAAAAAATAATATTTATAAAATTTAAGTTTTAGAAATTTTAAAACATATTTTATTTTATTTTATATAATATTATAAAAAAATTATCAAAGTTAAATTTATTTGACAAAAAAATTAAATATACCCAAACAAAATAAAAACAGAAAGAGTATAATTTTGCTCGCAATGATCCATTATTAGCTATATTTACTTCCTCTTTGTTTTTCTTTCAAAATGCACAAATGCTACTTATGCTCGTAGGTCACACAACCTTTAAAGGTAATAATAATTCATGGAAGTTTTTGATAAAGTTATTATCATCAACCTTTTGGATTTAAATAAAAAGGCTTTTTTATCTTGGTTATGAAAAAAAAGTATTAGATTATCGTGCATTATTTGTATATTTAATTATTAAAAATATGATATAATAGTACAATATAAATATAATATAAAAATATATAAAAATAATATGATTTAAAATTTAAATAATTATTATATATAAATTTTAAAAATAAAAAAAATATAATTTTTATTTTTATGTTGATATAAATTTAAATAAATAATTTTTATATAAAATATAACATAAATATATAAATTATAATATTTTATATAAAATAAATACGTGAAATTTAATTATTTGATTTATGTTAACAAAAAAATCATGATTTTTCAAATTAATAATTATATTTGTACACAACCAAATAGATTAAACTGTTGCACAGAACTACAAATGTGGGAATAAACTGCCATTTGGAGAAGCGTGGAGAGTGGAACAAGGAATCTGACCTTTTATTCGATTGGTTTCAATCAAGTACATCAGGTAGTACAACAATTCGATGTATCCCGATTTCCCAGTTCCATCATTATCAAACTCACATCTGGACCGTAATTACTAACGTACTTCATGACATGCACACGATCTTCAAGATAAAGATCCCATTCGAGCACAAGATGAAAGATTATCACCCATTAATTCCAAAATCTGCGGTGATGACGAAGGGTACAGTGTTAGAAAAAAAAAGAAGAAGAAGGAAACAGCTGGTGAAGTAAACGTCATGTCAAAAAAAGTTGGGTGTTTTAAAGAAAGATAGAGAGAGAGGGTTTGGTCAGTGCTGGTGGTAATGATAGTTGGTCCTACAATGACAAACAAAAAAATTAATTAATTAATTGGAAATCAGATAAGGCGCATTGAACGTTCCAGTCTAATCATGATTCTGTTTGATGGGACAATCCTGATCGTCTAATTAACGACGATGATTTCTGACCATGATTTGTGATTGGAGTTGGGACCAAGGCACCACTCCATAAAAATAGTCGGCATCAGCATTTTTTTTTTTCTGTTTTAAAATTTTAACTTTAAGGTTTTGTTTGGATGATTGGCAAATGTAAATGCTAAGCATGAATGGATTTTTATCATAATATTATCGATGATTTTTTTTGTTGATATTAATTTCAAATACACGATTTTGATAAAATAAAAAATACATAATATGTTGTCAACAATGAATTTTTTTATAAAATATTAAATTCTTAAATTTAATAACAAAAATTCAAATTTTTTATTGAAAATTTGACAAGAGTTTTATACTAACAATTGTGAGTTGTGAAATTTTGAAACATAAAAAAAAAAAAAAGAAACATAAACTTTCTTTTGGAAATTTGGTCAAACTTTTAAATATACGAAGGAAACCAGTCAAGCAAGCATGTTTATACCTTTTTCTTTTCTTTTCTTGACAAAAAATGGTTTATGTAGGTAATAAGGAAACATGAAAAATATGTGTAGAAAAAAAGTATAGATTTAATCTTAAATAAACATGGGAATGGTTGATATGTTTCTTGAACCATAATAATAGAATATT